TGTTCTTCAAGGTGAAATCAGGTATTTGGTATTGCAATGCACTGAAGGTATGCGTTCCTCAGTTATCTTGACCTACCGTATCTTGAATAAATATTTGTTTGACGTAACATATGTCATGAAAGAAAGGGGAAAGATTCATTAGTTAGGAAGGAAAAAGCTTATACTGTATAGTACAGACATATTCTCTCCACGACAATATTATCTATCTGAAGAAATTCAAGTGACCAGAAAAAATCTATCTTAGACAAACTTTGTACAGGTAACATGATGAGAGAACCCTATTCGACCACGAAAAATCGTTATACTGGCAATTTTCTGTATATGGAAAAATTGCCAGTATCGCGATTTTTTGTGGTCAAATAGGTTTCTCTCCTTGAATTTATTTGTAGAGAGACGCCATCTGTATTCATTTTATGAATGAAACATAAGCCGAATTTTCCGCAGGTTTTTTTTTAAATTCAAGAACAGTAACTTCACTTTGCCTGATATGCCAAGATAAAATTGTTTGCATACCTTGTCCAATTTTTTATTCTTTTTTTTAATCCAGTATGCAAGAAGTCCATTATCCGGGGTAGAATTAGACAGTTCTTCTTCCATATTTTGCAGGGTCGTTCCAAGCCGATCTTGCACGACTGGGAAGTGAATGCGTTTATTGCGCAAGCTGTCTCACCTATTGCGAAAGAGCCTCAAACGAACGTATAAAACTTCGACCTAGCTCACCTACGGGCTGGATAGGTACAACGTTGGTAGAAGTACGCGCCGTAAAGGTTGTACGATAAAGAAGATCCCCGAACGTTGATAGGAGACGGAGACCATGTGTCTTTGCCCCATTATTACTTCGACGGCAAATTGTTCCATTATTACTACATGAAGTCCAAACTTGGAGCTAAGGTGTCTGTTCTGTGTGAGAACGACGTGAGTTGCGTTTTTTGTTGGAGCTATGTCAAAATTCCAAGGAACACTAATCAATAGCAAAAAAAAAAAATCAGTAGTTGCATCTGAACAGTTCCAACAGCATTATCACAAAATATTATTAGGGCAGACCTTAATTTCGTTTTGCAAAAAATTCTGGAATCTGACTTGTTAAAATTGGATTCATTGATGAATTGGTTTGCTTTGTGCGGAGAAAAATTGTCTGTGTAAAGTTTCCGTTCTATTCTATTGTCTTAAAGTTTCCATGTCTCCAAAAATTTGAAAAATAAAAGCTTAGAATACTTGAATGTAGCTTGGGATATCTCCCCCTTACTTCGCTTATTCTCAAGTAGGGTTGACTGACTTTTGAAAAGGTTTTTTTAGGCATGCTTCTAACCAGCACTTTGAATTTTCTGGAAAATATTTATTGATTATTTTTAATATGTGCAGGAAATGGTGTTGGCGCAATTCAACGTCATCAAGGACGCAATTTAAAGCGAAGAAGAGGTCGAAGGGCGAGACACTTGGATTCGGGCATTGAAACGGTTTTCCTGTGTTTTTTGTTTGTTTTGCTCCACAGTGAGCAGGTATTGTTTGAACATTGAATCCCCTGTTTCAGTTTCAAATTTCGCGTTAGCTATTCAGTGATTTGGTTTTTAGCTTTTAGAAATAATAGGTAGCTCTATAGGAATGGGGAGGGATGCTTTTGCTGTTCACTTGTCGACCTGATTGACGCCAGATTGAATCCGTTAGTGAGATGCACGCAAGCGGTAGGCAACGAGGAAAAAGAAACGTGTTTACCCTGAGGTGCTTTGTAAAATTGTGACTGCTCGAACGAGCTGCACGAATCGATCTTGCATTTGATCTCATTGTTGGAATTTGAACTTTGAGTGAGGATCAAATTTTGAATTGTGGAGAGCCTCTATGAAGGTGGAAAAAAAAGATTTTTAGTCTTCTGCTTGATATTTTGCAAGGCTCGAAAGCAATCGCTGCTTTTCTTTTTGCCAAACCTCGCACATTTCGCAATTCAGTGGCCTTGCAAGACGAAAAAGAAATTTTACCAAATCGTACTCCTTTGTGCGCAAACTTTTGTCACTCTATAGTTTATCACGCGAAACGAAATTTTTGCAAAATAATCGAATCTATATGTGCTGATTGCTAATCGTTCATGTTTTAGCTCGTTTTTAATTTGTTTTTCCTCCAAATTCCGGCTTAGAATTATCCGAACATTCTTACCTGTGACAGTAGTTGATAGAACTGAAGAAACGTTGATCTCATTTGAAGGGTTAGTTTGCAATCCTGCAGCAGGAGCAGAAAGCTCACATAAATACCGAAACTATACTCCATAGGGCAGTGGACGGCTTTACACCTTTACGTTCACCTGGTAAACGAAGTTCAAAGCTTTCTTTTTTATACTGATGTATCTTGAAAACCAAGGGTTTATTTTTTTAAAGAAGCACGTCATTCAAGTCCTTATTTATTCCGCAGGTCCTCGAAAAATTGTTTGTGCAATTGATTCTATCAGTGTTGCTTTCGAATCGTCTTCGAACATGGCTGGGGAAGGCACTGATGCCGAAGCCGCGAAATTGAGTTTGTCAGGTGAGTGATTTTCATGTGAAGACAAACAATTCAACGTTTGGTTCATATCCTTAAGAAAGTGTTCACATTTTTAGAAGAAAACCTCTCTATAAAAATTGATTAGTTTCGAAACATTTTCAGAGAAAAAGACTTACAAGTGCGAGGAATTCTTATGTATGGTGTTCAAATTTTACCCTTATTATTCAATATTTTTCAGCAAAATAATCGAACAGATGCTCAGTTCATGTATATTTATATTTATAGTTTTTCGTACCTTTGTATGCATGTATTGTGACAGAGCTTGTGGCGCTATCCTGTAATAATCGCGCTATCCTTAAATTTGAAGCCAATTAGATAAAGCTAAAATTCATGTTGAAAAAAAATTTGTCCCATAAAATGAAAAATTTCGACTCATAAATGAAGAACCTTCATGAAATCACTTGAATCAAAGTTTTTTTTAAAATACATTTGCCTTGTGGGGGAAGTATTCTATGCTTTCCAACAAGTATTATGTCAAAAGCCGCACCATAAGAACCTTCAATAATATTGATATAGATGCAAGTGCAAGATGCACGTGGGCGTATAAATGCGATATTTGGCAAGAAGGTACTGTACTACAGTATCATGTTAGATGAAAATATTGAATTATTTTTGATAACTTGGTCTAGCTGAATAGTAGATATAATATGGCGCACTTGAATTGTCTGCATGGTCTGAAAAATTTTTATATTTATTGTTCATGATATGAATTTTCAGCGTTATACATATCAGAGAAGGGAAACGATGAAACTGGTGCAGGAACCGCCGAGAAGCCATTCAAAACGCTGCTCAAGGCGATGCACCACGCTGGCAAAGAGCCGTTCCCCGAATTCATAGGCGATGCCAAAGAAGAAAGCAAAGTTCGCAAAACGATGCCTTTCTTCTGTCGAGGTTCCACTGCCATGATTTTTTTAAATGTTCTGACAGGTCTGGGAGCCCGTTAGTCAGTCACAGATAAAGAAAATTAAGAAACTNGTTTACAGTCCATAAGCAGGTGCAACTTCCCTAAAACAGAGCCAGTCCATAAACTGAAAATTTGTTACCCAGAATGTCCATAAACCGGGGTTTGACTGTATATTGTCTGATTGCAGTTTTTCATGTATAGGGGCGCCAAAGTGAGGGTTTGCACACGGGCGCCATGCAGGCTTGGGCCGGCCCTGTTCTTATTCATGGTGTTCAAATTTTACCCTTATTATTCAATATTTTTCAGCGAAATAATCGAACAGATGTTCAGTTCATGTATATTTATATTTACAGTTTTTCGTACCTTTGTATGCATGTATTGTGACAGAGCTTGTGGCGCTATCCTGTAATAATCGCGCAATCCTTAAATTTGAAGCCGATTAAATAAAGCTTAAATTCATGTTGAAAAAAAATTTGTCCCATAAATTGAAAAATTTCGACTCATAAATGAAGAACCTTCATGAAAACACTTGAATCAAAGTTTTTTTAAAAATACATTTACCTTGTGGGGGAAGTATTCTATGCTTTCCAACAAGTATTATGTCAAAAGCCGCACCATAAGAACCTTCAATAATATTGATATAGATGCATTGTGCAAGATGCACGTGGGCGTATAAATGCGATATTTGGCAAGAAGGTACTGTACTACAGTATCATGTTAGATAAAAATATTGAATAATTTTTGATAACTTGGTCTAGCTGAATAGTAGATATAATATGGCGCACTTGAATTGTGTGCATGGTCTGAAAAATTTTTATATTTATTGTTGATGATATGAATTTTCAGCGTTATACATATCAGAGAAGGGAAACGATGAAACTGGTGCAGGAACCGCCGATTTCGGTAAGTTTTGCGACGAGTTCCGCTACGTGGTGCGACCGTTTCTCGGCAAGGGGCTTAAGTATCCGCTACGGTTTCTTCTTTCGTTTCAAGCGTTTTGCTACGGAAAGAAGACAGCTCCAAGGTCTGCCATGATTTTTTTTAATGTTCTGACAGGTCTGGGAGCCCGTTAGTCAGTCACAGATAAAGAAAATTAAGAAACTCTGGGTTCGTGAGCAGCATAAGGCGGATGATAAATCCAAGCGGGAAAATGAAGACGCTGCCAAACGGGATGCGAATCTCGAGGAAGCCCGCAAAATTTGCATCGAGGAAGACCCCAGTCTTCCGGCTGCTACAAGGGTGAAAATTCGTGACACCGGCTCAAAACGTGGATCTCGTGTTAAGGTTAGTTTGCGCCATTGGAAACCCTCTTAAATAGGGCCTAGTTGGAAGAATTCTCCAAATATTTGTGGAAGTTGAAAATTTATTTTACCTGAATTTTACCATGTACAGTTTCCAATATGATCAAGGAAGCCCTGTTTCTCTCTTTCTCGGGCGATTTTTATTTCTTTTTTATTGATGCTTACCATAATGTTGAACTTCGCCATTTTATAGCTCGTGATGGTTGATCTCATCAAGGTCAAGTTTCAGTTTTTTAGGTGCTGTATTGCAGTTTATTTGAAAATGTCTTAATGGGGATTTTTGGATGACATTTGGATTCATAATGTACCTGCTAAAAATCTGCAAATAAAATGACTCAAAAGCAGTTGAGTTTAACTTCCAACTGAGCATCATACTGTATCATGTTTTTACATTTCACATTTGCTGAAGTAGAGTGTATGAAAATCTATCCAACTTCGTACGCAGTGATTGTAAACAGCCGTTCTTAAATTCGTTGTACCAAAGTTTTGAACGTTCATCAAATGACATTGTTTTCAACTTTTTCATAGAAATGATGTAATCCAGGAAAGCCTTATTTTGATGGCACTTCTTACTTTTGAGAGTTCGCTGTCGCACTAGAATATCAATTTTGATTTCAAACTTTCATTACGAATTCAAGTTCTAGAAGGAGGTGAGAATTGAGCGTCCAAATTAGGACTGAGGATGAGCTGGTAAAATGATTCAATTTCCTTGTGTCCAATTGTTGGATACAGTGTATCTGTAATTTCTATTTATTTATTATGTGCCATTAATTTGTATTTTATCCATCCCTTAGATTTTCGGTTGGGTGCACCGATTGCGACGCCAGGGGAAATCGTTGATGTTTCTCACGCTGCGTGACGGCACCGGTTTTCTCCAGTGCGTTTTAACTGACAAGCTTTGCGCAACTTACGAAGCAGTCACTCTGGCCACTGAGTCGTCCGTAGCTTTATTTGGCCAGCTGAAGGTTGTGCCCGAAGGCAAATCCGCCCCAGGTGGCCACGAATTACACGTGGACTATTGGGAGCTGATCGGTGCTTCCCCGGCCGGAGGTGCGGAAACCCTGCTGAATGAAGAAGCTCATCCCGATGTGCAGCTGGACAACCGACATATGATGATTCGCGGCGAGAATGTAAGTCGAGTCGTCCTAGTAGAGTTTGTTTATCCCCCGTTTCTCAAACATTTTTTGTGTGTTTATTTTCTAAATGTGGACCTCATTCGTCCTCAGACGTCGAAAGTGATGAAGATGCGGTCGGTGATCATGCAAGCATTCCGAGGGCACTTCATCGATCGGGGATATTTCGAGATCACGCCGCCAACAATGGTTCAAACGCAAGTCGAAGGTGGCTCCACGCTGTTTTCCTTTGACTATTTCGGCGAGAAGGCGTATTTGACGCAGTCGAGTCAGCTGTATCTCGAAACGGCAATGCCCAGCATGGGGGACGTGTTTTGCCTGGCTCAGAGTTATCGGGCGGAGAAGGCCCGCACGCGGCGACATCTAGCCGAGTACACGCATGTTGAAGCGGAGAGACCCTTCATCACGTTTGAAGAGCTCTTGGATACCCTCGAGGACTTGGTGTGCGATGTTGTGGATCGAGTGCTTGCTCATCCCTTGGGATGTTTGGTGCAAGAGCTCAACCCTGTGAGTTCCTGTGTATAAATTCAACATGGTTTACTTCGGCTAGTTGATATCAGTGACGTCTCCTGTACAGTGAAAAATGTTCGCATCTGCTAGAAGCCGAACTGATGTTGATTTGATCATCTGAAGAAAACCCTCGAGTACCACGCGCCCTCGAGTAAGACATGCACGAGGGTTTTTCAGTCTAAAATTCTTATAAAAGTGCATCCCGGGATAAGACGCTCACCCCATTTTAATGTCTCCGGAACTGTAATACATGTATTTCAAAAATAAGGTGACCATGTTTATCTTGTTGTTTCGTTCTTTGAATTTTTCCCTTTATTTTTTTATGTTTTTCTCGCAGGATTTCAAGCCACCTAAACGGCCGTTCAAGAGGTTAGACTACAAGGATGCCATCGAATATCTTCGGGAACACGACATCAAGAAAGAAGACGGTACTTTCTACGAATTTGGAGACGACATTCCGGAAGCGCCGGAAAGGAATTACTGACTAGTCTAGTTGCTTGGGTAGTACGAATAGGCCAAAGGTCGGCTTTATTTTCGAAAGATGTACGGGGCCACGTTCCTGCTGTTGGCACAGTGGCTTAGACACTCAAATAAGAGAAGAACGGTCTTGTTTCCCCAAGTCATTGCTTTCTTCTTTCTGTGACGATTTAGGTGGATGTTCTCATGCCAGGAGTTGGAGAGATCGTCGGAGGCTCTATGAGGATTTCAGATTTTGACGAATTAATTGCTGGATACAAGAGAGAAGGGATTAGTCCTGAGCCGTATTATTGGTACACAGACCAGGTAAAGCATTCGTGGGCGGGAAACTGGGGTGTCGGGAGAAAAAGCAGGAAAGAAAGGATGACGCAGTTCAAGATTGAAAAGAACCGTGGAACAAATCCTTCATTTCTTCCTCCTGAGTTATCAATAAAATATTTGAAAATAAATTCATGTATTGTATATAATAATCGAATGAATGAATGGAAGTCCTGAATGAATCGTAGAACAGGATGAAAGTTTAATTTTTCCAAAAGCCGTGTGAAAGCACAAATGGCCACCAAAGGAGTCCTGGTAATTCATGATTTATCCATTCATTTCAAAATAAATAAAATGCAAATCATTTCAAGATTTTTTTTTTCAGAGTGTCGTAAACGTATCCATGGTATAATTTTCTTAGAGATGGGCTGCAATTTCAACCGTTTTCCGTATTTTAACATGAGTGGGCAAAAATTGACTCATTCGTCAGGAAATGATCCAAAATTACTGTGAATTCTTCTTTGCTTTTAGGTCTTACGTCCTTTACAGCAACAAAAAGCGTTAAACCAAAGATATTATGAACCATCCCTCTTGATTAATTTTTATGCCTTTCATTTATTACGTCGATGGTATAAATTAATTGGTTTTCGGTTGTTCATTTCTTGACCTTGATTCTTATGTGATAGCCTCATATTTTTACTTTTTTCACAGCCTCGGCTTTTTTTGTATGAGACATTTTTATAGTGCTTCTATGTGTCTTTCGCAGAGAAAATTTGGATCCTGTCCACATGGCGGATACGGACTCGGATTGGAGCGATTCCTGTGTTGGCTACTGAACCGGTATCACATCCGGGAAGCGTGTCTTTATCCTCGATTCTTGGAGCGATGCAAGCCTTAGAATGTTGTGGACAGCAAATGAAGGTCTGTGGAATTTCGAGAAAACCCGGAATGTTTGGAAGCCACGTCAGCAGATCCGAGCGAGGTTTTTTTTTCCTTTTTGTGAAGCTTGTTTCAATTCCGGTTGTGTTTTCGTTTGTCCGATTTATTTCGCTCTACTGTATTTCCGACCGGCGACTGAACGTGATCCTTGATGGCGGATAACAAAAAGGGTACTGCGCCTTTTTTGCTGGAATTACTTGTTGGTTGAATCTTCTTTGCTTCTGGAGTTGAATTTGGCCGAGGAAACACAACGTTATCCAGTGAACTCCTCATAATTTATATTCGAAGCTTTCGGCTCGATTTGTCTTTCCAACTGTTACCCCAAAGTCTTTCAGAAGGATTTTAGATTCCGTTCGAAGCTTTTGTCGAATTAAAAATTACGTTGAGCTGAAAGACGAGCGACTGCCTCTGTCTTATGATTCTCTAAATCAGGTTCTCTAGTGTGTTGAAGAATCTTTCCGTAAATTTTATGAGTTGATATCAACGATAATTGTTTGCATTCTGCACTTGATTTTTATCCCTCTGCTCATCTCGAAAAAGTCGAATAGCTTCTGGGGATTTATCGTGTTAGATCTTGACACGGTTACTAATTTACCAGGAGAATCATCAAATGATTTTTACTTGTCTTTGGTGCCATCTTAATTTTATATCTCGTATTCATTGTGACTTGAGAGGCGAAAGTATCGAGCGTTATAACTTATGAACAGGGGACCACAAAATAATCTGATTAGACCGCATTTCATTACACTTGAAAACTAATTTTCCTAATATTTGATTAGACCCGTGTATTTCAAATCGTTTTGTTCTGAATGAAACGGAAGCCGAGGAAATATTTGTGCTTGGATTTTCAGACATGGTACTGTAAATAGTGGTAGTGGAAACACCATGTGAATCATGGTATTACCCACGAGTGCGTGAGAAGAGTGTGAGTGAGTGAGTGTGAACAAGATGGATGCCCCTGCGAGCAGCGACGACAGGACGCCGAAGGAGAAGGTCCAGTTCTACGTGTCGGCAGCACTGCTCATCTCGGCCATCTTCAGCCTGTCGGCGTTTCTCTTCCTGATACCGTTTGTCCTGGACCCGGCCTACACTCTGATTGCTGCCAAGTTCATCAAGGAGCCCGTGACTTGTCAAGTGACTGAGGTCGAGACGCTCTTTGGCCTTTCCAACTGCACCTGGAGCTCGTGTCGAGAAGGATGCACGCGGGAGGTGCGTACGGGAATTTCAGGCAGTTTCATTTCTCTGAACAAGTTGGAGGTGCCCAGCCGCACCTGGGCATCATTTCAAAGTTCTAAAAAGATACAAAGTCTGAATTTTTGAAGCTGGTTACATGATCATGGTTCTCTGGTACACATGGTAATCATTCATAAAAAACTGCATCAAATTTTTAAATTTTGCAACAAGGGCGTCTCAGTGGAAATNAATGACTGATCAGATCAACGAACCCATCATGCTTATCCGGTTTCCAGCCGAAATAAAAGCTTTCTACATGCCCCGGTGCAAGGACGACAACCGTGTCACCGAATCTGTGAGTTTATTCTCTTCTTGCATCTTGTTTCCCCAAGTCATTGCTTTCTTTTTTCTGTGACGATTTAGGTGGATGTTCTCATGCCAGGAGTCGGAGAGATCGTCGGAGGCTCTATGAGGATTTCAGATTTTGACGAATTAATTGCTGGATACAAGAGAGAAGGGATTAGTCCTGAGCCGTATTATTGGTACACCGACCAGGTAAAGCATTCGTGGGCGGAAAAATGGGGTGTTGGGAGAAAAAGCAGGAAAGAAAGGATGACACAGTTCAAAATTGGATACAAACGTGGAACAAATCATTCCTTTCTTCCTCTTGAGTTATCAATAAAATACTGTATGTGAAAATGAATTCGTGTATTGTATATAATAATCGAATGAAAGAATGAAAGTCATAAATGAATCGTAGAACAGGATGAGAGTATAATTTTCCCAAAAGCCGTGTCTAAGCTCAAATGACCACCAAATGAGTCCTGGTAATTCATGGTTTATCCATTCATTTCAAAATAAATATTCCAAGATTTTTATTTTATTCATTTTTTCTGAGTGTCGTAAACGTATCTATGGTATAATTTTCCTACAGGTGGGATGCAATTTCAACCGTTTTCCGTATTTTAACATGAGTGGGCAAAAATTGACTCATTCGTCAGGAAATGGTCAAAAATTACTGTAAATTCTTCTTTGCTTTTAGATCTTACGTCCTTTACAACAACAAAAAAGCGTTAAACCAAAGATATTATGAACCATCCCTCTTAATTAATTTGTATGCCTTTCATTTATTACGTCAATGGTATAAATGAATTTGTTTTCGGTTGTTCATTTCTTGACCTTAATTCCTTGTGATTGCCTCATCTTTTCCCACTTCCTTCACAGCCTCGGCTTTTTTTTGAGAGACACTTATGTAGTGCTTCTGTGTGTCTTTCTCAGAGGAAATTTGGATCCTGTCCACATGGCGGATACGGACTCGGATTGGAGCGATTCCTGTGTTGGCTACTGAACCGGTATCACATCCGGGAAGCGTGTCTTTATCCTCGATTCTTGGAGCGATGCAAGCCTTAAAATGTTGTGGACAGCAAATGAAGTTCTGTGGAATTTCGAGAAAACCCGGAATGTTTGGAAGCCACGTCAGCAGATCCGAGCGAGGTTTTTTTTTTTTTTCCTTTTTGTGAAGCTTATTTCAATTCCGGTCGTGTTTTCGTTTGTCCGATTTATTTCGCTCTATTTCCGACCGGCGACTGAACGTGATCCTTGATGGCGGATAACAAAAAGGGTACTGCGCCTTTTTTGCTGGAATTACTTGTTGGTTGAATCTTTTTTGCTTCTGGAGTTGAATTTGGCCGAAGAAACACAATCACGTTATTATCCAGTGAACTCTTCATAATTTATATTCAAAGCTTTCGGCTCGATTTGTCGTTCCAACTGTTACCCCGAAGTCTTTCAGAAGGATTTTAGATTCCGTTCGAAGCTTTTGTCGAATTTAAAATTACGTTGAGCTGAAAGACGAGCGACTGCCTCTTGTCTTATGATTCTCTGAAGCAGGTTCTCTAGTATGTGGAAGAATCTTTTCGTAAATTTTATGAGTTGATACTTTATTAACTATAAATTTTATGAGTTGATACTTTATTAACTATAATTCTTTGCAGTCTGCACTTGATTTTGATCCCTATGCTGATCTCGAAAAGGTCGAATAGCTTCTGGGGATTTATCGCGTCAGATCTTGACACGGTTACTAATTTACCGGGAGAATAATTCTCAGGTAATTCTTACTTTTCTTTGGTGCCATCTTAATTTTATATCTCATATTCATTGTGACTTGAGAGGCGAAAGTATCGAGCGTTATAACTTATGAACAGGGCAACACAAAATAATCTGATTAGACCGCATTTCATTACACTTGAAAACTAATTTTCCTAATATTTGATTAGACCCGTGTATTTCAAATCGTTTTGTTCTGAATGAAACGGAAGCCGAGGAAATATTTGTGCTTGGATTTTCAGACATGGTACTGTAAATAGTGGTAGTGGAAACACCATGTGAATCATGGTATTACCCACGAGTGCGTGAGAAGAGTGTGAGTGAGTGAGTGTGAACAAGATGGATGCCCCTGCGAGCAGCGACGACAGGACGCCGAAGGAGAAGGTCCAGTTCTACGTGTCGGCAGCACTGCTCATCTCGGCCATCTTCAGCCTGTCGGCGTTTCTCTTCCTGATACCGTTTGTCCTGGACCCGGCCTACACTCTGATTGCTGCCAAGTTCATCAAGGAGCCCGTGACTTGTCAAGTGACTGAGGTCGAGACGCTCTTTGGCCTTTCCAACTGCACCTGGAGCTCGTGTCGAGAAGGATGCACGCGGGAGGTGCGTACGGGAATTTCAGGCAGTTTCATTTCTCTGAACAAGTTGGAGGTGCCCAGCCGCACCTGGGCATCATTTCAAAGTTCTAAAAAGATACAAAGTCTGAATTTTTGAAGCTGGTTACATGATCAAGGTTCTCTGGTACACATGGTAATCATTCATAAAAAACTGCATCAAATTTTTAAATTTTGCAACAAGGGCGTCTCAGTGGAAATTAAAGTAATGTTTTTTTCACTCCTGAAAGTGACCATGCCCAAGAATCAGAACCCCTAAAAGCCAATTTTATTTTCATTGAAGTGAAAGATCTCTTCGAAATCTATTTCTCTTGTATTAATTACCATTATTTTCATTTATTACTATTATATTAAAATTGATTTTGTGACTCCTATGGAGTCCTGTATTTGGACAACAGTGTTCCAGTAAATTATTGGGTAGATACGTACGTAAGTCCCCCCCAATACTGTAAACTACCAGGGACCTGAAAAAAATTTTTATGTACTGAGACTAATGTTTTGAACATGATTTTGCGCTGAATTTTTGTGGGGAAAAGGGTTAAAGATTTTTATAAGGATAACTAGAGGTTATTCGATTGTTGAATTGTTCGCATCTTAGGTGACGGAGTGCACGCGGATAAGTGTGCGTTACACGAGCAAGTTGTCCGAGAAGCAGATCACGGAGAACACAGATGACGCTGCTTGGGAGTCTGATGGCGCAAGATTCTTCATCAATGTGAAGGGCTGTGGATATCCGCCCACTGTCAACTGCTCGCTTTTTGCGTCCTACTACGGCACGGAGGGCGAAGTGTTTCCCTGCTTCTTTTCTTCGGTCAACCCGCAGCTTGTCATTCCTGAATACGATCTTGAACAGGTTCGTTGCTGTATTTTTTTTTTTCATTGTAGGGAAATTTAGGAAAACCGCAATTTGCTACAATCTCGATGATATCCCCTCTCCCTAATGTTTTCTCTTTATTACAAGAAAAATGATCATCCAAAAAATGTATACTGTCACCAAAAACGAGAAAGTTAATACAGTACTGTACACAACAGCAAAATTTTTATTTTTAAATTCTCATGGCAAATTTCAATGATACTCTGAAATGAGTTGGAAACTCTTGTTGTGACCAGAAAGTTGAAAATGTTCACCGTTTAGTGTGAAGTTACGTTCTGAAAAGACTGAAAGTATCAGATGCGTAGAACATCACGAGGGAAATTTTGAAACATTTTTCGATTTTCGACAATGAATTTCCCCAGAAGCGCGGGAGTGGGAGAACCGTTGCATGCTGATCATTTATATATTCTCCAAAAACTTATGGAATAAAGGTCGAAATAAACACGAGGGTTGTCCCAGTTCAGCGCGCTAAAAATATTTCCAAGGTTGTTAAAAAAAACTTTTATCTCGAAATTTCTTGAACTTTAAAAATTTTTTTTTTCAGATGTGCAAGACTTTTTTTTCAGTACGCACTATATGATGAAAAGAGAAAACGTTCTAAGTACGGCTCAAGTTTTCCTGTCATTTCTAAGTGCTGTATCCTAAAACTTTTTCAAGATGTTCGAAAATTTGTCGTCATTCTTCTTGTTCCGAATTTTATCTCTCTGGCATCTTTTAGAATTTTTCCAAAATGTTGAATGGCTGCTTATTTTTATGATAAACGAGAAAGAAAAAATACAAAAAATTTCATTGGTTGCTTTAAAGGCTTTGTTTCCAATTTCCTTATGTTCAATATTTAAAAATATCGCGGATGCTTTTCAGCGTGACGGCCTATTCTCAGCATTTCTGTTTTTTTGTTCGAAAAGCAATTTTTCATGGCCAGCCAGCCATTTTCATTTTTGAGAATAACTCGTTTTCTTTCTGTAAACGCGTACATTATTGGTTAGAAATCCGTGTCTGATTTAGCGCTCGTTTATTGCACTTCTGTACTGTATTGTCCGCATTTATTCTTCTTTTTTTTTGTGGCCAACAGGCGCATTCCGACATGGTGTTCGCCACGGTGTTCCCCGTGACAATCTTCACAGTGGGCGTGACGGGACTGTGTCTCATGTACATCCGCGTGTGCCGGGAACGCGCCCTGGCAGTGCTCAACTCCACCGGCTTCAACCTCATCCACTTCCTGGACAGTTTGGAGCAGAAGCCGGAACCGGAAGAGGACGATGACCGGAGCGAGGAGGAAGACGAAGGCCCGGTCCAGCATGTGCCGAACCAGAATCTCGCGCCGAACCCGAATGCGTTTCCGGGGGCGCACAAGTACGGGCACGGGGCGAGGCGAAATCAAGACGGCATGAAGCGGCTGGAAGGCGGCAAGAATGCGACGAGCAAGGCGCTCATCAACAGCATTCACGCTCCTATTGTCGGTGGCGGCGTCGGCGGGGATGCCATGACAGCAGCGGGCGAAAGCAATGGGAACAAGAGCAAGGGACCGAAGCCGAAAAAGTGTGTAATGTGCACTTTTAATACTGTAGTAGATGATTGATGTTTATTCATTTACTGCATTGGTGCCTTAGTTCAATGAATGTGATCCGTTGTAGAAATGATTCCATTATTCTGAGAGTCCTTCGATCGTTTTAAGCTAATGAATTCCAGGCCCCCCGAAAAATCTCCAAGGATAGTTAAAAGCAACTACAATGTAGTAAAGTTGAAAATATGTTCTAGATTCTTCGAAAGTTCTTGAATAAATTGCTGTTTCCATAGTTTAAAGTGCTTCGCATATTGTGAAGAATGCAGGCTCGAATTTTCCTGTTTTTTTAAACTTACTGTACTATCTGTTGGTCGAAGAGAACGTGCATATGTTTTATCTGCCGTATTTAATCAATTATGACGCATTCCTTCATTTATGAGCTTCAAAATTAGGTAAAGAAAAAAGTATCCCCGCACAAGACATACATTTCAGATCATAGTGGAAAATCGTCATAGTTTGAAAATTACAACAGCTAAAATAGTCAATTTTTGCTCAAATGAAAAAATCCAATGATATACACAAGCTTCTCTTTCCTAATTTTTCCTGAGGATAATGCGCGTAAGAATTCTGTAAAATTTTAATAAAATGCTCGTACTCGAGCTCAATTCATTTTTCGTTCCTATTTTTAGAGAAGACAGTGCCTTTCGAAGTCCACATCTGGGGTAATTCACGCCAGAACCATGATGTGAAACGAAGGCAGATGAAGGATTTTATTCGATCTACGCGTTAACATTTCTAAATTTTTTGTTTATTTCCAGAAATTGAAGCCCTGGAGTGAGACGGACTTGCTTCTGAAAACCGGTTTTTCGCAAATCTTCGGGCACATTCGACACCTTCATCAAGTTTACACGTGCCACTGTTGGATTCACTACTTGGAGACTCACGAGAACCTGCTCATGCTGATTCTAGTTTCAGGTTTTTTCGTCGAGGGTTAGTTCTATACCGGAGTAGTGCCGTAGGCAAATTTTGATGGAGACTTCAGATTATTTCAGTGAGTGCTTCCTTGTATCTATCAAGGGTTTTTTCTTAATTGTAGTCAAAGAAGTGACGCGTTTTTTGTAAAGCTTTAGTTGTAACTCGTGCATTCACAGAAAGTTTTAGCATTCCTGATTAGCTCAATATAGGTGAATATCTTACTTGAAATATCTCTCTGGAATCTCGTTTGTGTTGGTTCTTTCCCGGGGGTTTTACCACCACCTTGATGACAAATTTTAAAAAGTTTTGTCGACGAATCTCCGTATTTTTCACCGAAATATTGACTATCTTTGTTTGTCAGAGCTTTAATGGATCTCTCTTATCAGACTGGTGATTCAAGCTCAATCAATGCGGTGCTTTATTATTGTGTTCCAAGCTTAAATCACGGGATTTCTTGAGTTCAAATTACTGATCAAATTGGCGCAATGAACGAGCTGATTGATTTACACCTTATTGCAAACTGACTTTGGTACGCATGCGACGGTTTGTTACCCTCTTTTTTGCAATGGTTGTGATGATGAAAATGAACCAAATCTTGTTCGTTTTTGACGTTGCCTGATTTCATTATTTTTTTTAACTATTCAAAAGGAATGGTTAAATGTTAGCGTCTTGTTATGCTGCATAAATTCTTATAAATTTGTGTACGCATGGTCACTTCTAAATTTCCCGGATTTAATGTCATATTTCCTAAGAAATCCTTTGTTCAAGCTGCTTTATCGTAGTCCCGAAGAGATGGAAGTTGGATTCGAAACGTGCAACGTCGCAAAAAAGGTTCTCTCACACTTCACCTATACGTGCAGCTTTAAAAAAAATTGATTTTAGAATACTGACGTGCGTTTATCGCTCATTACTGCGAGTCAGTGAGCTCTGTTATTCAAATATCTTGCCGGTCATTTGTGAGAACCTAATGAAAATACGAGCGGAAATCGGGGATTTTGAGCGACCTCTAGGTGGCTTGAGGAAAAATATCTGGTATCGCTTATTCCATGAGTCGCCGTGAGTCACGTTTTCTTCATCGTCGGGTGGAAAGCTCATTTTTTCTTTCATTGTGGTAAATGTCAATTGCGTGCAGTGTATCATTAACTTGAAACATTTATGTGCAGTTCGTCTCAATTTTTAACTTCTATTGCAGGCTTTTCGTTATACTAAACTGAAGAACCGCGAGAGCGTTTATACTGTAGTTACGGTATTCAGTGATCATCGATCACTGGAGGAATCCGATGCGGTTGTCAGAAAAAATATCTCGCGCAAAGATTAATTGAAAATTTTCATTAAACACGTTTCTGCAAACTATGCAACATAGGAATTTTCAACATTTGATTATTTTTCGACGCATAGAATGATGAGACATATATTTTCATATATATTCTATTTTATTTTCAACCTCATTTTTCCGTGGTGTTTATTTTCGTTTTTCTCCGTATATTTTCCTTTCAGAGAATAATCGATCATTTACCATCGTATTCAGAACAATAATAAGCTACCATTGATGCAATCCCACTTATCATTTATTCCGCCATGTGTGTGTGAATAACTTATCACAGACGGATCATATGAAGGTTTTTCGGAGAATTACTGCGAGATCGGTTCATGAACTGCAGTCAATATGCCTGTTATAACGTTGCCCAATTTCCTCAACAAATCCTCGTCCGGATTTGAGAGGTTATTTTTTTTTAATGAAATGATGTATGTTCTCAGGAACTAATTTTTTTCCGTTTCCACAGGACTTCATGCGTAAGTTTCAATAGAATTTTGAAGTTGAAATGCGTTCATTTTTTGGCACGAAACTCAACGTTCTTCCGAGCAGATGGTCTTATGCATTTTGTGTTCGCTGTCATTCGGTATAGGGAACGGTTTCCTTTACTACAGTGAGCAAACCTTTGAATCATAATTTTTTTTTATAATATGATGTGAGTAGAATTTCATGCTTCATTGACCCGACTAATGTATGTCTTTGTTCCTGCAGAGCCCTTGAAGCCATTTTTTGAGAAGCATTTCCCAATAAGCCCTGACTGGGCGGTGATTCCATATTACGGTGGCCAATTTATTTTTGGATGGATTGGGTCACTTCGACGAGATTGTTCCAGGTGATGAGCCTTTTTTAATTCTCGATTTGTTCTTGTTTGTCTTGTATACATATGTTCCAAATATAAATGACAGGGTGATAGTGCTGGCGTCTTTTCTCGGAATTCTTGGCTCGGCCCTGCAGACTTCGGCAACCTTGAAGGCGTTCAGTCGTATTGCGACGTGAGTCTGATGATTCTTGCTCAATTTTAGCATCCTGTTTGTTTTGATGAACTCGGATGTTCAAAATAAAGTAGTGCAAAAGGCTAATTAAGTAAAATGTTAGACCCCAACATACAGTCAATTCGACTTACGGGCACTTGAAACTCAAAAACCTTCCCCAACATCCAGACCATGTCTTGAGAAATGGACAGTTCGCCAACACTTTTGGAAAAATGAGAGAAACATCAAAATTTTGATGTCTCCTGAATAAATCGGGATTTTTATTCACACATTTAAAGCATTTTTTTTTATTATAAATCACTGTGAGATGCAGTTGTGATTGGTGCTTGGACCTTATTCTCTCCATGTTGGATTGTATGCATGTTGGATCATGTTTTACCGTATAGACTTCAATTCAAACATATTTAATTGGTTCTCCTTTTTTATTATCAAAAATTAGGAATAAGTCCCCAAATTTGAATAAAAAATTTTCCCTCAACTTCAATGAGACACGCAAAAAAATAACATACTGTGCAGAATTTAACTGCATATACTGTAGTATCTGATCTTTTGGCATCTAAAAGAGCTCAAAAAGCAAAGAACAAGCATAACTCTTGCTAATATACTATGCATAGATAGAAAAAACTCTGATAATATGGAGCACCAAATCAGCCCATTTTTGATGGTGAATTAGAGTAAATTTGTAATGAAATTTATTTTACATTTTTTGTGAACATAAATAGCTCAATTTGTTGAAGATTGAGATGTATTAGAAATAATTTTTTCTGGAAATTTTCAGCCAGTGTCCCTATTATCTATCATTGTCTGATGGATTTCAGCAAGGAAAGTTTTATTTTTTTCAAGCGTCCCTATTGAGACAAATGAACCTTAAATCATCAGAGGGCATCTGTGTGTTTGGGTCTTATTGTTGCTGTAATTCAGATCCATCACAATTTGGGCTAATTTTGGGACTCATTTTACAACAAGTAACTGCAAGTATCACACACATTTATTAAATGGCATTTTATTCACTAATCTTTTTCTTTTTTACTGTTCAGAAGAATGCATTTGGTCACTGTACAGTAAGTTGAGGTAATGGTAATTTCATTATGCTTTTAACTTTACACTGATTTTCATTCCCATGAGGCAGGTGGCTTTATACAGTGGGTTCAGTGCTGTGCGCAGTCAGCTTTGGTGGAGGGTTCCACGGGTGTCTTGTGTGTACTCTGGTCTTGAACAAGGCCTCTGTGGACAGGCGGATTGGACTCAGATCCAAGGATGAGAAGCCAAGGTTCCAAGACATGAGGTTTCTCAAACATGTGGCCTTTGTCCATTTGGTCTACTTCCTTGGAAAACTGGTGTGGGGCGTCATTGTTGGATGGACTCATCTTGACAGGTGGTGTTCAGGGTCTCAGAACTGTTTCACAATTGTCCATCTGTGGAAAATGTGCAACCATGCCATTCCTGCAGGTTTGTATGAATTTTCTCTGCTTTTTAGCTAATGATTTTTGCATTCTGATTTCTGGAATCTAAATTTAGTGCAGGCTATGTGGGAATTTAGAACAGGATTAGTTTTTATTTGTACAAAAGCTAAAAGAAATGTGCTGCCTTAAAGGTCAGAACCTCCTATATAAAGACTGGTTGTTCAGTCATTGGAAACCGGAAGGCTTACTGGCAAATAATTTATGCATGTCTAATTATTTGCGAATTAGCCTTCCTGTTTAATAGTTAATTGTTACAAATGATATTTTTTCCATTCAAGGTTTCACCTGTGTGAACCTGCTAAAAATCTGATTGTGGTGAATTGTCACCAGCATCTTTTGTAGTGCTCCTTTCATTGATGCAGCTCATGCCCTTTTGTTTACATAAACTCTTTTGCTGATTGCAACTCTGTTTCCCGGATGCTTGCCTCTGATGCTAAACAGAGTCAAGCATTCCAGTACTGTTTCTTGAGACAACATTGTATGCCCCTTATGTTACCTGATACTGCATCCCAGCAGCCCCCTCTCAGCAACAGAGTTTCCATTAAATACTAGACTGGTGTTGCACAAAGTTCCTGTCTAGACTCATGACCCCTTTATGTCATTGACTCTGAAACCACGTGGCTGTACCAGCCTCCAAATCTAGCAATATAAAAACCCCTGCTAATCTCTCCCAAAGTTCAGTTGATCACAGATCCTCTTCAGGAGTCAGAGATTTCTTTAGGCTTCCCTCCAGACATCTTGTCTTGGTTTTGCTTGAGTTGTCTTGTGTACTTGAATAAAGAACTTATTGGGTGAAAAGTCTGTCTATTTTTCAAAGGTCTTGCGTTGTTGGAAAACGCCTCTCTGCAACCAAGGGGTTAAGAACCTCTATAAGAGTCAGACACTCTTTTAACATTCCCTTAGTTGTTATTCATTGTTGTTATCTTAAAGTAATAATAACATAAAAAGGATAACATAATAATAGTTTCAAATACCACCACACAGCAGAAACAAGTGAGACATTTGTTTTCAAATCATGTGGACAGCAGTACAGTAATCTAAATGCACGTCAGATCAGTGCTGCTATAGTTGAAGGAATATTTCTCAGGATATTACCTGCACTGGGGAAGGTAATTTGCTTGATGAGCTGATAACATGGACAAAAATCAGATCTTGAGAAATGGATGTATGACTTAAGTAATAATGCATGTTGATGAAAATCATGTTATAAAGCTATATATCGTATTACACATTTGTTTTGGGTTTCCTGTAATTTTTTTTATGCCAATTCACCTATACTTGCAATTTTATCATCAGTAATGCTTATTGTCATTCTATGCCAAATGTGTTTTTGAATTATGCATGCATCCTGTGGAATGAACAAGGCCGGCCCATAAAAAGATACAGTTTATATAAAAGGTTCAAATCATTTGATGAAAGTGTATTCTGCATTCAAGTTAGGCTTTCTAATTGTGAATTCATCTTTTCTTTGTGCAGTGTTGATCAAAATTTGGCCATCAGGATTTCCTAAGTGCCGTCACAATGCATCTTGGAGGTATTTGAAAAGAATGGGAGTGTGCTTCTATGTAAGGAATGCCAATTTTTAAAAATTCTTTTTCAATCTGTAAGATGTTCTTGATATTTTCTGCCTGTTTTTTTTTCAGTGTTCTGTAAAGTTGTACATTTTGGTAAGGATTTCAAAAACTGGAGAAGAAAAGCTTCCACTTTTTGACAATGTCGCTGCTTTTGGGCATCAACCAGGGACCATTCAAGCTTGCAAAGCATTCATGTCACTTTTGAAAACTTTGCCAATCTTTGGATTCTCTGGATTGTTTTTCTCAGCGGTGAGATGAAACATTTTCTGCTTGCAATTTTTGACATGGATTTTTCATTATAAAAAATAATGCGCTGAATTTTTCATATTGCAAATCATTTCATATATTAATCCAAGCAGTTAAAAAAATCACTTGTAATGTAAAAGCCATTTAATTATTTTGTATGAATATACTGTACTTGAACATTCTTGAGGTATGCAATACTTATTGGCTATTTGCAGCAGAACTTTTATTCATGTTACTATAGATATAACACTCAAGAGGTATGTCACAAGTACTGTAGTAGAATGTACTGAGCATGCAGCCAACCTGGAATACTCAACTCTTTCAAAATTGTCAGCAATGAAGGCCCCTATTTATGCCAATCCATTTGTATGCAAACATCTACATTGACAAGAATTGTAGTTGATGGTTCATTGTTGCCAAAAGACTGAAATTATTGTTTACTATACTTCTCAGTTATCATTTCCTATCATCAGTTTTAATGGCAGAAATGCACCATCAGACACGTTTCAGCCATTTACTACTGTATTTAACATCAGTCATGTACTGTAAAATATAAGTAATTTCATTGAAGCCAGGTCTATATAGCTGCAAGTATTGTGGTTGTCCACATATTGCTGCAGCGCCTACATTTTAGCTGACAGATTCTTCCTCTTATTTTCCAGCGAGGTTTGGTCAGCATCCAACAAGTGTGGATGAACACAACTTTGAATCATGACATCACCTTTTCAAATAATGATACCTTGGAGGCATGCATTATCATTGTTTCATTCTTGATGGCTGCTTTTGGACTATTTCCAGCCATGAGGGCATTGGGTATGCAGCAGCCATTGAAGGAGATTGCTTTAATTTGCTGCTTGAGTGTCATTGGGCTGCTGACCATTGCACTCAATACCTATAATGTTTTGGTAGGTGTGATGGTTCCAATGATCCATTTACAATCTGTGCAGGTTTTTGTGTTATACTTAATTTAATACATTTTTAAATATACTGGTGTGGAATCCAATGATTTACAGTTTATGAGTTTTCTTAGCAGATTAATTTTCTAAATATTATTTGTTGTGTGCTTCTTGATTGAGCTAATTCTTTTAAAAGAAACTGGTATAAATACAAATATGTTTATATATTTCATATATATATTGTTTATATATGAATACACTTTCATGTGCTTCTTGATTGAGCTAATTATTTTAAAAGAAACTGGTATAAATATAAATATGTTTATATATTGAGGGGACTTGTTTTTCTTGAAACAAAGACTTGAATTTGTCAAATCCAGCTGCCTACCAGGTAGAACATTCCAGCTATAATGAACATGATGTTGGAAAAAATTGTGTTTCTTGGCCAGCAAGGCCACTTTGCACTGGTTTTTTCTGGTGATAGTTGCTAAGGATAAAATAAAAAATTATTGATGTGCTGTGTGATTAAAATGCAAATTTCATGTATATTTATCCTTCTGTGAACCTTTTTGAAAAATTAAGAGTGGAAACTTCTGATAACCTTACTGCAGGCATTTGATAAGAATCCTTCATCCCTAGCTATGAGAAGCCTAAGTTGGTCATATAACAGATGCAATTAAAATGTACAATCTATGGATAAGAAAACATGCCTTCCTCATTATTTCAGTATGGTTTCCATGGAGCAGGTTACTCTTTCTTGGAGACAAAAGCAAGGGTAGTGCTAATCAATGGCCTGGATTGCCATGTCACATTGATTTCAAATGAAATGAATGAGGATTTGATTTTGTTGCCAAGAGGAACCACAGCTAGAGATCTGGATTCTGGCCAATACACTTTCAGGGCTTTTGCTGGAAGCTGTCCATACTTTTCTTCTGCCAGAACAACTGCTGAGGGTGGGAGTCAATCCTTTTCCATTTCCCTTTCGGAAAACACTGTGAGATGTTATTTTTGATATTGATCAATCAATCAACTGCAACTTCACTGTTTAGCTTCACACAGTGTTTGTTCACAAAGGAGAAGGCAATTCCATTCAACTCAAAACTTCACAAGGAATTAAAAGGAAGCGCTTTATGTACCCAATGTGGAGGTATGACATTTGACAAAACAGTATGAAAACTTGTGTAAACAATCCTTTTATTATGACCCAGAAGAAAAACATTGCTTATGACAGATTGACTTTTCAGGATATGAAGATGCAAATAAAATTGTTAGTATGTGTACTTCAGGGACCTTAATAAATGAGGTCCTTTATTTTATGATGTAATGAGGTAATTTCTCTTACAAAATCTCAGAATAACAGTCAATTGAATGAGTGAGCTAAGAAAATTGTACTCCAACAAAACATTTATTTCAATAAGATACATCTGAGAAATTGTTCTTTCCTGGAGTTTAATGTTCATTCCTTACAATTTCAGTTTTGCTCTGTATGATCAAAACATATAGTCCCACAAAATGAGGAATTGAAGTAGCTGAAGTGACAGTTTCTGAAGGGAAAGTGAAATCTTTGTTTGTATTCTAATTCTAAGGTACCCATTTATTAATTTAATCTGTTCATTTCCTTATTGTAGAAGGAAAAATCCTGCATTCCAAAACTGTTGGTGGAATGTCTGGAAATGAAACAAAAAATTGAAATATTAAAATAAATCTTGAAATATTGTTTTACATACTTTTTATTGCTGTTTTTATGAAGTTTCTGCTTGACCTTTGAAAAGATTTTCACATAATGCATGATCTTTGAATTCAATGCAAAGGAATTTCACTTGTGATAAGATTTGTTGCAACAATAAGATGCTGATGTATTTCTAATTATGTCTTGGACATGCTTTTCAATTCAATCTGAAGAATCATTCTGAGCATACCAGAGAGTGGCCCCATTCCAGGGGGAGTCTTGGTGCACAAATGGACAGGAAGAGAAGTGTTCAACTTTACAAAAAACTTCAAGTTGAATGAGGATGGGACAGAGTGTAATCAAAGATGTGATGATAAGGAATATGTTATTGAGAGCTGCTATCAATGTGAACTGGATCATTCTGGATGGTAAATCAGTCATTTTTATTCATTACTGTATAATCTTGTTCAGTAAAATAAAATACATTCTATATCACGATGCATTTTCAGGTATTCTCTCAAGATTAATGGAATTACCAGGGATCTGCTGATTGGAATGTACGCTGGAGGGAAGTACGACATTTCAGTACAGCGCAGTGACAGCAATAATCCCACGGTTAAGTACTGTACTTGGATTCTGAAAATATATCAAGAGATATTTTGTTAAATTTAAAACGTGGATTTAAATTATTGTGTAAATGAACTTCCAATATGACCCTCTGCCAGAAAATGAAAAATGCATTCTGCTTGGCCCAATCAATCTTAATTAGTTCAACATTTTGAAAAAGTTTATGCTGTATAAAAAAATTCACCTGATTGAACAGTGCAGTAGTATGAAAACTTTCTCCAAAATTGGTAAGACTAATCCTGAAAATTTCCAGTCAACCCTGCACAAAGGACGTCTTGCACAACACATTTTGCACAACAGACTGCCTTTGGATGGAGCCAGATTTTCCTCCCATGCAATGGACTAAATCCGCATAACAAACTTTTTTGTTTAAAATTAATGGTAAAAAGTATATATTTAATTTTTTAATAATTGAATTGAATTATTGAATAAAAGACTTTTCCCACAACAGACTAGTCTTTTGCACAAATCAAGTCAGTTGTGTGGGTATTGACTGTATTCCTTCTTTGCTGGTCTCAATTTTAAAAACATTAGTTTTGTCAGAAGAAAAAACTAAGATTTCAGGTTGTTCAACAATAATGTGAAATTATAAATTTTTGAATGATTCAATGTAATACTATTGAAAAAGACAGGCATATTTACCAAAAGACTTATATGAGGACAAAACACAATGATCTTCTGTAATTCAATCATCAGATTATCTTGACATTAAATTTAGTTTTCTTATTTCATATTTTTAGAAATATTTAAATTCATATGAAATTCCATCCATACTTCCAACCTTTTTTCAGTAAATGCAGTAATTAAATAGTTACTGATGTACATAGCTATGATAATACAGTATAACAAAATTAAATTATAAAATAAAGGAGATTCATCGACGAAAAAATTAAATTTTCCCTGGGGAGTCAAATGTTATAATTTTTTCTTCAGTGCGTCTAAGTTTCCAAATAATTTTGACGTATTAGGAAAGTGGCACAAATTTTGTTCTTTTGGTCAATATCGTGTTTATGAACGGGTTCCTTTTTCAAAAATGCTTGGACCCACGTACGTAAGAAAATCATATGAACCTGAAATAAAATAAGGTGCACATGGAAAATGTATGAAGAAATTGTATTCGTTGAAAATAAGTGTCCTGTTCACTTTTTTTTAGGACCTCTACGTCGTTTCGTCCCATGTCGTGGAATCAGGCAACAAATCGACCGTCACGGGTTGGATGACCTCTTACATTCTTTGGACTACATTTAGGACCATGTTTGTCGTGATTCTAATTGAATTCTCTGTTTGCGAGGTAATTTTTTATTTTCTTTGGGCATTCGGAACCTTTTATTTATTTATTTAATTTCAATTCCTCGTTCGTTTCGCGCATCAGGTGCCGAGGAAACTGCGCGGATTGGCCTTCGTCATGGCACAGATGCCGCCTCTGGTGGCCAACACTTTTAAATATCTGGCCAAGATGTATGTGAATTCCTCTGGAATCCCTGTGAGTACATTATTTGGCCGATGAAAGCACAGAATCCCGGTCATTTTTTTTAATTTTATGATTTTTTTAAAAATTGCTTTCAGACTCCCGAGTTTTTGCTGTGGGCGAGTGCTGCGAATGCAAGTGCGATTCTCCTGCTCTTGTGGATGAGCAGGTCCTTCGTCTATTACAGTATTCGAATTGTTTCTGATAGATATGCGACCGTAGGAAAATTCAAGTAATAAATTTTCCTTGAATTTATTCAAGGAACGAGGCCCGACTGAGGATATTTCCTTGGGGGGTTCGAATTAAATGACGGAAGCGGAAGATTTTTTTTGTAATTTAGGTTTGAAATAAAGTCTTTAATTGTATTGATGGCAACGCCCTCTCGATTGGAGAGTTTATTCAAGTTTCCTCAAGTTTTACTCTTTTACAGTTCGTAACCTTTTGAAGTACAGCATAACCTCTCCTATACATACAGTATAACTAAATAAATCAAAAATCTCATAAGTCACATTTTTGTAAGTTAAATATACTTAATACAGTGGAATCTTGATGAAATAATTTCGTTGTAGCAAAAAGTTGGAAATTGCTGAGTTAAACTTCATTCCTGTGTAAAATTATTTCTTTTCTTCCCTGAGAAAAAATATTTGTAGTTAAATTAAAAATGTATTGTCATGTAACAAGCTTGTAGGGATACTTAAGATAGTGTTTTGCATGAATAAATTGTCAAACTATATGACTTCCTGCATTAGACTTCATCAGAGAAATTTTTCTCTACTGAGAAATTTGTTATAATGGTATTTATTGTTTTATATAATGAGGTGTTACTGCTGTAGATGTATATAGACCTTATTCATAACACAAAGACTAATTTCCCCCTATAAATAAGATATGTGTAGCAAAAATTTTTGAAAGGCATTTGGACAATTTTTATGATGGCGACCCATCAGAAGGACAAATCAGCATACTTGAACAACTTATTTATCCAGCAGTTTAAGGCCAAAAATATCACCAGCACTTTTACCTTTGTTATTCATTTTTTTCTGAGTAAAAATACTGGTTTAACAAACTCATTCAGAACTTTTTATACTGTATTTTAATGTTTCTCTCTTAGTTTGACCATGTAAGGAATTTGATTGTGCTACAATCACTAACTTCATTTTTGATTGCTTCATTTTTTTTTTTACCATTTTTGTCGTTAAAGAAAAACCAGTAAACTAAAAAATTTACAAATACGAGGCAAATGTCAATTTTTCTTTCTTTTGATCAAAATTTAAATGCTTTTTTGATATCTACACAACCCTACTTAATTATATGAAATTCCATGGAATTTATGAACAAATTTTTCAATTTTAGGAATATAACATAGATGCCATCACATGCATTTCAGTCTAATTTTTTTCACCAAATAGAAAACGTTTTCAAAGTGAGAATAAATTATTTGGAAAGACGATTTTCAAACGTTGCTAATGTTTTTAATTTTTAGAGTGCTACTATATATACTGCTTTCCAAGAAAATTCTATCAGTTTTTCTCGGACAACAATAATGAGTGACGTTGGTTTTTACCAATTAAGATAATTTTCAGTGATTCGAAATGGAAAGCGTTGCATGCGGTTGAAAAAAGTAGTTGAGAAAGGAAAATTCTGTAAGTTTACACATTACTTGCCGTTTGTCAACATGTCTTTATCGGAAGCACGGATAAAATCTTCGAAATCCGTTCATATATGTGTCACAAAAGCAAAAAGAACATCGCATGGTAATTAAACCTATAATTAAAATCGCGTCAAACCTATTGCAAGACATCTGCTTTTATATCGATGAGGATAATCAATCGACCTCTGAAAGCATTTATACTTGCTTCAGTATAGTGTTACCGATCATTATTATTCTAATGAGAATATATAGCTGATCAGCGATTCATGATTATTCCTTAATCGTCCTCGCGGTGAAAGGGATATAAGGTCGTCGAAGGTTCATTAATTGGTCTTTTCTGGAAAACCACTGACGATCGTAAATAAAATGCCTCATAGATGGCTGCTCAATTACATCGACCGAAAAGGATACGGATATCAAAAGTAAGTTTTCAGAACAAGCGAAAAATAAATGCATTATATGAAGCAATACTGTATATTTCTCGAATAATTATTCTTCTCGTTTCAGGACCTCATGCGTAAGTCATCAAGGATTTTCTCCTTCAAATTTTGAGAACTATTCGAACTGCTCGACGCTGAATATATTTGGTTCCTGGACAACTCGTCACCACCTTCCAATTGGCCACCATGCCCAAATGGACGTCAAATATATATGCATGGATAACTGCTGAAAGTTGCATAAAACGACTTGAATATTACAAATAAATCCAATCAATATACATTTTATCACATTATACAGTATATGAAATCAGAATTATGAAATTTTTACAGTACATATTACTGTATGTATTAATTTTACTGCATATTTTTTTCTACTTGTTTACATACATTACCTATATAATCAACTCAGAATTTATTTATTATTACATCTTTAAATTACCGTAACTGAACAATTTACCGTATTTACTTGAGTACCACGTGCCCTCAAGTAAGGTGCGCACAGGGGTTTTTCAGTTGAAAATTTTGCAAAAATCTTATCTCCGCCAAGTAAGACACGCACCCCAATTTTTAGTGTATCTGAAACCATAAAATTTCAAATTAAAAACCAAAAATTTGACTTCAGGCGTGAATTGAACAAAAATCTGATCAATTTTCAACTTATCAGTACAAAAATGTTTTTGTTTTCATTACATTTGTTCCAAATTTCTCCATTATAATTAAGTATAATGCGCACATAACTTCCTAAAACTTCTTGAAAATGTTGTACCCACTTATGATGCGCACCCTTCTTTTTCTTCTGAAATTTGGGAAAAAAAGGTGTGTGTGGTACTTTGAGTAAATCCAGGTACATTCATATTCTCTTCAAGTACAATAATTAATTACGTCATGCCACAATATCCCCTTTTGCATAGGAGGAAAGGTTCAGTTTTCTGCCATTAATTGTCAATGTTGACTGTTGATACAGTATTTTTGTTGATCCATAATGAACAATATTTCAGAAGTTAATTGCAACTGTTAGTGCTCAAAATTCTATCAAGATATATATTTGAGTGTAGATAATGGAAGTGTAAAAATTCAGTTGTCTCTTAAACTGTTTTCTTAAACTTTAGCCAGTCAGTTTTCTGTTTAAGCTCTGGGGAACTTAAGCTGGGATATAATTATTTTTTGCTGTTGATGTACATTACTTCATTATACAGTAGTTTTTCAAGCCTTTTGCATCATGTTTATTTTTCTCTTCCAAAGCTATATATAGGGGCAATCCTCTTATGACGCATGTATTGTTGAAAAAGAATTTTCATTGATATGAAATATATTTAAGGGTTAAGAATGATAGCATGAAAATATAATTCTGCCCATTTGGTGAGGGTTAAATTTGGTTTTGTATAGACGAGGTTAAATTTGTCCATGGTGGCCATTTGGGAAGCGGTCAGTTTTTGTGGCGCTGGATTGAACCGACGCTGAATTTCCCCACAGCTGGTCTTGTGCATTGTGTGCGCATTTTTCATCGGTCTTTCAAACGGAATCATTAGTTACCGTGAGTTTAAATTTTTATAAATGTTTTGTTTATTTATTTTATTTTGCTTATACTGTAGTATCATGTGATGGTGGCCAATTTATTTTCCCCCAGTGTCTCTAATAATTTATTTATTTCAGCGCCACTGAAATCATTTTTTGAGGATCATTTTCTAGTCCCTTCCGACTGGTTATTTGTGGCATATTACGGTGGACATTTGAGTTTTGGGTTCATCGCATCTTTTCGGCATCATTCTCCAAGGTGATGAGTTGATGAATTTTTTGTTGCTGTTTTTGGATCTGTTAGGAACTGTGTTATTTAACTAATGTGTGTTTTACAGGATTATAGTGCTTGCATCCATCTTCGGAATTACCGGCTCCGTTTTGCAGACCCTAGCAAGCGTGCTCACCTATGGCGATTTAATTGCCAAGTGAGTCTGGGATTTTTATTGAATTTATTTTCATTTTTCTATATATATATATATATATATATATATATATGTATAGCAATTTCATAATGCCAAATTCAGAACTCAGTTTTCCAATTATGCCTATATTTTTTACATTGTTCTATATATATATATATATATATGTATATATATATAATATTATGCCTATATTTTTTTACTTTGTTATATATATATATATATATATATATATATAAAATATAGGCATAATAGGAAAACTGAGTTCTGAATTTGGCATTATGAAATTGCTTTTGAAGGACTATTGTACTGTATTCATAAAAAATGAGCAAAAGGCACATTAATTAATGTAGAATATGTCAAGTAAAATAGTAACCTGTTTTTTTGTGACTCCCTTAAAATTAAGATCTTTTTCCTTATGATCTTACAGAACTGCTCTCGAATTTTGCCATGCATTTTTATATACAGGTTGACTCTACAATGGAATTCAAGGAACCAGAAAAATTATTTTTAGGGAGCATTTTTTGTAGAAAATCCCTATGCAACATGATGGGGAAAGAACCTTATATATGGGATCAAAATAGAGACATTTTTTGTAGACAAGATTGTTGTAGAGAGTCTACCTGTATATAGTTGTTCAATGCCTTTATAGTTTTTAATGATGGCTATTATACTTCTCATAAAGATACATAAATTTTTTAGAAATTCCAGAAATAATGGAGATTGAGCAAAAGGTCTAAGAAATGTAAGAATACACCTAACTGCCAGTTATACATCACTTGAATAGCTCATCTTGATCTGCATTTCATTAACAGAGGTACAGTATATATAGTGATATTCATTACTCTTATAGTGACATTAGTGACAGCCAGCATGAACAGGAATTGTTCAATTGGTAGGGACAGATTTCATTTGTTGTAAGAAAATAATCCAATAAATTCTGTATATTACTGAAGTTTTGCTGATGGTTGATTTTAGAATTCAATGTTCTTATACCAACAATTCGTAAATATGGGAAATGAGCTCATTTTGAAAAATAATAAAGTTGGATATCCTGGACTTGGTGAACATGCTGTATGCAGTTTAAGTTGGCATCTTAAGTTTTTCAATATTAAGGATAAGTTCAGGCTTGAAGTCATTTTTAGTTCAGTGCCAGCATTTTGTAATGTGGCTGCTCATCTGCATCAACTATACACATCAGTTACACTTATGTCCTAGTATATGTTCCATGCATATAGAAACAAAATCAGGAAAGCATCAAGTTTATTTTAATGCCCACAGCTATGATTCTATGCGTGTTCAAGCTGTTTGCTACCATTTATAAGAAAGACAATCTTCTTTTGTTCAAAAAGCAGTCGTTTCTTATTTGAGAATTCAAGTAGTTATTTGAGAATATAAGAATGCTATCAGGGGTGAAATCATGCTAAGTGATCTCATCCCTGATAAAATTTATATGCAACATATAGCATTGTGCAAACTTTTAACTGAATTTTGCTCTCCATTTTTGAATGCACCAATTATTGTGCAGGTGGATTTATTCAGCAGGCACAGTCTTGTGCTCAATAAGTGTTGGAGGAATGTTGCATGGGTGTTACCTGGGCACCCTTGTTCTGAGCAGGAGCTTTGTTGACAGACGCATAGGACTCAACTCTGTAGATGAGAAACCAAATTTCCAAGAGATGAGATTTGCCAAGAATGTGGCTGCTGTCTATGTGGCATTTTTGGTTGGGGATCCACTGTTTGGTGGAATCTTAGGATGGACTGACTTTGGAAGAGGGTGTTCTGGCTCCAAAAGCTGCTTCACTATGTTCCATCTGTGGAAAGTGGTCTTCATTGCCATTCCTGGAGGTTTTTATTTTGAATTTTCCTCCTACAATAAGCAGTACTGTTGACCCTGCATAACAGATTTTTTCATAACAAACTGCCTCTGATGGAGGCATTTTTTCCCTCTTGCATGAAAGACAAATCTGCGTAACAGATTTCAGTGTGTAGTATAGTGTGCACCACCAGTGGACATGAGTCCTTCAGGTCCCCCCTTGGGTACCCAACCAAAAGCCCCCCCCCCCCCCCACCACTTTTTTGTAATGGGATGCAAGTTTCATAATAGTGCTTGGTGGCTCTGAGAAGGGCTATTTGGTTTCATTAGTCCTCAAAAGGACTGTTTAATAATCATCTTGAAAATTGCCTTTTGCTGCCTCTTCCTCACTGTCACTGATGCACTCCATGTCATTTTCTTCTAAATAGCCATTGTATAGTATGCAATTTGACCACCCTTCTGATTATTGATGATCTGAAGTGCACCAGCCATTGGACCAACAAGGTGAACTGTAGATTTTGCAGAAGTCAGCAAATGATGATGCTTTGAAATTCAAAGAATCACTGATGACAATTGCAGGTGAAGAATACCTTCATATACTCAATTTACCAACATATTGGTACTTGGCCTTGTGCTGGGCCTGCTGGTGAAAGGTGCAGCTTACAGAAGAATCACTGATGAAAGGTGCAGCTTACCATAAAGAGTTACAAGAATACCTGTAATCCCCAATTTTTGGATCTAGGGGGGGGGGGGCTTTTGACCTAGGGGGCTTTCCGGGGGCTTTTGGACTACACCCCCCTTGCTTCCCAACTTAATCTAAAATATATAAAAGGTCATTATTACTGCCATGAATGTGCGTTTTTTAGTTCTTGGATTTTAATCTTGCTTGTTTTGCATAAGTGTAAACATTCATAGGAAAATCAAATTTGCATAATGAACAGATTTTTCAAAATTTGCAATATAAACAGATTTTTTGAAATTTGCATAATAAACAGACTTTTCATGTAAGACCAGTAGTATGTTGCACAAATTAAGTCCGTTGTGCGGGGGTTGACTGGAGGCTCTTTTTTTGACAGAAGTCCTCTCTGCATATACATGGTGTCAATAGCAGGATTTCCAGAAGAAGAAAGTATTTTCCCAAAAGGGCTCCTGAGATCTCAAATACTGTTTACCTGTACCTGATGAACAGATAAACTTTGCAGTAGAGTAATATGTACTGTATATGTATTGTCATTGTAATAATAGTGAGTCCTTCAACAACGTAACAATACCCCGTTCTTGAACAACGTAACAATACCCCGTTCTTGAACTGAGCTTCATATGTGAAGGTCCTCATAGCAACAAACCGGGATCCGTGTACCTGAACGTTGCAACAGTGTCTGCTGACCAGTCATTCACATGACTTGGTTTACTTTCTGTTTATCTTATTCATGCAAGGTCAGTCACCTGTCTTGAGCATCCAATGTCTATAAAAGAGTGTCCAAACCCTCCTTCCATGGCTCATTGCTGGTCTGGACTGTCGTTGTGCATGATCTGAAATATACGTATTTGGGACTAAGAGAAGTTGTCTCAATGGAAATCATTGGATAAAAATTTGAAGGGATTACAACGCGTAGAAGACATTCACGCGTAGTTCCTAAAATTTTGTATACATCCAACAGTTTGGGATAACAGTTAACTGTATTTTTTTCCACTTCCCAGCATTGGTAAGAATCTGGCCTACAACACTGCCCAAGTTCCACACCAGAGCATCTTGGAGGTTCTACAAAAGACTGTGGCTTTGTTTTTTTGTAAGAATTTTCGTGTCCAAAGTAATCTGGTTTTTTCATTTAATGATTTTCAAAGCTCTCATTTACTGTATTTGCCGTCATAATTGCAGCATTCTGTGAAGGCGTTCATCTCGGTTCGCGTGCGAAGACTTCCAGCAGAAGAAAAGTTGCCGCTTTTTGACAACGCAGCGGCGATGGGTCATCAGCCGGCGACCATTCAAACTTGCAAAACGCTCGTGTCATTCCTAATAACTTTACCCGTCTTTGGGTTCGCTGGGTTGCTGTTTTCAGGGGTGAGACTTTTTCCATGCATTTTGTCACTATTCTTGTTTTTTTTTTGCGCGGGGCTTTCCAAAAGTAAAATAAAAATTAGGGTGGCAAAGCCCCTGTTCTAGGTATAGATTAACCCATACTGCTATACTGTATTTAATAAAATGTGCACAGCAGTTATTGCAACTCAAGCCCTGGTTGATCATCAGAAATCCCTTTAAATGTATCCAATATATTGGGAAATTTTTGAAAAATCATTTTTTTAAATTAAAATTCAAAGCAAATTTCCAGAAAAGAAACAGATGCAAATCACATTCTTTGTGCTCTCCATCAGCACAAAGGATCTACTCAAGTGAAGCCAAATTCCCTAACTTTACAAATCTATTGAAGTCGAATTTTTGGGAACAATAAGTTCTAATTTGATTTAGACAGATTTGTTTGTATCTGTGTGGTATAAACATAAATATGTGCCAAAATGTAATTTCATCAGGAAACACTTTTATTGAAAAAGCAATAGCAAGGAGGCTTTAGCAAACATCATTAAATAGAAGTAATATATGAATAAGGCAAGAATTTTACAGTTTATTGGGAAATTTTTGAAAAGTCTTTTTTTGGAATTAAAATTAAAAGCAAATTTCCAGATAAGAAACAGATGCAAATCACATTCTTTGTGCTCTCCATCAGCACAAGGGATCTACTCAAGTGAAGCCAAATTCCCTAACTTTGAAAATCTATTGAAGTCGAATTTTTGGGAACAAGTTCGAATTTGATACAGACAGATTTGTTTGTATCTGTGTGGTATAAACATAAATATGTGCCAAAATATAATTTTATCAGGAAACACTTCTATTGAAAAAGCCATAGCAAAGAGGCTTTTGCAAACATCATTAAATAGAAGTTATATGAATAAGGCAAGAATTTTTCTCTGAATCTTTGAGTTAAACTATGACCTATAAATGCATCATACTCGATTAAATTTTCAGCGCTGATCAGCCTAATAAATTTGCCAATTAAAGCCATCCAGCACCTCCAATAATGAAACCTGTCAATAATAATTCATTATTTTTATGTTTTTTCATACTAGATGTCGAGACAATTATATTGAAGATTGATCAATATATTCTCTTTTTTACTTTTTAGAACTGCTGAATATAAGGGTGATATTTTTGAGCAAAATACCGTATAAATTTACATATAGAGAGTAAAAATAAACCATAGTGTGCCATTTCCAATGCGCTACTCAAGTTGAAAGAAACAAGAATTTCTCTTGCAACTCTTCATGATACCAAATGTTCAGGTTTGCAAGATTTGAGGTTACAATGTGTTGACAACTTGATAAATGTTTTAAGATTTTTTAGGTAAAAAGAAATAATATCATATTTAAAAACAAATAAAAAGTTACTAGAGACCAATTTGTACATGCTGTATTGCTTGACAATATCTGATCCATTCTCAGGAAAGAGTAGCATTGCTGGGGATCTATATACTGTATCTTGTTATTTCTGGAAGGAATACAGTACCAGGAATTTTGATTAAATATTTTTTTTTCGAAATCTGCATGTTATATACAGAGATCCTTGATAGACCGTCAACAATTGTGGATGAACACGACGTTGAATCACCAGATAACGTTATCCAACCACGAATTTTTCGAGTCCTTTTTCTTCGTGGCGTCCTTCATGTTGCTCATGTTGGGATTGTTGCCGGTCTTGAGAGCCTTCAACTTGAAACAACCATTGAAGGAGATTGCCTTGTGCTGCTTTCTCAGTGTCATTGGGCTGGTGGCAATTCTCTACGACGTTTCCCGTCTTTTGGTTAGTATTTTTCTGTGTCCATTTATATAATGATCAAAAAGGCATTGTTTACAGGGCTGCGGAAAGATAATTGAATTACTTTTCAAATCATGATCATGGCTGGTATTCCATTATTATGCGTTTTTCTATTGCATTGAAATTATTTTGAAGGTTCTGGTAGAAATTTCACTTTACTTCTAAATGAAGCTACTGCATATCGAATTATTCACTGAACATTTTTCATTGTGCTATGTACTGAACATTTCCCCATGAATTCTAACACAATATTCTATAGCAGACCCTTATGTTTTGGACATCCCAACTTTGGCCAGATTTGAAGGCTCTAATGTGGATTTGGAAAAAATGTTATGCTTGCTGCACCTATAGTAATGCATGAATGCTGGAAAATCTATCCTTGTCTCAATTGATATCTTGGTGCACTTGAAACAAGTTTTTTTTTTATATTTTCATGCATTATTGTTGTAATTGTACAGGTTATTGCTACTTATTTCTGTAAAAGGAGTAGCAAAATTTGCAGCTGAAGCGCATTAATATGTTGATCAAAAAATGTGCCTTTTGGATAACCAAATTTTATCTTGCTTATTTATGGGATGAATGCGCTTCAGAATGCTCAGGGCCAAGTGGACAACAACCCATTATGGTACTTTCATGGTCATGGAAATTCATCCATGAAGGGTCTTTTTAACAGTAGAGAATAGAATTTGTGGGCCACTGTGGGCTACACCACTGCTGCCCAACTTGGCCCTCCCCATGCTGGATCTGGCCCACATCTTTACCTAAAAATTGGAAGGACAATAACAGTTTATGATCTAAATTATTTTATTACAAATACAATAAGTTGGCTTTTCTCCTGATGACATTCCTGACACATGTTTGTCTGCTGAAATAGATCATTTTAAATTTTCACTCTTCAGAACCTTTCTTCAGGCCCTCTTTTCTAATTTTTTTGATGAGATTCAGCCATAGCTCCTTCCTTGGTGCTTAACTCAATTTTTGAAAAGGAGCAGAAAATTTTGAATACCTGCCATAAAGTCTTTTGAGCAAAACTTCTGTGAGTCTGAAGAAATTTTATGAAACTTCACTGGTCTGCAAAATTATTTTGAGAATATGCTGGTCCATGAGAAATTTTATGAGAATTGGCTGGTCTATGTTGCCCAGAAAGGTTGGGGGAACACTGGTCCATGATACAGCCCTACACTAATGTTCTTCACTGCTCACATTGGCTTTATTTCTCACTTCAGCAACGTGTCCATGGAGGGGACTCCTCATTGGGTAATCAAGACGACAGAGTGGTGTTCATCAATGGCCTCGATTGCCACGTCACATTGGTCCCTGAAGGCCTTGATGAAATCATACTGTTGCCAGGGGGAACAACAGCCCGGGATTTCGACCCCGGTGACTACGTTTTCAGAGCCTTCGCCGGAAGTTGTCCGTCCTTCTCTTCTGTCCAGACAACTGCCAAGGGTTGGAGCAAAGCTCACACTGTCACTTTCCTGCCCAACACTGTGAGATGCTTTCACGCATTTTACTGAGAGAAGATTTTGTATCAGTGAGACCCCATACGTGCAAACAATTTGACATATGGACATTTATTTTTCAATAAAAGGGCATATAAAAGGCCCAACATGCAGACACTGACTCAACATGCAGACATGGTATGATAAAATTGCCAATAAGTTTCAGGAAAAGTGATTTTTATCAGGCTGAATTGCAAGAAACACATATTTCCAACCCTAAGAACTATACCAGAAAAACTCTTTTGTATTTCTCTCATCCATTCANCTTTGAGTTAAACTATGACCTATAAATGCATCATACTCGATTAAATTTTCAGCGCTGATCAGCCTAATAAATTTGCCAATTAAAGCCATCCAGCACCTCCAATAATGAAACCTGTCAATAATAATTCATGATTTTTATGCTTTTTCATACTAGATGTCAAGACAAGTGTATTGAAGATTGATCAATATATTCTCTTTTTACTTTTTAGAACTGCTGAATATAAGGGTGATATTTTTGAGCAAAATACCGTATAAATATACATATAGAGAGTAAAAATAAACCATAGTGTGCCATTTCCAATGCGCTATACTCAAGTTGAAAGAAACAAGAATTTCTCTTGCAACTCTTCATGATACCAAATGTTCAGGTTTGCAAGATTTGAGGTTACAATGTGTTGACAACCTGATAAATGTTAAGATTTTATAGGTAAAAAGAAATAATATATTAATAACAAATAAAGTTACTAAGACCAATTTGTACATGTATTGCTTGACGATATCTGGTCCATTCTCAGAAAAAAGTAGCATTGTGGGGATCTATATACTGTATCTTGTTATTTCTGGAAGGAATACAGTACCAGGAAAATTTTATTAAATTTGTTTTCGAAATCTGCATGTTATATATACAGAGATCCTTGATTGACCGTCAACAATTGTGGATGAACACGACGTTGAATCACCAGATAACGCTATCCAACCACGAATTCTTCGAGTCCTTTTTCTTCGTGGCGTCCTTCATGTTGCTCATGTTGGGATTGTTGCCGGTCTTGAGAGCCTTCAACTTGAAACAACCATTGAAGGAGATTGCCTTGTGCTGCTTTCTCAGTGTCATTGGGCTGGTGGCAATTCTCTACGACGTTTCCCGTCTTTTGGTTAGTGTATTTTACCGTGTCCATTTATATAATGATCAAAAAGGCATTGTTTACTGGGCTGCAGAAAGATAATTGAATTACTTTTCAGATCATGATCATGGCTGGTATTCCATTATTATGAGTTTTTCTATTGCATTGAAATTATTTTGAAGGTTCTGGTAGAAATTCCATGCAAATAAGGACTCCAAACTTTCACTGTACTTCAAAAAGAAGTTGCTGCATATCAAACTATTTACTGAAAATTTCTCATTGCGCTATGTACTGAACATTTTCCCATGAATTCTAATAAAATATTCTATAGCAGACCCTAACATCTTGAAGTACTGTAATATAATGTTTTGGACATCCCAACTTTGGCCAGATTTGAAGGCTCTGATGTGGACTTCGAAAAAAATGTTATGCTTGCTGCATCTATAGTAATGTATGAATGCTGGAAAATCTATCCTTGTCTCAATTGATATCTTGGTACACTGGAAACAAGTTTTTTTTTATATTTTCAGCATTCATTATTATTGTAATTGTACAAGTTATCAGAAAGCAAGTACAGGTTATTGCTACTCCTTTCTGTAAAAGGAGTAGCAAAATTTGCAACTCAAGCGCATCAATGTTGATAAAAAAAATGTGCCTTTTGGATAACCAAATTTGATTTTGCTTATTTATGGGATGAATGCGCTTCAGAATGCTCAGGGCCAAGTGGACAGCAACTCATTATGGTACTTTCATGGTCATTGAAATTCATCCATGAAGGGTCTTTTCAACAGTAGAGAATAGAATTTGTGGGCCTGCCCTACACCACTGCTGCCGAACATGGCCCCCCTCCCCATGCTGGATCTGGCCCACCAAAAATTTTGGAAGGACAATAACAGTTAAAATTATTTGATGACAAATACAAGTTGGCTCTTCTCCTGATGACATTCCTGACAAATGTTGGCCTGCTGAAATGTATTATTTTAAATTTTCACTCTTCAGAACCTTTCTTCAGGCCCTCTTTTCTAATTTTTTTGATGAGATTCAGCCATAGCTCCTTCCTTGGTGCTTAACTCAATTTTTGAAAAGATCGTCTTTTAAAACTTATGGACGGTATTTCAGAAAACTCGTTTTGAAGACACTCAGACTTCTTTAAAATACTTTGAAGTGACCAGACGTTTTAATAAAACTCTTATACGACCAGGTACTCTTTAAAAATGAGAATTGGCTGGTCTATGTTGCCCAGAAAGGTTGGGGGAACACTGGTCCATGATACAGCCCTACACTAATGTTCTTCACTGCTCACATTGGCTTTATTTCTCACTTCAGCAACGTGTCCATGGAGGGGACTCCTCATTGGGTAATCAAGACGACAGAGTGGTGTTCATCAATGGCCTCGATTGCCACGTCACATTGGTCCCTGAAGGCCTTGATGAAATCATACTGTTGCCAGGGGGAACAACAGCCCGGGATTTCGACCCCGGTGACTACGTTTTCAGAGCCTTCGCCGGAAGTTGTCCGTCCTTCTCTTCTGTCCAGACAACTGCCAAGGGTTGGAGCAAAGCTCACACTGTCACTTTCCTGCCCAACACTGTGAGATGCTTTCACGCATTTTACTGAGAGAAGATAAAATGTACTGTGCAGAGGTAAAATATGCAATGCTCCAAATGTTCTTATTGAGTTCACTGAATCAAATTCAAGTGGCAAACAATTTTTTTCATGGAATTCTAAAGATTATTCCTTCCATAGAACACCAATTATAAATTATATAATGCAATTATATGGGAAAATGAGACTCAAATTAGGGACACTGTTCAATGTACCATTTATGTCCACATCTGGGGGTCTCACTACTATCAAACTTAGATAACACCATTTGTTGGTGAGTTATGTGGCACTTTATTGGGGTTTGGTGGATTGCCAAAGAAAAAACTAAAATAATATTAAAATGAAGTATACTAGAAAATTAAAATTTGTACTCTTCTAAGAGACAATCAAGATAACCCTGGGATGTATGAATTATATCTAGCTAATGTTCCCTTTAAGAATTATATCTAGCTAATGTTCCCAATAAGTGAATCATGTAATCTTTGTTTTTATATGTTTCCTTATTGATAGACCTCTTTCAGAAAATATAATTTTTTTCAGTCTATTGAAGAAACAATTCTCAAGTCAAGAGCATTTCAAGTTGTTGATAGTTTTGGCAGATGGCCTTTCCCATGCTTTCATCATTAGGAAATGTTAGTGTTTAAAATTAAATTGGCTGTTCCTGAGGGTGGTGGCTGATTCTGGTATGATATTATTATTGCATCAGAAGCAATTTTATACTTTTATCTTTTTTTCAAGATTCACACTTTGCTCGTATTCAAAGGAACGGGTAACTCTGTGCGACTGAGAGTTTTGGAAGGGATCAAAAACGAGCGCTTCAAATACCCCATGTGGAGGCATGTATACTAGATTACCTCCGCAGTATTTTACAGGCCTTTGATGCCCGGTTTAATTACAATTTCAAGACTCATTTTGAACGTGCCGGAGGATGGCAGTGAGATGCCTGAAGGCACGTTGGTTCACTTATGGACAGGAACAGAGGTGCTCAATTTCACCAAGAACTTTATGATGTATGAAGGTGGGGTAGAGTGTGCGCAACACTGTGAGTTGCCTGAGGATTTTGTCCTTGAGAGCTGCTATCAATGCGAACTGGATCATTCAGGCTGGTGAGAGCAAAAACTGTTTCGTTTCTGTCTGAATTTCACAATTGAGAGTGCTTTTTTGGAACAGGTACATTCTCAAGGTTAAGGGAGCCAACAGGAATCTGATGATTGGGATGTACAGCGGTGGCAGGTACGACATCTCCGTGCAGCGCAGTGACAGCAATGATCCCAAGGTATTGCAAATGTACAATATAATCTTGATGAAACGATATTTATACAGTTGGACCTTGCTAAGTTGAAGTGCTCTAAGTCAATAACTTCCTTTTCAAATAGTTTGTCTTTCTGACTTCCCATACGAAAAATTTAAAATAATATCAACCCAAAATGAATAACTAAGTTTGTGATGTAGAGTTGTAGACCCATGAAGGAGAACAGATGTGTAATTCAATGCTTTTCAAAAGCAAGTAAAAGACAAGTAATTGGACCATTGCAATTAATGGTTCAGCATCCTTTAATTTTTTTTTAATTTTTATGTTAACTCTCTCAATAATGCGGGTTTCTGTAAAATTTGCAGTCAGTTCTGTTGAACTAACTTCTGTGAGATGATTTTTTTTAGCCCCCCCCCCCCCTGAGCTTGGTTTGAGTATGGTAAGACCAAAATTGTTTCTAATAAAAAAAAAATTTGTCTACCATTGACCCCATGTTAATGAACATCACCTGTTGCAGAAGGAAATTTGTTTACCCATTAAGACTTTTCCATAGACTTCATGATTTTTCTAGTGCCATAATATCATCTTGAAGGTAAAATCATAGCTCCACACTAGTTTTGTGAATCAACCCATTTCCTTACTGACCCCTTGAAATTATTCCGGAGGATGTTGCTCTGCATGAACTCTGCAAGTTGTCATACATTGTTCAGATCTACGGTGTGGAAGTCTAGTCTACCCAGTACCTACTAAGAAAAGTATGAAAAATTATTTAATTTACATAAAATTCGTCCCTAGATTCATTAATATGATATAAGTATATCATTAGTCATCCGTTTCTTTCTTAATGATGGCTCTTCCCTGCTTTTCAGGAGCTCTTCGTGGTGTCATCCCGTGTTGTGGGTGCTGCCAGTGAAGTTTCAGTAACTGGTTGGATGTTCTGTTACATACTGTGGGTGACGTTCAGGACCCTATTCATTTCTCTTCTGCTCGAATTCGCCGTTTGTGAGGTAATTTTTAAAACTTGACAAAAAAAAAAAATTACGATTTTTTATAAGGCCAGTTTTCTACAGGTTCCAAGAAGATTGCGAGGATTGGCCATGGCATTGACTCAGATATCATTACTGCTAACTCACTCTTATACAGTCATGTCTAAAAGGAAGCAATTCCTTCACCCAGCTGGAATTTCCGTAAGTCGAAGACTTGCTTTACTGTTCACTCATGAGCCGATTTCCACCCTACTGAAATCGAAATAATTTTCAGACAATCGAGTTTTTGACGGGTGCAACATATGTCAATTTGATCGCTGTTCTGGGGCTTTGGTGGCTTAGTAGATCGTTTCATTATTACGGTATTCGAATAGTGGCTGACAAGTATGTGACTGTCAACAAATACGAGTGAAACAAATGCGAAGGCTTACATTTACTTGAGCGACTGATGATCAAGACTGTTCAAGATAACATGTCATTTAGTTAATCTTATGAAAATGTTAATCTGCGTGTAGCCCAGAATGCAGCGAATACTTTATATTCTAAATACAATCTGCAGTTTGTTGAATCCATCTTTGAAGTACAGTAAAGGAGTTATGTTACTGTCGAGCTTATTTCCGAAATTTGAACCGTAATCGAAAAAAAATAATTTTTCCCCGAATAAAAAATTTGAAAACTTCATTCGAATAATAATGCACATTCTTACATAGCAACGAACTTCCCACAGCAACTCTCACACTTCATCCTCATTTTACACGCAAATAAAAAAAAAAAAAATAGCCATGAATAATAAAAAAGAGCTAAAAACCAGCACGGGACACTCGAATGACTGAAGAACTCTGTTACGATCGGATCACCTGCTTGACGTTGAAGTCACCATAGCTGGAATCCCGGATGATGGTCAAGCTGTGATCGTTCACGATGTGCAAAAATGCGATGAATGCCAAGTGAACACTCAAATCCGTAGCTTGAACTTTTGGAAGCAACGCTGGCAAATCTCGGTAAATTTCCGCAAAGGACACAGTGAATTCTCCCATAGATTCGCACAGCTCCGGATTTTTCCCCACACGACGGTGCAACGTTTCCTCCGTTTCACCCTCGTGGACCTTTAGCTAGATCAATCGAAGATGATACGGTTAATTATTGATCAAATTGGATTTATAAATCAATTGATATACGGTATATAATATTTTCAGTGCCACATACGAGGATTTTCCCAGTCGGACGTGACCTTTGATATTTTTAGAATAGAAGTGCTTGTAAAAAAAGTAAATCATGACGTTCTATGATTTTGGTATTTTTTTCAAACTTTTACTGAAGTTCTTCAAGTTACAGCATAATACTGTAAGTGCAAACTTCTCAGTTACAGCCAGAGGTCCAAAACCGTGCAACAAGGTGCAGCAAATTTGCTAGAAAATTTAAATGATTTATTCTTTCACCCAATATCCAATCTACTTTATATAAAATGTAAACGGCTGTAACTGGAAAGTTTTCACTGATCACCATGCAATAAAATGAAAAACTTTTTTTTTAAATCCCAGAATATTGAAACTTTATGATAAACGTCATGATTTTTTCTCAAAAAACGGAGGTCGCGTCTTACTCAAACAACCCTTGTACACCATTTCACTTTAAACGGATTCCGCTTTTAGTTATTAAAATTGACAGAAAGTGAGTAGAAGTGTTGTACTGTATAAGAGTATACCTCCGATTCGAGTTAGCGACATTGAAGTAATCGAGGTCACAAGAAAGAATTGTACTCCTTAACAATGACACCAGTGGATCCTTTCTTTTTGTTTAACCATCAAAAATGAAACGTTAATTTAGAGAGGTTAAACTGTACCATCAGTTTAAAATAAATTGGGTAGAATATTTCACTTACAAGCTGTTGTTTGCAGAGCAGGTACCACACAGACTGCTTCAGAAGGCGCATGTTGATTCGCTTCGCCTTCTTCTCAAAATTGATCACCGCGTACTCCACCTAAGGAAAAAAAAAACGATTGTAAAACTAAAATCAAGTCCCGAGTCCTTCAAAACCGAACAAGTAAAACTTGAAAAGTGACGGACGAATGATAAAATTGACAAACCTTCTGAGGCGCATCAATCAGGTTGTCGCCTTCGTACATGCCAACGTGACCGGCGGCGGCGACCTCTTCAACGATACCATCATCGGCGTCGTCAGGCGTAGATCCGCCAAAGAATGCGTCACCATCGCCGCCGAAAGACGCGTCGTTGCCGCCATGGTCGGCATCCAGATCGTGGGCTTCGTTCTCAACTTCCTTCGACATGACTCCATTGTTCTTGTCCTTGCCGGTTTTCAAGTACTGAACGTTCAACACGAAGTACCTTGACGCGCAGAGGAAAATTGTAGCAATTAATAAAAGGAAATTTTTATATTCCGAACAATTGAAGGAGCGCTCGCGTCCTTCGAAAAAAAAAAAAATCTGAGAAAATCTAGGTAGAACAAATTTTTTGTGTAGAATAATAGTTGAGAAAAAATTATTTTCTGGGATCTCTCCAGTGCGGACACATATTCAAAACTCATAATGATACATTTTTTGTTATATCAAAGGTTTTCTAACTAATTTTTTTCGTGGAAATTTTTTTCCACAAGATTCAAGATAATATTTATAACAAGAATAATTTGAGATTTAAAAGTGTCAGATGAGAGGAAAACTCTTGCAAGAGAAAGTTGTCACTTCTCCTTCATTAGACTGAAAAATTATATTGAAAATCTGAAAAAATTTCAGATGCCTGAAGCATCATGGAGAAAATGACGGACTTTTCTGTTAAAACATTTCTTGCGTAGTTGACAATACGAGGGTTGGTACGTAACTTTTGAGACTTTTTGAAGTAGATTCAACGAAGTTAAAAATTCAGAAATGTTTTCACTCGCATATAGCCCCATCATTTGGCAACACTCAAGTGCTGTTCAACACACCCTCTGCCAATTTCAACGCATTTTTCATGCAGTAAATACAATGATAAAAAAACTGCCGCAAATCAATTCAAGTGGCCAAAAATTTGGACCGAAGTCTGAAAATTTGCACAAGAACTCAATTTTCGGCAGTGTTTCGATCGTTGGATTTATTGCATGAAATATTGTAGTGAAATCAGCAGAGATTATGTTGAACAGCACTGAAGTGTTACCAAATGATGGGGCTATGTGGGTAAATTTTTGCTATGCGGAATCGCTGAAGCTTCGTTGGATCTTTTTTATGAAGTCTCAAAACTTATGAAACAACCCTCGTATTCAATCATGCGCAGAACTGGTACAGTACAATGAAATTTCTTATAGTTTCTCCGTATTTGTCGTAACATGATGTTTTGAAAGTATTGTCTTCAGAATTTCGAATGCGTCATCTTCCCAGAGGAATAAGGGCCATACAAATTTTCAATGGAGAAAAAAAAATCTTCGAACAAGGAATATGAACCAATACTAACGAGATATAGAGCTGGGCATTGTATCCGTGATTATCTACAATGTTGTTGGCTTCCGTGGTCCAGCTGCTCAACTTCTTGTCAGAGATTATGGTGCTCGCTTTGGAAGGCTTCAGTTTGGCGCGAATGTCATCGGGCAGATTCTCCAACCAGTTCCGCGACGGCGGAACTTCCCCAAAGTCGCTGAAATCGATTTCCTTCTTCTGCTTCTTGTTCCTCACTTTCTTGTCGGGAACCATCAATCCCACAGCTCCGGCTCCCACTCGATGTCTGAATCGACCTGTTTTCATAAATACACGGATTTTTAAATTTCGGGGATCGAAGCTCGACAGAAGGCTGTAATGTCTAATAGTGGTTGAAAGCGGAGGGGAAAATCACGTGCAGTACAGTCAACTCCCGCTCAACGGATTTAATTTGTGCAACACCCTGGACTGTTAAGCCAATTCGATGTTCCTTCAAATGTTTACACTTATGTAAAACAGGCAAGATTAAAACCAGAAGAACTAAAGATTACACACTGTCATAGCAATAATAATGACGATTTATACTCAAATTGAGTTGGGCAGCAAGGGGGAACCTGAAGGACTCAGTCTACTGGTGGTGCACACTTCTAGACTGAAGTCTGTTATGCGGATTTGTCAGTTATGCAAGAGGACAAACTGCCTCCAGAGGGAGTCTGTTCTGCAAAAATCTGTTGTGCGGGGGTCGACTGCAACATCTTTCCATCACAGGGGACGATTCTAAAAGATCAACTGATATTCTCTAGTACATAACACAGTCCCGTATATATTTTCGAGGACATAAGAGCTGTACTATCGCAAAAAACTCGCGGGAGAAGCCCTCCCATTGAATAAAGTTTTCATATTCGACATCACGTAGTCGAAGAATTTGCACGGGAAATTCCAAAGGGAAGTGAAATGGATTTAGCCGTTGCATTTAAGGTTCACTCGTCGACATTTGGGCATCCTGGAATCCGTCATTTTTTTAGATCTCGTCACAAGGCTCTGAAAACAGGGAAAAATCAAACCAATGTCCAAAGCTTCGAACATCGAAATCTCCTTGACCAATTCCTTAAAAATAATTCATCACTAGATTACTACTTCTAATTTGTACATTCTTCTTCTCCCACGTGCATTGATATGTCTTCTAATGTGCCCGCTTCTCTCAAATTCACAGGGGAAGTTAAATTCTCTTATTGTTTTTATTAATTTCTTTGATCTTTACGCTCGTAATGCATTTTATAGAATTGACTTACAGGAGGGTCTTCAACCAATTATCCCTTCTATCTTGTCTTAAATTGTTCGCTAAATGGACAGTTAAAGTCCAGTAACTAAATCGGCGCCCAACAGCAGTGGTCTGCAACTCGTGGTCCATGGACTGGTGCGAGACCGCAGGAAATTATCCTTCAGGATAGTAAATTTATCAAGGGTAATGATGAACTAATGGAGTCCATTATCTTCATCTGAAGTTTCGAGAAAAAACAATGGTACGGCAGTTTAATTTATCTTTTGAAAAATAAAAGGTGACTGATAACAATTCAGACCAATTTTCGCATGCTAAAATAATTTATTTCATGCATTCGCTATGAGAAACATTACTTGAAGCCCAGGTTTCCAAGTTTTAGGAAGACATGGGTTCTCGACTAAATTTTTACAATAAAGTAAAAGTTTTCGCTTCGAGGACTTCATGTCAGGCATTCAAAAATGTTCTGCTAGTCTGCGAACACCGAACAGTTAATGAAACATGACTAGTCTGCAAACAATTTTACGGTAATCTGCCAGACCATGGGCCCGAAAAGGTAGAGGAACTCTGCCAGGAAGGAATCATACCGATCCTTCGCCGTCGGTCAATATTGTGCCAGGCCTTGACCAGCTCCTTGTCGTAGAAGGAATACGAGGTCGTCATCGGATCCAAGTTCATCGAGTGGATGTCGTGAAAGACTTCCGGGTTCATGGCGAAATTATCCCCTCCCAGACTCATATCCGCTGCCCCGTCCACATCAAACGGCTCGTCCAGGTCAAAGTCGTCGGGGTCCCCGTGAAACGACGGCAGCTCCAACACTTCCTTGTGCATGTCGTACTTGTCCCGGTTTGAGCCCAGACTGTCATTCATGATCCCGGTCTCGTCCCACTTCATGAGGGCCAGCGGGTCGAGTACGAGTTCGTTGCTGTTGATGTCGATAGCGTCGAGTTTCAGTAAACAAGCCCGCATGGTTTCCGCCTCGTGCTCGATCTCTTGCGACGCGACGGCGATTTTCTCCAGGTCCTTGTCTTGGTACTCTTCGAGAAAGTGGTGGTTGGCCTTGTCTCCAATCTCCACCATCCCCTCGGGACCGATGAACCCGTGCGTCATGAACACACTGATGCCCAGCTGGCCTTCGTGGAACTTGAGGTGGCTCGATGTAATGGGTTTGAGAAGATCCTGTAGAATTGAATATACAGTAGAATGGGATTTGAGGCGGGTACAAAATGTAAGGCCTATACCATACAGTACTTTTCTTGGTTTCATCCACAACCTAACATCAGAACGTGGCCTAATCACATAAATGAGGTAGAACCCCAACAACTCAAACCTCCCTACATCGAATATTTTTGAAGCCCCTCTCTGAATTTCCTTTAAAACTATGCATTGAGCCCCTCCCTAACTGAAAGAATTTCCCCCTCAAACCTCCGTTACAAGGATTTTTCTGGGGGCATTTTGGAAAATCTCATTAAAACAGACTCTTGGGTGCTTCAGGAAAAAAAATTTTTCACACTGAATAATTTTTTTGAAACGATATTCAAAATTGATGACAGAAAAAAAATTTTCCCATAAGCCCTGTCTATAATAAACTAAATCTTGCTTTTCTGGCAATTTCAGATTTTCCATTATTGCTTCAAAAATGAGTGTTCTGGAATTTTTTAAAGCTTCAATCATGCATTTTATCAGTTATAAAAACCTCTTGATTCTGAGAGAATGATGTAAGAATCTCGTCATTTTAAAAGGATGTCGTTTGGTATTACTGTACTGTACTTGAAAGCATATTTTTCATTGATTACAGCTTCCATACATGCTACAAGGACCAGTCAGTCACATTTGAGATCAGAAATTTTCAGACTGTGCCTGCTTTACTCAGGAAATTTCTACTTGGAGAATCTCTTGAATATAAAAAGTTTGTTCCGGAATACTGTACTGAAAAGTTTGTTTTAACAAGATTTTACTTTATTTCATTGACACACAGAAGAAAAAAAGCAATGAAAATGTAATACAGTATAATGAATTTTGAATGGAAGCAAAAAAGACCATTTGGGCAAATGAACGCTTGGCTCCAAGTTCAGCAATCTGTCGACTCATTTGTGAAGTAATTCAAGGCCCTGAACATTACCAAATACAATTCCCTGTAAATCTTATTTCTTTCAAGTTCAGCACTCTGTTAAATCCCTGGAAAGAATGACTGTTTCCCGAACTCAAATTGTTGTACCGGTCTCTTCAAGTTCGAATTTGAGATTCGACGGTAAAATGAGTTGTGAAATTGATAGTCAACCTTTTCTGCAATGGTTATTCGAGCCTTGTTCCGCTCGATCTTTGACGCCCGATGCAGCTTCCGCCGACGCTTCTTCTTTCCCGGCAAACCACCGTCTCCGTCGCCATCCCCACCCACGTCTTCCTCATCCCCTTCCCGCCTCTGATTCTTCTTCAGTCTGTCAATCACACCCACGACCCCCATCGTGTCACTGTGCACCACGTCCACTCGACAGGCGTAAATCTTCGAGCCAGCATAGAGGGCGTGACTCGCAGTCTGAAACTTGGTCCCGGCTCCGTCGTCCTTTTGCTCCTTCACCACCACGTCCATGACTTCAAGCAGCTTGAGGCAAAAGGCGTTCTTGGCATTGATTTTGCTCTCGTTGGCCAACTGCACACAGTTGTGGTACACTTGGACCATTTCAGGCACCGACATTTTGGCAGTGACGGACTCCTCGGTTTTGCGGCGGAGGTTCACACGGGCACCGAATTCTTCGGTGGTGCCGACCCCAGCGTCGGGTTCTTCCTCGTTCTCTGACCATACTTTGTTGGCGTGGACCACCAGGGAGCGAGAACGACGCTTTTGGAGGGCGGGAGGTTTGCGGGCCTTTTTGGCTGGGGGACTTGTGCTTTCAATGTCGCTCAGCGACGCGTCGCTTTCCTCGCTGCTCTCCATGCTTAGCCCCCCGAGATATGTATGTTTTCACAATTCGAACCTGCACATCAAGTCAATCACGTAACTTCGCGGGAAAATTCTGGAAAAAAATGAGAATGGAAAACAATGATAATCACACTGAGGCGTGACAATTTCTCATACAGACGATTATTAAGGTAATAGCGGATTCAAACGATCAGAACCACAACTCGTATTTGGAAAACTTTTGTTGAAAGGGCAAAAAGTTCATAGGACCTTTTGAATTCTTGCAACAAATTCTTCCCGATTCTTTTCAATAATTGAACTACTGTAGATGCTATTCCATAATATTCTCTGCTAGATTTTCTCTTTTCAATTGTACAGTGGCAATGTCGGGAAATTAATTATGATTCTTCAGCTTAAAATTGGCTGACAGTTGTCTGATGTCAGACAAGGCCAGCTTTTTCCAGCATATTCCCGTATTTACTTGAGTACCACACGCATATTTTTTTTTTCCAATTTCAGAAGAAAAAAAGGTGTGCGCATCATAAGTGGGTACAAATTTTTCAAGAATTTTCAAACAAATGTAACAAGGAAACTTTTTTGTACTGAAAAAGTTGATCCAATTTATGTTCAATTCATGTATGAAGTCAAATTTTTTGAATTTATTTTCAAAATTTTGTGGTTTTAGATTCACTAAAAATTGGGGTGCGCGTCTTACTTGGGTATAAGATTTTAGCCAAATTTCCAACTGAAAGACCCCTCTGCGCGCCTTACTCAAAGGCGCGTGGTACTCGAGTGAATACGGTATCACAGATTCCTAGGGTCGACTTTCCCCACTTATTTCTCAATTGAATTACGCAACATTTATTGCAAACATCCTACATTCTTTTCAAGTTCTGGATTCTGGTCGTCAAAAAATCAAATAAGAAGGTACAACTGGCATATAAGGCAGCACATACTATCTTCCAGACAAACAAAGAAACTGATAACCAATAAAATACTGCAAATATACGAAAATATACACGAGGCGATGCGAACGAGTGCTTCCGACGACAGGAGGAGAGGAATACAAACACAATCGGCACAACTTCACTTTCAGCAACCGTCGCCGATTTTTGGGAAGCGACGCTTGGACGGGGATTCAAGCTGTGTGGATGTGAGAAGTCCGTCAAGTGCGGGTCCTGCTAATTCGTTCAACGGCGTGCGTCCCGCCTGCTTTGAAAAAAGGTTCATCCGGTGTTGAACAAGCCTATCCCCGCGTCTCAGAGGGCGTACCTTTGTGGCGGAACTAATGCCGATCTGCAATTCCACCAAGACAAATGAAACGTTATTAAAAAATAGTGTTCTTCTTAAATCTGAGAATATTTTTGATAAGTCGCGCTTTTATAAATCCCAAAATGATGTAGATAAACTCTCTACGCAAAGATCTTGTATCCAAAAATTGTCTCTGCACAACGATTTTTTTGGCCCTGTAGGTTTCTCTCCCCATGTTACAGGAGTTCTTTAACGACGAAACTCTCTTACTACTTATTTTTCTCGGTTCCTTGAATTTCGTTGTTGACAGTGAGAGAAAGAGTCCATCTGCATTGAAGGAGTACCGTAATCATATAAATTTAGAATAGATTATTGTAGTCAGATCCACGAATAGTCAAGTAATGAGAAGCTAAGACGAATAGCTAATACATTCTTGATCACTCGATAAGTTTTGGCGTGATATCCGAATAACTTACAGCGTTTCAAAAATGAAATACAATGGCACATTCTTATGAATTAAATCGAAATAAAAGTTTGAAAAAATGAAAACACAATGCTGACATTAAAAAACATGGAAAATTATGCTGGCAGGCATAATTTCGAACAACAATCCTGCAACGATTTCGAATTTATCGAAGGATAGTCATTTTAATGCATCGATTATCCAAAGCAAAAAATTTTGAAAACGCCGTATTCAGCCATTTTTGAAAATACTGTACTTGGACTTGCTCATGATATCACACTACGGCAATATTCATAACAGATTTGGAAAATTCTCCGATTCCTCTAGTTCTTGACTAACTCAAATGTGTTATTGCTAAAGCTCAATAACTTGATTGAAAGAAGGAAAACGCAAATCGGGAGGAAAATTCTCCCAGTAAGAGGGAGTAGCACAACCGGTTGAATGACTTCCATAAAAATTGCATGAAAACGCATTCGAATTATGTGAACAGGCTTTCGTAGATGAGACTTGAATGCCGCTCGACTGTGGAAACTGGTTCTAATATTTTAAAGCAGGAAATTCAAAATCCTTCTCGGTCATCGTGGATATGATTTTGCCTGCTTGATTGACAGCGGAGCTTGAGGGGTTGAAAAACGAATTCTGAGCTGAAAAAAAATTCTCATTCCGTGGATTTCTTCTATTATTGACGAAAATGTAAAATACCCGGACAATGTTTCATTCTGTATCAATTTATTAGTTCATTGGTGTATTTACAATAGGTTTTTGCCTACAAAAAATAGCCAATCTCATTTCTTTACACATCAATCGCATCAGAACCACAAAAGATACTCACCTGAAATGCATGAAAATCGTCAACTGAGGCAATCGTCTCTTCAATTGCGCCGACCTGCAGTTACGAAGGGATCAAAAAGTGTGGGCATCAAAACTAGTGTTGTTTGTTTAACCTTACCCTAGGGGCACTTTGCGGGAGTTTCTCCTGCTGACCTGCAATACGAGGCCTCTTAACAGTGCTTCCATCTGCCAGAACATTCGCAGGTCGCTTCAGCGTTGTGTTGCACGAAGAAATTGGCTTCCGAGCAGAAGCAGGTGCCTACAGAGACGCAAAAAACTGGCTAAGTAAACAGATACATTCGAGCTTCGAACTGCTTTCTTCCTGCTTTGAATAGCGAGAAACCAATCAGTAAATAAAAAAATTAGAGAAATCATACGAACACAATTTGATGTGATACCGACTCAACTTCGAATAAAACCACTCGTTAGCAACCAACACACTGAGTTTGAAATGCTTGGATACTCACCAATTTCACAGATTTCAAGTGATCCTCGATTTTGTCCATAAAGCGTTCATCCATCACTTTGAAGTCTTTGCCGTGGGAGGTTTCCCATTCGCCAATTTCTGACTTCAGCTTCTGAGCTAGCTCAGGAATTCCCTGAAAATGTATAAATCATGACAATTCCATCCCGCAAGCATATTTTCAGGCTAAAATACGGCAGAATCTCGTTATAGATTATTGCTTAAAACTTATTTATTTTGATGATACCAGTCCAATAATTTCGTTTTCACGCATTTTTGTTCATATCGAAGCTTTTACATGTACTAAGGTCTCAAACGCTTCTTTGTGATGAGATAACAAGCTTTAACTTAGATTTCACATCAAGACTTTCTGAATCAATCTTATGAAATGCTGAATAAACGCAATTCCTGACAGACAGGCTCAATCATTTCATGGCTTTCAAAGAAACAAGACAGAAAACACGATGATCAGCAGCAGGTCTTGAGGATCACATGGAACACGTGAAAGGAAATTTTTAGCAAGTACACTTGAACTTTTATAACTCGACCTCCTCAAATCGAATAACTCACTATGACGAATATTCTTCAAGTCTGGATTTTTTTTCAACAATCCATTGGAAAAACCCGCATCTCGAAGGCTCTCCTCAAACCTTCGCGCATTTTTGGCTATTATTTTATCGACACAGGAAAGAAAGAACAATAAAAATGTAACGTAATGCATTTTAAAAAGAAGTTATTCGGGCGAATGAACCCTCGCCTTCAACCTCAGCATCCTGCCAACTTATTCAAATAAATAATACAAGACCCGAAATATCACCAGTTACAATTTCCCGTAATTCGTCTTTCCTTCCCCCTAAAAAACTTTTTGTTCAGCTAATTCGAAATCTCCCCAACTCAGATGGTTTCTGCTGAGTCTCTCAAAGTTTGACTTGAAACGGTGCGGCTGTACCCATATATGGCACCAGGAATACGATAAATCGTCTAAACTACCTCCCAATCGCATATTCTTAATTACTCTTTGATTTGTGGATTGCATTGTCCGAAGACTTTTTCAATCAACATACCTTGGATAACTTAGATTTCTCCTTCTCCAGTTGGAGAAGAGCACCTCCACGGTTATTCAGGCGACGCGGGTCCATGCTTTCAGACTGAAGACGAGAAAAGTCGGCCACCATATTCAACCACTTGCGCACTTTGACCAGAACAGGTTGACGAGCAGTCAGTTCTTGACAAAGTTGTTCCTGGATTTCTTCCAGCTGGTCCAGTTCCCCTTGGGGATCGTCCCTGGGCAGCATACTTTCAATGGCTTCAGTGGTAGCTGGTCCGTACATGAGGCTGTCACACATATCCTTGATGTGCGTTCTCATTTTCGTGATGAAGAATGCAATCTTTTCCAGCTTCTCGCCCAACAGTTTCTCCAGTTCGGCTTCCATCTGCAAATATAAAATCAAATATATAATATATTTTAATCGATCTCTGAAATGACACGCATTCAACAACTTGAACCAAACGCTTTTTTTCAACTAAGCGGTGCAACAAACTAAATAATAAAATATATTTTCGCATCAGGAAAGTAGGTTTTCTCAAGTGAAATTTTTAAACGATGAAGAGCTTTTTTAAAATACAGTATTTGAACATGCTCAACTGCAGTAAATAATGCACTAAAGAACAGCACATTATTATGGTACTAGGAAACAATAAGGTACTAACTTCTGTAAAATTTTCTTCCCGGATGCCAAAATGCTTGTCTCGGAAAAGGTTCACTTGCAAATCATTCCGTTCCAAGAGGTCCCATAGTAGCTCGATTTCTCTTTTCAATTTAGCAAACTTCAATTCGGCTAGATCCAGCTTAGCGAGTAAGTCACTTTCCAACGCATGCATCTTCTCCAGGTTTTCTTTCGATAAGATCATTGTACTCTGAGTTATGTCCGATTCGAATCCACCGCTGGCAACAAGACCGAGCTGATCCCAAAGGTCGATAATTTTGGACCGATGCAACTCAAACTTCTGCGTGCGAGAGATTTTTTCTTTCTTGAGCATCGAGATCTGACTATCGAGGTCCTTCATGTCTTGTTCGGTGGGGACTTTGTCGGCAGAAATCGGCAAGGGTGGCATACCGAGTTCATCACACAGCAATCGTTCTTCGTTCTTCTTGAGGATCAAATCTTCCAACATCTTCTCCTTCAAGGCAACTAAACGGTTCACTTCCTTCTCCAGTTTAGTTTTCAAGACGAGTACTTTGTCGTCAGGCTGAATGTCGGCATCTGGAAGCCCAAGGGAAAGAATCACAGTTCAATCACGACGAGGTGACCATGGGCGGGTCCTTCCACCACATCAGATGAAACAAAACTTACAGTTCTCAGAGCGATCAAGACCGAGATCGTCGTAAAATCGATCAATTTCCCGACCCAACTCGACATTTTCCTGTATGATTCTCGCTCGCAACGAATTTTCGCCCTTCCTCATATCATCCACGTGTCTCTGCGACACATAAAAATTAATTAAACAATTCAGCTCGAGTTCCAAGTACAGTGATCACGTTAATGGTGGGGTTTCCGGGTGGGACACCTAAAATTCAAAAGCTCCGGATGAATTACCTTGATGTTTTTGGCGAAACGATCCTTTCGATCTCGCTGGTCCTCCATTGATAACCCCAGGTCGTCCCATACCAACTTCATCTCCGCGAAGGAGCGAACGATATTTACAACGATGGGGCCACACGTTTCGGCGACATCCTCACTGAGAAAAAATTCGCATTTCAAGACTAGATCATGCATCGTAATGATTCCAAACCACTTACTCATCCACCCCTTGCAAGACAATGGAATCGGAAGGATGCATATTACGGGCGGGAACCACTGCCGCTCACATGCACCAGAACAAGTCAGATATCACGTCTAGTACACGCAAATAAGGTGTTTTTTCAATAAAAAAAATTGCAACCAAAATGTTCATGAAAACAACCATCAAGCAATAAACGATCTGGTAGGGCTTAAATGAATCGATGATTTCACACGCACGTAACGCGGACGTCACCCAACTTCAACAGTCAACCAACAGTTCGAAACCTGGGGAAACCGCGCGCCAACGTTAAACGCGAAGCAATTCAAATTCTACCCAGCAACGGTTAACGCCATTCCTCATGCGACTATCCGAACTGAGTGTGAAAAATTGCTTCCCAGATGTCACTGCTTTAAAACATGCATTTATCTTGAACAAGTTACCCCAAAGGAAAATACTACTCTACGATTTTTTACAGTAATATTTATTACTATTACTATTGTATTTATATTATTGCTACCAATAATATTTTTTTTACACTAAACTTGAGCTATCATTGATCGCTTTCGGATGCAAGAACTTCGGAATCAAGATCTAAATACGACAGAAAGAGGTACCTATAGGAAAATTTATGTTTCTGATTTGATTTTTCAAGACCATGATCCATATACACACCTCCAGACTGCTGGAGGAATGAAAGATGAGCTGATCAGTCAGATTTTCTATAATTTTCATGAGAACATTTACCTCATATATAAAGCATATACATACTACGCGATGATTATTCCTGTATGATTCAAGGGGAGATTTTTAATGAAATTGCACATTCCACACAGAACACATACTGTACTTGAAGAAGGGCATTTTGCGGACTTGGCAAGTCTTATACGCTAAATAGCTTCATTTGACTTACTGAATCAATGTAATTACACGCATGTAGCACATGACATTATCAATAATTGTAAAAGGCTACAACCTCTGATGGCATCTCAAATTATCATTCCATCTGCAGTACTGGACCTTACCGATTCGCCTCAACAAATTCACCCAGGTGTCGCATGATCAAAAAGCTTCGAGCACTTCACAGTACAGTTACTGTATTTTCATTCAATAGTCATGACACTACCCTCAAGTATAAGGCATCTCAGCGAAGAATGAAGTTCGCCGTAACTAATTGTTTAAGTGATGACTCGTTATATGATTACCTTCATAAACAGAATTTGGAGCAACATCGTGAACACAGTTAATTGGTTCAATTCATCTAAAAGTTTTAGTAGAGGACAGTAAATTAAAAAAGGATCTTACATATAACGCCTGCATTTTTGGGTCAAACATCAAGAACTGATTTGCTAAATGCTTTTTGCTCACGTTGAAGACATACTGTATTCATGTATTGTAACACACAAAGCTAGGGGGGAATGCACTACAGGGGTTCTCAACCAGTTGGTACTCACAGGAATTGGTACAAGAACACACGGATGTCTTCGGAGTGATACAATCAATAAATTGGTTGCGAAGTCTCTGAAACGTAAAAAAACTATTGAAGATACTGCACTTTTCTTGAATCTTGAGATGAACAATGTAAAATAAAGTACATTATTCATTGCTCAACGTGTGGTCCCCTTTATTATCATACATGGTAGAACATGGTAGCGCTCGGTGGAAAACAAGAGGATTTACAAAACGGAGAATTTCATCGCATCAGACTCCTCAACGAGATTCGAACTTCAGATATGTACCAATTAACGCCTGAGGTGCTTGAGCAGCTCATCCGGAATACCCTGCACGGATCCGTATCTTTGACGAATCTCCCTTTCTCCGGCGACCGACGCATTTTGACGATCAATATTATGAATTTCTTCCGTGCCCACAAATTCCCGGCACCTAAAAGGAACAAAAACAAAACAAAAAGTTTTAACCCGTGACAATTTACAAAACATTTCTAGGAAAATATGTACTAACCTCGCGTTGGAGCAAGGATTTTCCCCGTGAAGCGGTTTCCTACAGAGATAGCAAAATGACTTCCCACAACGGCAACTCATGTGATTGCACCCATCCGCCTTAACCAAGGATTTCTTACACCAAGGACAGCTCCGAACAACAGCTTCAGACAACTTCTCTTCCATCAATTTTTGGGCAGATCTCTGCACGACTTTACACATATCCGTCGGCGAGTGTGTCTTCTTACATGCGCTGCGTGAATTAAAATGTCAAAAGCATGTCTTCTGACTTGTTTTCTCAGAACACTCGTGATACCCACATGCAAGATCTCTTCCCGCAGCCCGGATTCAGGCACTGAAACTCCGTCATCGTCTTGTCTTCAACAACAGCTCCGAAGGAACAAAATGGACATTCCACCAGCTCCTGCAATCCAGCGGCACGCAGTTGCTCATTCTGATCTTCTCGCAGCAGAGCGCCGAACAGGTTCTCAGGCAGCAGCCCGAAGATATCGGACAGAGAATAAGACCCAGGACACTTTGGATGCAAACAGTTCACTTTGGATCGTTTCTCAGTAGCACACACTTCCGCGTGCTTTTGAACACAAGTAATGCAGAACGTGTGTCCTTGCTCTCCGCACTGAACGACTTCGACAATGGTGAACTCCTCGTCGAAACACACCTCGCACTTGTAGAGGGCGCCGTTCGCACGCGCTTCCGACAAAATTTCCATGCGCTGTCGTTGACTCGCAGCAGACAAAGTCGCAATTTCATGCCGAAGACGCATGAAAGTGAACTATGATGAAGAAATTTCAATTGTTGAAAACTTCACTACGAAACTGGAACCAATTTTGTACACCTCGAGTAATTTTGATGAGGATTTGGGCTTTTCAAACGGAAGATATACGTGAAAGTCTCAACATCGAGCAAACTCGAGCACTTTGACTGACTCTGGCTGTTTGCCTTCATGAGCTCGCGAAAATTGCAATTAAAAATTCTTTAAGCCTTGGATTTTTTTTTTAATTTTCCCATCTTACAACTCATCAGCGTGGATCTCCAAAGTAAAGTACAGTAACATTCATGGTTGGATACGCCTCGAGTTGAAATTTTTCCGAACTAATGATTGTTTTACTGAACGTTTCCGACTTAAAACGATCAAAAACCTCAGCATGAGCTTCACACACGATTTTAAACGCACAAATAACGCTAGTTCTGACAATTTCACACTAAATTTCCAGCCTTTCAAGCACGGCAAGCAGAGATCCACGATCACTTCAAGCACAGGAACTGTAAGGCTGTAATTGTACTCGTTAGGCAAAACGCCTGTTCGAAATTTTCACGTCAAGGTTACACGACGAATAAAAAGAAACAAACCTCTTGGATGAACGTGACATCAACAATGCCGTCGGCCTGGAAGAACTCGTAGGTCCAATATTTCTGCGGCCCAAACCACTGTTCCATGAGAATGATCGACGGGAAGAGCAAGGAATTATTTTTTATCATACTGTTGTTGACCTCAGCCTTGCGTGAAGGGTACAAGAGGTACAAATAAGCTCGGCAGAGTTGCTTATATTGCTCCGTGACGATCCTGTCCTTTCGAGAGTAAACCTTCTCCGGTTCGGAAATTCCCCTCAAGAATTCCGAAGCTGTCATCGTTTTGTGAGATTCAATGACACCGCCGATTTCGCGGCCTTTCAGAAAATCCATGAACTTCGGGTACTTCTTCGTAATCAACATTTGGTCGATCCAATCCTGAATATCGACAATAATGATTAGTCAACGATAACCCAACAGATGAATTCAGTCGAAGATCTACGAAAGGCGTTCAATCAATCAAAAGAGCGCATCTCACAAATTTAGCTTCAAGACGGGGTTCTTCCTGCCAAAAGTTGAACCCACGACGGCAACAATGGAAACCCCGAAGTCTCATGACAGGGTACCCGCGCATTCAAGAAAACTGAAATGGTGCCAGATTTAGAGTGCGCTCAGCCCAGCTAACTCACTTGCTTCATTTCGATGAACTGTCAAGTTAATGCTTTGATAATACAGTATACAGCATTGAACTGTACTTCCACATAATCGAAAATTCATTGCACTTTGAATGGTTTTTTTTTACGGCTGCACGGCAGCCATAAAAAAAATTGGAAAAAGGTGCATCTCGTTTGTGAGTCGATATGGTAGTTATGGTTGTGTTCGGGAGATGCGACACCTATGTGACAATCCAAAATCCTAACTTGTGAGAACTGGACCAAAAAAAAGTACATGGTGGAGAGAAATTTGCTGCATATAACCCCAATAACATGGAGAAAGAACCCTATGGGACCCAACAAGATTTCTTTAGCAAATAAAATTGTTGTACACCGATTTTTGTAGAATATGAAGAGAGGGTCCACCTGCATAAGAGAACAAACCAAATACTTTACTGTACCTCCTCTTTTGCATCAACTTTCTTTGGACACAGGTAAAGCAGAAAGATTAGTTCTTGCATTAAACTTAGTTCAGGTAACTTGTGGGATGAGAGCGCCTATCTGGCACCATTCAGATCACCTGTGATGAGAGCATCGGACAGACAAACTCAACGACACAAACAGAAGTACAGTACAGTACTATAGTACTAAGAACCATACATAGATCATTATTCACATGCAAGAAGAGAAGAATGATTCTGAAGAGAAGAACCATGATTCTGACCAACATCAAGAAAAATGAAAGCAGACATTTGAAGAAAAAAATTAAAAATTGCCGAAAGCAAAATTTCCCAGTACAGTTCATCAATCATTACCGAAATGCGCATTTCATCGCCGCCGAGTTTCTTTATCTCCTGTTCCAAGAATTGCGGGTCAGCATCCGGAAGCATGTCCTGAACCATGTCGACTCTGAGCTTGAGCAACTCAGTCTGAGACAAGAACTCTTTCAAGTTATAATCTCCCGAGACGCGCTTAAACTCCCCACTTGTGTCCATTGGCATTCCGCAATTGGGAGGGCACTGGAAAATTGATCACGGATACAAAATTGCATCAGAACACGAGACACCTCGACGAAGCTGATCAAATGTATTGATTACTTTTAGTGTGACAAAAATGCATAAAAGCGAAGATATGTGAAAATTATTCGAATCCGAGAATTCACAATTCGAGATTAACCGAAACCGTTCAAGCAGAAGCAAATTTATCTTTGCTTTAAAGCTGCCGGCACCTGCACCAGCGATACGAGTACTGTACTCCAAGGATCACAAGTACAAGAAATACAGTAATACATGCCAGCTTCTTAGTCGAAAAATCCCGGGAAAAGAAGCGGAAACCAACAAACAGCACAAATAAAACGATGAAACCCGAAAATTAAAACAATGAAGTTAGTTAAACAAGATTAACTCATTCAGGAGTAAAGGAATCCGACCCGAAGTAAATCCAGTTCAGATTTGTTAGAAGTACAGTAGTACTGTACATTGATCTGTTAGATTCTTTCGGAATAGGAAATTATTTGATTTTAAAAAATTGTGATCTACAAGAATTTCTTCATTCCTGTTTACGCACATGTCTGCATTCGACAGTATGATCAGGTCAGGAATCTTCAGCCCGTGTTGACTTCACGTGAATTTCCATCTTTACAAAGAAAACGTCATGACTTCCGATGAAGTGCAAAATGTAAAGCTACAGCACATGCGGTAGCAAATAAATTTCAAATTCCTCGCATTTTTCCTTCGTACATGTTTACATAAATCAACCGAACTAAAAATAAATTGAACTTGGAAATATAAAATAATAGTCAAAACCTTCAAAAAACGAAAACACGAAGAATTCACGAAAAAATTGTCATCCACTTCCAGCGACATTTCCAGTCGAACCTCGATCAGCCGCCACCATGTATTCGTGAAATTTGCGGCAGTTAATGGGGTTGGCAGTTCATAAAAAAAAGCTGAAATAACGTAATAATCAAGGAAAATCAAATATCAATAGAAAATGAAATTCGCATGATTCTGGAAAGCTATCAAAATAACCCCGAGATGCGTAAATTATATCCAGCTAATGTTTTAAAGAATGGAATTATGCAATCCTTGGGTTTGTGTTTTTCTTTACCTGGAGACATCTTGGAGATGGGGGCTATCAGAGACAAAATTAATTGGTAGGAGCATAGTCACGAGATTTCAACAATTTTGGCGCACGGCGTTTTGATGGGATCGTCAATAGTTTTATAGTCAGGGAAGATTCGCTTTTCAAAATAAATTGGCGGTGGCCAAGAGTGGCGGCTTATCGGGGTACGACTTCAATTTTCATTTCTCGAAGGACAACCTGCCGAAATCAACGGCAGCCCGCCGAGTTCATCGGATGAAAAATCCATTCCGCGAGGCGTCCACTATCCGGGGCATCATCGTGCTCATTCGAAGTCGAAAGAACTAACCACGTGAGACGAAGTCGACGCGACGCACTGTTTCGGTCTCGCACCAGTCCTTTGCAAAGTCCTCGCCGATTCCTTCCTTTCCGAAGCGCGCAAAAGCTCGTCCAGGACAACATCCGGATAGGCTCCGTGTCGGTAGACGATATCATGCACAGTGGCTCGATCCAGAGTTGGGAATGCGGCAACGAATCCGTCCGTCATGTCGGCGAACGGCACAGCATTCATGAGGGTCGGATCCTGGAATTCTTCGGGAACCTCTTGAGCCTGAACATTGCGACTAACTACCCGACTTCCGTACATGGTCAAACGATACTAATACGATAACTGCAGTGGGTGGCGAAAAGTAGGCGACTAAACGCAACGAAAGCGCGAAAAAAGCGTGACACCTAAATGAACAAAGAGAACTTGTGCAGATGCGACATGCAAGTTAAGTGATGTACGACACATGAGTGACACGACACGCTGTCTGACTAACGAAATTTGCTCAGCGACTGACCGACAGGAAATGAAGAACCAATAAAACATCCAGGGCAAAAAAAATTTCAAAAAATCAAGAGTGATTCACGCGCAACTAGACAAAAAATTTCGGCGATTCCTGAGCGCATCTCATTTTCATCCAAATTTTATGCGCTAAGCGGGGACACCTTTCGAAAATTAAATCCTAAAATACAAGTACGCTTCTTAGACACAGGCGATTCTTACTGGAGCAAATGCGAGATATGAAAAAATTTATGGAGGAAAACATACGACTGAAGACAAATAAGGGAAGAAATCCTTGCACCAACAAGATGACCACAACTGTTGCACCCGAGAGGAGTACAGATTTTTGAATTTCCCTGGACTGCTGTCTAAAAATGGGGGAAATTAGTTGAACCTTCACGACAGCCTGTAAAATATGATAAGCGAGGGAGGACAATTTTTATCATCCACAGAAAGACAGTTCTCGCATTTCTTTCGTGATTAGTGAATGAGTAACCCGGAGATTTTGAAGACGTCTTCTTAAGAATCTTCGCCTTTCTTTCAGTAGAAAGAAAAAACTGACGGTCCATTTCGAGAGTATTGGCTCTCCTCTCTGTTTTTAAATTGGTAAAAATTTGAAAGGGACCTCACAACTCACAAGTATATAATACGTTTCAATTTTCGCAAAATAGTCACATTTTTTTGTCTAATAGCGTCAATCACCCTTTAGTATGGTACAGCATTAAGCGTCTTCAAATATACGCGGGGAGGTTTCAAAATTCGAAGAATATCTCGAAAGTGATACGTGCCTGAATTTTGTTGCACAGAAAAAATGTTTTAGAACTTGAAAATTCGATTCCCCTTAATTTCCAATAAAGATTATTGACTAAAGTAGTAGATTCGTCGAGACACTCCTGAATTTTCGCTTTTCGACTGCCCCTTACCAAAAATAAAAATGTCCCCATCGTGAAATTTACTTCCGGGTGACAACGAATTTTTCAGCTTTTGCATATGTAGAAAACGTTTCAAGGATACTACCTCTAAGACACCGATTACAATAACTAGACGTTCTTATAAAAGCCTAAAAAGAAGATGCGAATCTCGGCAAACATTAAAAGGAAAGATGTGAAACAACCTCATCATGAAAAAAATTTTCAGAAGGAAGAAACCATCCCATAATTTTTCTTCGAATTTTCAAACCTCCCCAAACATAACGTTTTTCGTTTCGTTTTGACCTCTTCGACGTCAAGCGTGCATTTGAATGCAAGAAAATCACATGTTTGTTAAGAATTTTACTTCACGATCCTTCCTTGTCAAAACGTACGCGACTCTTTGGGTGATGAATCCAATATCGTCATTAAATACACATGATCACGGTTAATAAAATAAATTTCCATAAGTGATCATTGGACAAAAGGTCTCCAATTTAGAACACTATTCAGGGGATTAAAGAAAAGCAAAGCACCTTTTCACACCATCCGATCGAATCGAGGAAGCTCTCGTTACCTTCCCTCTTAACGTGAGAAATTCCTTAGTTAAAAATTTTGGTCAAGCTGACATTCGTGTCTTGCTAGTGTAGTCGAGGATGTACCTCGATTCGTAAGTTCTCGGAAAACGCAGAACAAATCGATACGAGACGTCTTTTCTGAACGTTGTACAAATGCGATTTCAAAACTTCTCCTTTTCCGCCGTACAATTCAGAAAACAAATTAACACCGCGCTTCCCCAAAAATATAGCCTTCCCACGAAATTACTCTCGCAATTAAAGACATTTCTCACAATGTACGCATTAAAGTTCTCTCACAAGCTCTATGAAAGGTTTAGTTCAGATGGACCCCGTTCAAAATGTTTTCGAACACTTGTCGGCAAAACCTCTAGTCAACATGAGAGAAAATTCGAATTAGGCCATCTAGATTAAAATATAAAACTAGTTGCGGTGAGACAGGGGTTACCATTCCCCGGAAATCAGATGAACACCAGGTCTGAATTAAGTTTCACTAATTTAAAAATCGATCATATTCCCAGTTAACCCGGTAGATCCTTGGTGTTTTTCAAGGCGGGAAAAAAAATATTTAATTTTTGGGGAGACGCGGTAAGAGTCGAGGTACCCAATGTGTTATCGTTCCGCTTTCTCAAGTCTTGAAGAGAATCGTTCACGGGCTGTCAGGTGCCACTGCAACGGCACTTTGTGGCGACGAGAATTGAACTGGAGAACCGTTCCCGGCCTTTCGAGCTTGTTCGTCGTGCATCTTCTTCAACCTGCGACGCAGTTCCGTCGGCAATTTCTCGTAGCACTTCTTACACGCCGGTTTCAAATCATACTCGTAAAACTTCGATTTCGTGCTGAGCTTCTGATCGCAAATGAAGCAGGCGAAATGATCCGCGCACCAAGCCTTGTTCATGCACGTGAAGACTGGGGAAAGAAAGGAAAATATTATACTTCCACAATGACGTCGAATCCGACCGGGAAACACTTTCCCTGTCATTTCTTAATTCCGTTCGCTTTTGGAAGGTAGAGAAGGTCAATTTTCAATCTCTCCGAACTTAGGTAATGTGCAGCTAAAACGTGTTAACTCGAACCTACCGAAATCGAATTTCTCCCTATGTCAATTTTTCCCCAAGCCCCGTCTTCATTCCCTTGGAAACAATGCATTGAAAACCTCACTCAAAAGCTTTCCTAATCAAAACTCCGTGACTCAAACTTCCTGAGGGTCTTTCGGGCAATAATTTATTGACACAGGAATGAGAAAAGCAATAAAAATTGTAACTTTGTGAGTTTTAAAAGGAAGATAATTATAAATGGGCAAATTAACCCTCGCCTCCAAGCTCAGCGCCCATTCAAATAATTCAAGAAGCAATTTGAGGCTCAGAATATCCCCAATAATCAGTAATTCTTTCTTTTCCTAAAAAATGCGTTAAAAGTTGTTACTGATCCCTTGATGTTCGAATCAGAGAGGTTTCACAGTAACAGTTAGGACTTTAGGAGGAAACCTAAGCCAAGTACAATAACGCATTTGACACCAAACCTGCACTAAATTGAGAGAAAAATGTAAAACACACGTAAGCGTTGAAACTAAATATCTCGGACCATTTGGCAGAACTGAAAAATGAAATAATTACTCACCATCTCCAGCGATCACTTGGTTACACACATAACACAAGTTGCCGAACAACTGATGATAATGCGTCTCGCAATACGCGAGTCCTCTCTTCTCGTAATGTCGATTGCCCATGAACGGCTTTTCACACCGTGCACAAACGAAATGCTAGAAAAAAAAAATTATGCAACACCAAGAAAACTATTTAGAACTTCCACACTAACCTCAACATGCCAGTTTTTCCCAAGAGCAGTGACAACTCGTTCTTCGATCGGACGATGGCAAGCACCACAAATCGGGATTCCCATCTTGTCATGGCAACGCAAGCAGTAAAGCTCGTTCTAAAATATAAAAAAGATTATACGTAAGAATTCGATAACGCCCATTGCAAGTTGGACATTTTCACGTGTTATCGCGTAAAAGTTTAATAACTCCCTGTGAATTAAATTGGCTTAAATATTAAATCCGATACCAAGTTAGCTTCTAAACACCAAACTATTCCAAGGTTCTGAACTCGTGGTGGTAGACCTATGGCCACATGCATACATAAAGACTATGAGAGCGGTTTTCACAAGGACGGAGCACATTTTATTTGCATATGGACCTAATGCCTCATGATTTCCACGAAGATACTTACCACGTCCTGCGAAGCATATCCTGGCCTCGAAGTAACTTCTCTAGCATCGGACGTCAGTTCGATTCCACAAGCATTGCAATTGAAGTGGTATGGATGATAGAACTCCCCGCGGAATTTCAACGGTCCTTCCTCAATCACTTGGCTACAATAGAAACAGATGAATATCTCGTACATCCCTACACATCTCATTCACTCACTGGCATTTGAAACACATGTGCTTCCCCCGGGCGGCAGCTTTCACCCTCGCGAAGCATTCGTGGCAAAGCGCCTCGTTTCCATGCTTCATGAAACCCATGTCGGCAAGTTCCGTCGAACACATGTTGCAACGGAAACACGAGGGATGCCAAGAAGCGTTCATAGCTTTGATTACTCTCCCGATGACGAACTCATCTGAGGTGAAGGAAAAAAGACGGAACTGGCTAGATGCGTAAAATCCAAAAGAAGAACTTATACGAAAAATTCTCACTGCATTTCCCGCAACAAGGAGCGAAGAGTACGTGGAAATCATGCTCGCAATAGCGTCGGCCATCAAACTCGTAAAAAACTCCGTCGGGAAATGGCTGGAAACATTGACAGCATGTGAAGCATTGAGCATGCCATAACTCTCCGTTGGAGTTCACGACCTTCTCTTGAGGGTCAAAGGCCTCTTCGCATCGTATGCACACCATGTTGTCCAGATTCATGCTTAACCTGAAACATAATAGGATGAAGGCGATGAAGCGACCCAGCAGTAAGTTAACTATGGTGAGACGGCGACGCAAGCGATTACCGAGACAAGCATTAGGCTTCAGCGTAAACTCAAGAGCATGCACTACCGAATACGGTGTTCTCCTTTGATTTTTCCGGCTGACACCAACTCAACGTCGCGTATTCTGCGAATTATCAAATCAAGAATGAACGACTAGCATGAACCGAAAACTCTTTGCAGTTCAATAAAGAAGTGGATTATTTTACCAAAGTATTCAGTTAGGTAATACAACTACACTTCGAGTATTAATACAACTAGTGCACATGTTAATAACGGATTATAATGGTTGATCATCTTCACGAATGAAAAGTTCCAAAGTGAAATGATCGAAATGAAATACTCACGCAGGCATTTTCCGAGTGTTCACTGTTCGTTTCACGAATTCCGCACCACTGTTGCCTTCTTCTGCTTGGTTTTCGCTGACTCACGTTCCAAGTACTGAGTGGGTTGTTCCCCAAGGCGGCAGCCATGCGGTTTGACCTCGAATATCAAAGAGCAAAAAGCAGAGTCCTTTCGTTTTACAGCTGCAGTACTGTACTGTACATGATCGCTGTACAGTGCTGATGCTAAGAATCGCTACTGCGATTCTTAGCATCAAATATGGTAGTCAATTGCGTGAAGCATTGCAAACAGAAATTTTGACATAAAAGATGGGATGGAGAAGGTTGCTTATTTGTTTCCAGTCGATTACGTTTTTTTCGATGCGTTTTTTTTTAACCCTACAAGATGTGGCTAGCATTAGCATGTTAAGAGATAATTCATTCATAATGCCAGCAGAGATAGCTTATTAACATTAAGGTGGATGTTTCAAGTACTGTAGACATTTTCTCATATAAGTCAATAATTTCATTAAGAAATCCACAGATAACCAAGGCTGTAGTTGAATGGGCATACTTTGGTTCTGCTATTCCAGGACCAGATAGGAGTGAATTGCTTGCACAGTATTGAATTGTAGAGGCACTCGAGATTGTACAGTACATTTTAATCACAACAAATTAAAATTATCTCCAGCAGTTAAGTAAATGGTAAAAATACCTATCCAAGTACTGGCCAGTACATTGCCAACTTGAGATGACCAAGAACATGAAATTAAGTCCACACATTTTCAGTACAGTACAATGAAAAACGAAGTTGAGCATGGAAAACCAATCCCTTCAGCAGATGGGGGATTTCTTTCGGAATGTGATCACTTCATACGAATATAACCAACGTTTATTCAAATTGTAGATTTAATATGCTTTCAGAAGTGAATTAGGGTATATTCCATTGGAACGGCGAAGCAATGCTTCGTATAATCTCAATTGAACTACATGAGGTCCAGTTTTAGCAAAAGCGTAATTAATTTAATGGTACTGGGACATTTCAAGGAACAAATTATACATTTCCGAAGAAGAATTCCAATAGTTTTAGAAACAGAATGAAAAACGATTAAAAAAGAAAACAATATATCTATTTCCTGAAGAGCAGCATACGCCGATAAAGTAAGAACTTTATCGAACAATCCAAAGCGATCATGTACACAAGTACAATTCGAAACAGAAAATCGCAATACAAAATCTTCCCCAGAACAGAAAAAAAAAAACTTTCCAATAATGAAACGAACGATACAAAAAGTTCATTAGTCACACGGCTGAAGGGAGATGAACAGATCAACAACGAAAAAAAAACTACGATCTACAATCCCGAATTTTGCAGAATCCCAGCATCAAGGACACCAAAGTCCCATCATTATCGATTCGCAAAAATAAACGGGATATGCGGGTGCCTCCCTTAATTCACCCTTCAATTCTGCTGCGATGTCTTCATGTGAACGACCTCTTGAAAAACTCCTTCCCCGCATTCATCTTGATGAGCTGTTCCTTGTACTCTGCGACCAGCCGACGATTGATCCTCACAAGCTCATCCAACTCCTTTTGTTGTTCGTCCATCTGAAGTCGACGCTTTTCGCGATACCGCGACGCGGCCTCCCTGTTTTGCAGCTTCTTCTTCTCCACCTTCTCTTCCTCACTAACAGTCTTCTTGCAGGGCTTTCTAGCTCGAGACTTCTTTACTCGTCGGATCCCGCTTGAGGCTACAAGCATTCGGTGAGAGAAAAACCATGGAAATGGTTACAGGTAAGTTTCCATTCTTATGGGTCTGGAGGGATTTTCGTGACACAAAAAAAAGGATTCGTAAAATCAAGATTCTCTCATCAAAATAATTTCTAAACTTAGACAAAAATTCTGCAGAAACTACGCTTGCTCATGATGCATGACAGCAACAAGCATAGTTATCACCTAGAACTTTTTACCGCAACAATTGTTCAACGAAATGGTAACAAATCGACGTAAATCAGATTCAAATTGCGATCGTTCGATGGGAAAATACATTTCCTAAAAGACCAGAAAGGCGTTAATTTCGATCAAAATACCTGCATGTAAAAAGTTGGTGCGAAGACGTTCAAGACAAAAATGTGTCTACAAATGAGCTTGATAGATTAAAATAAGCAAGAGTACATGTGGAATTCGCATGGAAAGTTATATAATTATTCACTAGCTATAAGACTTATGGACTTTCTTTTGAATCTATACTCTATGCCATGGACTCAGTTTCTGCTCTTTTAGTTTGTGACATTTTATACCGTACCTGATTCTGATTCGCTGCTGGCTGAGGAAAACGGAGACCACGCTTCACTGCTGGAAACTGACTCCGCGGTGAATAGCGGAGCTTCGCTAAATGACGCACTGCAGGATCCCAATTGTGTAATATCAATCGTCGAAAGGTCCGAGTACTTGACTTCTGGAATCGTCAACGTAATAGCTGTCTGCAAGGGATCTTCTCCAGGGGTTGAAACGGGAAGAACTGCCTTGAATTCTGGCTCTGTGAAGGAGCAGCTGGGTTCGTCCGGAGCAAAATACGCAAGCGGTTCTGGGTCATCCTTGATATCTTCTTGCATTAAAATTTCGTCGATAACCGCCGAGATGTTGTCGTCATCGAAACAGTTCCACAATTCGCCCTCGTCCACGGGGGTAACGGTCTCGGGATTCACCGAATCGGCTGCCACTGTGGTCGCGAAATGGGCCGAAGCGTCGAAATTGGCGACGTCGAACTTGGTAACGTCGAAATCGGCGATGTCGACACAGTCCTCTTCAGCGTCAACACCCCACGGAGCAGAAGATACGGTGAAACTGCTGGATATTTTATCGGATTCATCGTCTTGCTTATAGGGCTGCTCCGAGTAGAACATCGTCTCGTACGGCTCAATTTCGTCAGCAACGTGTGAGTCATTGTAATCTGTCGTAAAAGAACCCCGGAGTTACATCAATTACAAACGAACCCTGACAATTCGGAGGGTTCCTACAATCCTCGCAGGTCGGGTAGTAAGTCAGACGTGTTCTCCCAGTGTCAAGTGGAATTTCTGCCTGTTATCTTACAGCATTTTCGGCCTTCCACAACCTTCTCCCATTTGAAAGAAAGGGGCTGAATTTTCATACGATTTCTTCAAATACTTCAACGCACCATGTTTAAGGGAGATACAGAAGAACCCGCGAGTTCTTCTCATGTTGAAGAATATATGGCCTTCAATTATCAGGCCAGCGAACTTCGCGTTCATGGATTAATACGGCATATGTGCCTCTCTGGAATATACATTAATTTATGAGATCAGTGAAACTTTTTTTTTACCATTGCGTATGATTTTAAATGCGTGTTGGATAAAAAAAATTCAGGAAATTTCCTTCAAACTATGTGTAATTAAATGGTGTCAGAATATTGCTAGAAAGGTCAATCACCCCTAATAGAAAACTGAGGAGATAAATTGTTTGAAAATGGAATTCAGAGTACATTGTTGAATAAACATTGTCATCTCAAAATCGGTGCCCTCCTGTATAGTTCAGGGACAAAAATGCCTTCCACATACTATGAAGCAAGTGACTGAATCTATGAGATTGAAAAAAGTAGTGGTTTTTTCCAACTGATACGCTGCTAAATCTAGGTAAGACTCAAAATCATCTTATTGAATACGGCTATTGCCTACCAGAAGGCTGAATTTTCATACGATTTCTTCAAATATTTCAACGCACCATGTTTAAGGGAGATACAGAAGAACCCGCGAGTTCTTCTCATGTTGAAGAATATATGGCCTTCAATTATCAGGCCAGCGAACTTCGCGTTCATGGTGTAATACGGCATATGTGCCTCTCTGGAATATACATTAATTTATGAGATCAGTGAAACTTTTTTTTACCATTGCGTATGATTTTAAATGCGTGTTGGATAAAAAAAATTCAGGAAATTTCCTTCAAACTATGTGTAATTAAATGGTGTCAGAATATTGCTATAAAGGTCAATCACCCCTAATAGAAAAATGAGGAGATAAATTGTTTGAAAATGGAATTCAGAGTACATTGTTGAATAAAAATTGTCATCTCAAAATCGGTGCCCTCCTGTGTAGTTCAGGGACAAAAACGCCTCCAACATACTATGAAGCAAGTGACTGAATCTATGAGATTGAAAAAAGTAGTGGTTTTTTCCAACTGATACGCTGCTAAATCTAGGTAAGACTCAAAATCATCTTATTGAATACGGCTATTGCCTACCAGAGTGGAATATGATCAGCTAAAACTTCGCCAGAGTTCAAATATTTCTGATAGATACTGTACTGTATAAATGTATAATAGACATAGTTGTATCTATGAATGTCAGAAGGTCAAATTATAATAGAAAATTAATCGGCGGCGAGTTATTACGAACTATAAGCCGAAATTAGTAGGGAAAAATCCGACTTTTGAGAGCACATGTTCGTGAGGCAACAAAACCTATCTTGCATCTTCGTGAAGAGTTGAAATAAATAAGTCAGCATACGAAGGCGAGAACGTACAGTTCACATCCTCGGCGTGAGGCGCCGAGGATTGGTGTTCCCCTGGGGAGGAGAGGAACCGGGACATTCCTTCGGCCAAGAAGACATCGCGGCGCAGAACTGATGGTCTAAGGTCGGCAGAAGATTGCCCGCTGACGGGCAACACGCCAGTCATATCGAACCAGCTGTCCATGTTCGACTTCTTGATGTAAAACTGATGTAATTGATGAAATATCTCGAATGTGTGCCTCGTCGGCGGGTTGTTGTACGAAAGGGCTCCATGGCCACCTGCAATGCACGGGTCAAGAGTTTAAACGACAACGGTTTCAACAGTGTGAAGTAGGCACTCACATTTTTAAAATCTTAGAAGTAACGGCGCCGAAGCGCGGACGTCGTTAAGCCACAACTAGTCCATCTTGGACACGAACTATAGCTTGAACGCCATAGCGTCAACGATTCTCAAAAACTTCACTACAAAAAAGTCGAAGACATAAAACGTGTAGATAAGTATGAAGAAACTTCGAAGGCTGCTTCTAACACAAGCACGTTGCGCAAGACATCGTTCAAGGTCACAAAGGACCACAGCTACGAAATTCGAGCAGAAGACCACGTTCGGATTGGATGACGCAATAACCAGTTAAAATATCACAATATCGTANACTTCGAAGGCTGCTTCTAACACAAGCACGTTGCGCAAGACATCGTTCAAGGTCACAAAGGACCACAGCTACGAAATTCGAGCAGAAGACCACGTTCGGATTGGATGACGCAATAACCAGTTAAAATATCACAATATCGTAAACAACTGGAATACTGCACTGATTTCCTCCTTAAACATTCACACTGCACTACATTTTCACAAATTTCATCGAAACAAATTGAAATGTGAACTTCCGAAACATGAATCACGACCCTTCATCGAGTACAGTACTGCAACGAGGAACGACCCGAAGTTGACTGAATCATGCCCTTCAACTCTCAACTGAAGGGGACACCACTGCAATCGGTGAGGCCCCATCTCGCCGGAGCAGAACTCTTGGTCGTCTAAACTCTTTGCCACTGCGCCCCGCATCCCCTCACGCTCTGCAGCCAACACTCTCTCTCCTGTGGTCGCGCATGAGTGACTTCAAGACTCGGGAATAAATCCCTTGTGCAGGAAGTGGTGTAGCATGGGCTCCAAGTGAGAAAAAATTATTTCTCCATGTATTTGGGAAATGAAATTATGGGATGTTCCATGGGTCTTTTAGATGTCAGGCATATAAGAACAGGACACTTTCTGCATCAGGAGACTACTTTTTAACAAATACAGGCCAGCAGTTTTAAAAGACAGTATATTGGCCTGTTTTCATTGGAATGAGATTTTGACAAGAAGCCAATTCAAACAATGGAAGAATTTTTGACAGTCACAATAGTCCTGTGACACCACCCAGCGCACCATAAACTCAAATCCTCAAGTCCATCACTAGTGTGCGTGAAGGAGAGAGTGATGAGAATAGGGAGTGAGGGGATGGGGGGTGCAGTGGCCTAGAGTTTGGCCGACCAAGAGTTCTGCTCCGGCGAGAAACTACACCACCCTGCAATCACAGAGTCAATCCAATATCACAGAGCTCTCATGCAGTTGCAGTCAGACAAGTTACTGCGCAGTACAGTACAATACAGTATACTAATCATGGGTATCATGAACATTACTGAGAAGCACAGTAGTTTACGGAACTTGAGTCTTCTGATCACCAACGCGCTTGCAATAAAATCCACGAATTTCATTTGCTATGTTAATCAAAAATGTCACTGCTTGCTAGGGTTCCTTCAGCAGGGATTCCAGTCGCGTGAGCCAATAAACACCAAGACCAGCAGCAGTGAAGAGTCAAGAGTATAAGTTATGATCCAATTGTTCGTAGGACGCACAAAAATACAGTACTGTATTCACGTCGAATGTAAAATATTTTGAGTTTCTTATGAATGCCTTGGGCCGAAAACGAAATGAATTCCAATTCAAACCCCCGATTTCCGGTCGGGACTCAGAGCTATCATCCGTATCACCGAACACATTTTAGTATGTGATGGATTAGGTAATATTGGCGGATTTCAATACTGTACGTGTTTGACATATCGTAATAGCGTACTGATACACCACCATGTAAGCAGTCTTGCATCCCACGTTAAGCGCTAGTGTGTGTGTCGATATCTGTATAATCTATACAGTATACACATGATAAATTTGACATCAAGGACCAGGAAAAATAAATAAGCTCCATTATATCAATAAAAAGGCACACTCCACAGTTTTCTCGCCGAATTCTCGAAACAAAGAGGCAAATAGTGAAAAATTAAATACGGTAATTTTAAATTTCCCGAGAAAACATAACTTAACAAAACGACACTAAAATTCAAATTCAATTCACTCAAAAAAAGTCTTTGCCTCGTAAGAATACCACTCGATCCGCTGAAAATCCAAGGCGAATGAAAGTGACACCAAGATAAAAAGGCAGACTGCATTTCTGTCACACAGTTTTTTTTTTGGCTCAGTTCGAGATTACAACACAAATGCATGAGATCCACATTTTAAGAATAAGACAAAAAACGAATACTTATGCAATTCAGCTTTTCTTTTGTTTTCCTCAGTCGGCAGTTGATTAGAACACGATTGGTTGAGATCCAAATTACTTAGTTTAATCTGTTATAATGAGTTCGAATACTCACAATGACACTCTGAAACTCTTGCATGTCGAAGTTTGAACAACGCTTCCGAGGAAAGAGAGACCCAATCAAATCTCACGAGAAATTGTAAAAAAAAAAAAAAAATCAGTATTAATTATTAATTAGCAAAGCAACTCGTCTTTGATATTAAGCCGTTTGCGGTCTAAGGTAAAGGATGCGATTTGTAGGCGGTATTTGAGTAGTAGACTGAGTCTGTGCTTCCTGCCAACCAAGAGGCGTAGGAGTAACTTGTATCGGTGGGACCAGTCTTTCGCTTCTTCCTGCATCACCTTGGTCACCCTCGACAGGGAATTTTTCCTCCACGCAAAATCTCCAGAGAAACAGTCGAAACCTTCCGTCGGCCGAAGACTTTTCCTCCTTCCGGCCGACATGAACCGACTGCTGCGGTCGCTCTTGCTCGCCGAAGAGCCCTCCGACATCATGGAGGCGGCCAAGTAGCGCAGACGCACTGCTGAGCCAGTAGGGGCGCCCCCAGAACTCGCAATGCTGTCTGAACGACCGATCGTTATTTTCCTTTTGCTTCTGCTGTCAAGTTCGGGCTGAAAAACGCAAAAACATAATTATTCAAAATAAGTAGAAAAAAATAGACTAATCGTGGTTTCAACTCGAGCCGCTAAATTTAATCTTCAAGATTCTCTGAACTAAAGCATTCCAGGAGATTCATGGATGTATGTAATACAGCAATGGACTAGATTGTTTCAATGGAAGAGAAAATTATAAAAGTCGCACGGGAGTATTTAATTAGTGATTATCCAGGCAAAGAAAACATTCAAACATTTTCGGGCTCTCTTCCAGGAACAAAAAGTAAAAATCGACTAATCGTGGTTTCAACGCGAGCCGCTGAAGATTTTCAGAAAAAAATTTCCCGAGCTAATGCACTCCTACGATTTTCATGGATGTCGGAAATAATTAAATTAGGTGATTAAATTGTTTCAACCAAAGAAAAAAAAACGTAGAAATAAAATCGGATTTCGTGATTATCCAGGCAAAGAGGAAATGCAAACCTTTTCGGGCTCGATTTTCTCCATTTCTCGCTTTTCTGCCCGAAGTCTGTCTTCTTGCAGACTTTGCAAGATCGGCTCATTCGTTGCTCGCAAGCCAGCAAGCAAATTACTGCTTTGTTCCTTCTGAAAAGACATTAACATTTTGAAGAGCAGGTAAAATTCGCGGCATTCGATAAAGTGAAACTCACTGTGCGTATGCGCTTTAAACAATTCTGAAGCCAGTTGCGGATGGTCTGTTTCGCAACTTCTTCTTCGATGATGTATTCGAGTTCCTCTCTGGCCAACAATTCTTCCATTTGCAACGATTTTCTAATGTCGACCGAACGGTAGGACAGCATACTGTTGGGAAAAAAGAACTATTTGAAAACAGGGCTATACGGCTATTTATTCGCAAGACACGATCTCTCAAGATTTTCTTCGCCGCCTCAGTTGAAATGCCGCATGGGATGGAAGTCTTAGGAACTCCCGGTTAAGCGAGACGTAACTTCACAGAATCCAATAAGCGTAGAATTAACCCAGGATCGGAAAGGAATCTCACTTCAACACATCATGAAAAGTGACGTCATCCCCATTCCGCAGTCTCTCGAGCTCGTAGCACATGTGCTTGAATAACATTCGATCTCGGTCGAGATCTACCTCCAGCCTTCCTTTGAGTAACCTCAATATGAATTTCACCCTTCTGATAGGTATCATGCCCCGCTGATTCGTGTCGACCACATTCCAAGTGTTCTGGAAATTACGGATATCCGCATAGGACAACAATGCGTCCTCTTCGCTCGAGTAAAATAAAGAGAAGTTCTCCATGATGATAGCCACGAGGAGATTCAGGACGATGTAAGTGATGATAACGTAAAAAGAGCAAAAATATATGAGGGCTCCCGTGAAATGCCCGCAGTCAGTTTCCCAATAGTTCTGTCCGTGAGTGCAAAACGGTGGCTGAACCATGCAATTGTGCATAATCTTATTCCAGTCCTCTCCAGTAACGATGCGGAATAACATAGTGATTCCGTTGGGAGCGGTCTGAAAATTTGCCAACCTACAAACGTAGAAACGGATCATTAGAAACGTCAGCCCTGTAAAACAATGAAACGAATAAGATGATCTTCGAAATGTATGAACGAAATTTTAGGGGAAAGCATAGAACTGTGTGAGGAGATAAGCTGAAAATCCCACACACACACACACACAAAACGCTCATTATTCAATGATAAATCCGACGAAAAGAACGAGATAAGCATCAAAATTAGTTATAAAGCTCTCATTATTCAATTGCTTGTCCCCCAATAACCGCGTTTTCTACCGCATGGCCATTTATTGTTTCGTCCAATCGCTCACATGGATTACCTGTGAATTCCCTCCATGTATCGGATGTTACCGAAGAGGATGTTCCCGATAAGACCGTAGGTCAAGATCAGCAAGAACAGACCCATGATGATGAAAAAGCTCTTGTATACTGAAACCACCACAGTCAGCATAAGCATACGTAAAGTCGCATGCTTTCCAGTTATGGTGAAAAATCGGAGGATGATCACAACGAAACCAAAGGAGTGGGATATGTCAGTCTGAAATGAAAACGAAAGCGTAGAATCACAATAAAAAAAACGACGACTTCTGATTAATGAATACCCCAAACATGAAGTGCATGACCATCCAGACGACTCCCATTGCAGTCACGAAGAGGTCATACCGGTTTCGCCGACTTTGCCAATATCCTCGCGGGGTGAAAGCGATGCACTTCATCACAACTTCTACGACGAACATCAAGTTGAGCCCGAAAGACATCCATGCAAGTGGGACGGTGTGTTCCTCCTCTTCTCTCCACTTGGAAATAAAGAATAAATCAGATTTGATATGCAGTTACAAGGACGCGTGATTCGGAAACGGATTCAGCGACCTTCCTAAAGACGACAGCGTGACTCAGTTTACCTCGTAGTTGAATCTAATATCTCTATACTGCCTCAATACAGTATCAATATGGAAAAATTGAAACATCGGTCCTCATCGTTTGAGAAAAGTTCTACCTCAAACCCTAACTTATTGATTTTACACTGCAGTTAGTTCAAATGCGCGAGTAGGAAGAAATCGCTGGCAGCTGGAACTTGAAATCACTATAAAGATGCAATTTGTAAACTTTGTGAGTGCCAAAAACATGAGCCAACATTAAAAGAATTCGTCATGACAGCATAATTTAAAAGGCGAAAGGATTCATCGCGTTTACTGCAATCTGCAACACACGATTACTTCTTTGACTGCCTTGGAATTCACGTTCAGCGACAGTGCATATCCCTAGCAGCGAGCCGTAGATACGAGGGTCGTTTCATAAGTCTTGTGACAATTTCAAATAGATCAAACACGGTTCGGTCAATTAAAATTTTTTTTTTACTCATAACCTCGTCACGCGGCATCACGTTGGCTATTAAGTCAACAATCAAAACGGTGGCGCCAGGAAAATTTCAATCTGAACTGGATTTTCGCCACATTTTTGATCGTTGGATTTATCGCATGAAAAAGTGCACTGAAATTGGCAGGAAGTATGTTGAACAGCACTACAGTGTTGCCGCGTGACGAGGTTATGAGTAACAGAAAAGTAAACTTAATTGCTGAGTCTATTTGAATTAGTCGCAAGACTTATGAAACAACCCCCATACGACATAAAAATGGAATACAATAGACGTTTCTCGTCAGTCCAGCAGGTTTTGCCATATCACAAGAGCGAAACAATTGAATAACCCTCGAACCACATACAGTACAGTACTACCCCCTGGAATGTTCAAGCTGTGACGAAAAAACCCCTCGTCAGATCAAACCTAATCATCACACTAAAATTAAATTACTGTAGATTTGAGACGATGTAAAATTTACTTGACTCAAGCGCAATATTTTCCTTTAAATCAAGCCAGGAATCTGAAAAATAAACGAGAAGTTAGAACTCACGGAAAAGAACAGCAAAGAACTGTTCATGATGACCAGGAAGGCGATGAACCGCTTAAAGTAAATGTGCTGCGTGATGTCGTAAACAAACGTGCGGAATTTGCGGCCTTTCGTCCTGCCTTCCGGACGAGGCGGTAAATGCAAGGGCTGAGCGATCTTCAACCGCTTTTTCAAATCACACCAACGTCTCTGATCAACTGTGAGGAGAGCGGTTCCTTTGTTCTGAGAGTAATTCGCAATGACGACACCGACGAACAGCGTGACTCCGATCATGCAGCCCAAGAACACGTAGATGTGGATGTAAATCGCATGGAGCTAAAAAAAAATTTCAAAGGCAAAATTTTGTGGGATTTTTTTATTCAACCCATGAGATTTCGTTCAAAGGTTTGAATTAAAATTTCTACCAAGAACACGTTCAAATATCCGATTAGCACAGTATTTAACCCTCCCTTGACTTAGGTTTCCAATTTTGGCTCGAAGAGATGAAATGGAGAAGACAAATGGAATCGCAATTGTAATCTTTCAGGGCCCAGAAGATCAGGTTTACCAGCGGGTATGCATGAACTTGTAAGGTGTAATCTTCAAAAAAGCGGAACCAGATCTTTTGAATGACGGAAACTTTTTTTGGACGATATCCAGGATATCCAAATATTTTGCGTTTCCATTGAAAGTTTGCTCTGATCTACGGAATCTAAAGTAAGTTTAGATTCCGATTTAACGCACGAACCATTAAACTTGAATGATTCGTTAAAAAATATCTACGCCGGAGTTGACTGGGATCCTCATTGAAAGCGGAGACGCATTCTCCAAGCATTGGGATCTAAGTAATCCCACAAATTTCCTACACAGATGATTATCAAGAGCCTGAGTACATCATCAACTACATTTTCAGCATTAATTAGGATACCAGGAACGAAAAAGTGCAATTAAATTGGTCGAGGATCAATTGAAAAGCTTTGAAGTGAAAGCTTATTAATAGAGCGAGAATGTGAGCAAAATCTTAATTTTCTTTGAATGACTGAAATATTTTGAACAAAATCTCGCTTTTTTTTAACACAGGTGGATTTCCTCTAAAATGAAATTCAGGAGACGAGGAAAAAATCGTTATAGGGAGAATTTCATTGGAGAGAACACCTATAGGATGATGGGCAGACGGCCCCTTTCCGTAATGCAGAGAAAATATCATTGTCGAGAGAATCAACCTGTTGCATTTTAGATTGCTGTCGCCTCGTAAAGTACTTACGGGACCGAGCTGACGAAGAATGATGTCTCGAATATCAAGCCAACCCTTGAAGGACAAAACTTCGAACAATGCGAGCATGGCGTTCCCAATGTTGTCAAAGTTGAAACGATACGGATTGGCCCTGCGGTACGAAAAATGTTTAATCAAATAACCTTCGTAAAAATATAAAGTCATCCTTTCACTCATACCAAACACGAGGAACGAAGAACCCAGGATTCACATTCGGCTCCACATCCCCGTGATCCGAAGGCAGCTTCATCTTCGTCACATAAACCTCCCTGAAGAAGATACCTTTGCAGCTTTCCCGCGCCAGGATATTCGGATCGTTGCACCTGGCTAATCGCCCGCCAAATAATTGCACTCCGTAGCTCGCAAATATGAATATCAACACAATTAAAAGCACGGATACGAGCACGATTTCTTTGAACCCGCGACACAGTTCGGCCACAACTTTCCGCATGTGCGGGACCAGTGAGAAAATTCGCAATGGGCGTAAACACCGTAACATCATGAGTAATTGAGCTCCGCTCGCGGATGGCACTTGTCTCGGCTGCCAGATGATGAACGTGAGGCTCACGACGTAAATGAAAATGTCCAGGATACCGCCAAAGTCCCTGATGAGAGCTTTTGGGGTGAAGAACAATCCATCCGCAAGGATCTTCAGGACCAGTTCGACACTCGTGAACACAACGTACGCATATTCTGCCACCTGGAAAAAAAAGAGTTCAATCACAAATTTTCTTCACATCGCATCGATACGACACTGCACTAACATAATGTGACTAGAAGAATTAGGGACAAAGGCATAAAATGAAGTTGGCATCAGAATCGGGCACGAACTTTTCCGGCTTATTGGATGCAACGGTTAGGTTCTTCGCTTAAAAAGTTCAAGAAGAAAAGTTGGATAATTTTTCGATAATGTACTTCGATCAAGCCTCATGCTTAAAAAAAGTAAACCAACATTTCATCAGAAGACAAAATTCCATTCATATTTTCTGAATTCGACTCGGGGCACACACAAAAAATTCCGATACTGCATTATGAATCCAGGATGATTTCGGATCAAGCTCTTGCATAAGGTTGAAAGATCAGCCAAGTATGAAAAATTAGGAAAATTCACAATTGACGCTACTGGTGAGATATGCATGAAATGAGTTCTTTGTTTCGTTTGAAAGAGACTTCGAAGAATATAATCCATATATTCATAGTTTCACAGCTTGGGATTTGAGGCTCAGCTGGATTTGAAACAGCTTATAAAAACTGTGCTCACCTGCAGCGACGGGTTTTCCACGATGCGGTAATCCGGGCGCTCGCAGACCATAGAAACGCATGAAAGGATTGTGATGAGAAAAATAGCCCAGTCCAGGTATGTCATTAATCCCAAAAGGTTGCTGCGGGAAAACAAAAACACAAACTTATCTCCAGCGATAAAACTATTTTAAAGCGGGACGAAATGTCACGACCGATTTAAAGATACTGTACATCTTTCAATTAGAGTTTTTGCCATCGTGCTCAAATGTATTTTTAAAAATAAAATTGGGGCCACTTAAGATGAACATCTTGAGAAAAAATTGTCTCGAACCACCTCAAACTTTTATTTCCAACAGAATATTTCCAGTCATCGAGAATTCGAGGTGACTGATACACCCCCCTTATGCTAAATTCCTGCACGAATCGATTGAACATTGTGAGTCTGATTCAAAATCAATTATTCATCTTGAGATAACGGCGGAAAAACTGATACGGCATTTAGAAGACCGGAAATGATCCGGACAATCCTTTCCGACGATCTTTGCTGTTCTAATCCGAGAATAAAAGCTAAAAAAAAGTTTGAACTAAACTTCGCGTGAAAATTAGGACACCCCTCAAAGGATTTCATCAAGAACTCACTAGAGCCGTTTGTACTTGATCTTCAGCTCCTTTCCAGTCACAGGGTCTTTTTGAAACACAGTGAATCTCGCATAGACAATCCGCTGACACATGCGTCTAAACTTCGATTCCCTTCCAACGGCAAACAAAGGCGTGTCAAACAAGGGATGGTTTTCTCGAAGGTCTTCTTCACGCTGACTCCGTCGCATTTCCGCCTGTTGCCGCTTGGCCTGCAGCATTTTAATGTCAAAATCCGCAGCTGCAGTCGGTGTTGCCTCAGTTGTTCCTGCAGCCGTCCTGCGGTGCATGTTGGGCGTGGCGGTGTTGGGCCCACTGGCCCAGGCGCCATGTCTGCTGTACAGACCACCGCCGCCTGAACCGTCCGTTATGCGTCCGCCGAGAAACCCGTTCTCCTTCAGATGCTCCAACGCCGGCTTGAGTCGCACGGAGCCACGAATGCTTTGTCGATGCACCCTGGAAATAAACCCATTGCTTAGTCAGTCTACAGCGCGTTAATTCCATATACTGAGTAATTTCACAATGTCAATTGATTTAAACATTTTTCATCACATGCCCCAGTGACGTTTTTCTCGGTCAAAAAGTGATTATTACAATGTTTCCGTGAAAATAAGACTTTTCTTCAGTAAAGATGAAGAAAAGTCTTCTGACGGTACACGCATCTTCGTGTGTAAGCTCCATGTTCTATTCTACAGTATCGTACCTTGTGCATACATATGTACAGTATTTGTTTGATGGCATTCAGAGACTTGGCAGGTGTCAATGAAATTTTTTTCGCATGAATAAAGAAATATTTCATCAACTACGGCAATCGAATCAGAATTCTCGAAGTATTCTGCGTATGATCCAATCGATATTCAAAGAGAAAAAAAAATTCAGCGATTGTTTCCTAACCGATGACGTCACTTCCACGAACCAGAGGGACTCTAAAAAATATGTGAACTCCACCTTTTGGAAATGCGGCGGTAAATTGACTGAGTGCTCCTCGCGATTCCTTGAACAGGAATTTGACCCGAATCGCCCAAAAGCAGTCGTTGCTCACTCGAATCCCTACAATAATCACAGGGTCACAATTTCGAATGCTCGGCGGTATTAATTACGATAAAGATGCAATTACTCGAGCAAGTCCTGTATTCTGAGTTTCTTCTGATCTGCATTCTCCGAGTGGGATTTATCGTGCAGCTTCAGCAACTTCACCGGAACAGTTTTGTGATAAATTTCTGGCTGAAGTCCAGCTTCTTCTTCAATAATTGATCCTAGGTCGGCCAGGCTTCCGGACATGTTATCGCAATATTCATCGACGAACTGGCGCAAGAAGCTGTCTCGAACCTGAACATCAACATTTTCATAAAAGTAAGAAGAAACGTTTAATCGTCAAGTTAATTCTAGGGTTATCTTTCTGATTTCTAAATTGTAATGCAGGTGGACCCACTCGACAACAAAATTCAAGGAAAAATATAAAATTAATTGAACAGAAAATCGTTGTCGAGAGAGCCCACCTGTAATACGTTGAAGTAAGATTGCTTCAGAAAAAACCAAAAACATTTTCAATAAAATGCATGTCTCCATCGTTTCTCGCACGATATGTAGTATTAATTTGAATTCCAATTTCCAACTGCCAGAAGTTCAGCTAGCTAATACTGTAGTAACAAAAATTAAACAGAATTTCAAATAAACAAATCCAGTGCATATTTTTTTCCCACGGAATGTCCAATTTTGTTCGGAAAAGATGGCACGAAAATAAGAATTCAAAGAAATATCACAAACGAAAATTCAAACAGAGAATACCGACCTTCGGCATAGGAAAATCCGACGAAAGTTTGTGCAGTTTGATCATCTGCGGGCTGTCGGGAAATTTCTGGAAGATGCGAATCCGAAGAGGAAGCTTTTCGTTGATATTCACACTCTGCTCACGAGCTTTCATTTGCTTCAACTTTTTGATGTCCTCGTCCAGCTCCAAGTTATCCAAGATAACGGCAACGAACAATGATAACACGATCTGCATTTAACCATAAGAATAATCATATAACTGAGCTACGCATTTTCGGGATCAAAAAAACAACAAAGAATTATCTATTTTCACACTGAACTCGACTTTCATTACAAATTGAAGAGTAGCAGCATGACTGAAATTTCCCAATATAGTAATGCATGGTACTGAAGAGATATATAATTGTTTCAATATAGGGTGCGTAATAAGTAACAAGTTACACTGAGAGGGTGATTCCAGCATTTACTTTGTTTCAAATCTTGGAAGAAGAACACACGGAAGTGCATTAAATTCGGCGGTAAACACCGAATGTCAAGAGCAGAAGATATTATTATTCTTCCGAATCAAAATCGATTCTTTTTTTCAATTGGCCAATACCAACAAATATAGAATTCCAAAAATGTTTGATCACTTTTTACTCACCAGCGTTACGAAAAGATGGTAACAAATGAAATAAATCGCAACAACCGGTGCAATCGTGGGAGATGTCTTCAGCATGGTTTCATTCATTACGTCAATCCAACCTTCTTGTGTCAATATCTGGAACATGGACATGAACGCCTGTGAAAAAAAAACCATTAGCTTCAATTAAATTTTTCCTTTACTTAACTTTATTCACCTGAGGGAATGTGTCGAACTATAGCTTTAAGAGTAGTGAGTCCTTCGTTTTTTCAACGTACCTATAAGGCCTTCAATATTCGTCGTTTGTGTAGCACTTCTACTAGTTCGAGGGGTTAAAAAACGGGCCAGGCTTCTAAAATATGTGGAAGTCTTCCAGCATAGGCGAAGCTCTGATGAGTCTCACTATTCGAAGCACCTGTCAAGAAAATACAAACGTCAATATAGCTCAGCCGAAATCATGGTCTCCAATGAAACTGAGACAACTAGATCAATAACACCAGGGTTGTCCCACTTGGGCGCGACCTTGGTTATTGGTAGAGTAGGTATGACCGTAAAAAAAAATTTATGATACAGCCCATGATGTTGTAAGGTTCTGAGATTTTCTAGGATTTTTAATAACACTTCTCAATTTAATGCATGATGATAAGTGAAAGCTTTCCAGTTACAGCCAGAGTTTTCCAACAATGCCACAGGGTGCCTGAACATTTTAAGGCCAGCTATAAAAATTGCAATTTTTTCTGTTTTGACTTTTGACCATTATCTTTTCAACATTGCAGATAAGTGTTCCCCAACCTTTTTGGGCCTATACAGACCGGCGAATTTCCGTAACATTTTTGGCGGACTGGAAAATTCTCAAAAAATTTTCTGCAGAATGGCAAAGTTTCATACAATTTTTGCAGCCTCAAAAGAAAATTTCTTTTGAAGACTTATTGAAGGCATTCAAAAGTCTCTGCTTTTTCGGCAAAAACCAAGTTAAGAACCAATGAAGCAGCTATACAAGTGACATGTCTTCAACAAATTAAAAAAGTATGATTGAAGAAAGATTTCTAGGAATGAAAAATTGAAATAATTTATTTGATCGGGTGAAATTTTGTCTGAAGTTTTATTCAGAGAAAAGCAAACTTTATTTTTTATGACATAATTTTAACTGCATTGCCTCACAAAAATATTTCATAAAGATACTGTAACGTGCTTCATTGATACTTTTAATCAATTTACTATGCTTGAGAAAATTTCCCGCGGACCAGCAAAAAACTTCTGCGGAACACGGGTTGGAGAACACTGTTTTAAATAATACTGTGGTTAAAACAACAGAAATAACAATTTTCAGCTGGCCCAAAAATTTGTCAGTGCCCTGCGACATGGGTGGAGAACTCTGGCCGTAACTGGAAAGTTTTCAAGATCATGCAGTAAATTTTAAATATTTTTAAATCCGAAAAAAGTCCCAGAATTTACAAAATCATGGGCTATATCCTATATTTTTATAAAGTCAGACCTACTCTCTAAATAACCAAGGTCGCACCCAAGTGGGACACCACTCGCACACATCACCAGACGTGAAGTTCTTGTGCGTCAATTCCGCGCAGGGAACTGAATAAAGAAGTGAGTTCGCGTTCAAGAGTCTCACCTGGAAAAATGTGATGGCAGACATGTACAATGCTGGTACTAGGTGAACAATCGTCCCAATAACCAGCAGCAGCTCAAATTTGTGCACAGACCGACGCATGTAGCTCACTACTCCCAAGCACCACATCTTGAAGAGAGCCTCGAGCAAGAAGAACCCAGTGAAACCCATCTCGATATAGTAAAACTTGTAGTAAAAATCTTCCCGGGGTCTTCCGTCGTGCTTGAAGTGGATCGAAGCAGCAATCATGGCGTTCGCCATAAGAGCCAACATCACGAGAACGTGGAACCCAGCAGAATGAAGGATTCGTACAAAAATTTTCGGAGCGTGCCCGCGAGTGCAACTATCGTCCACCGCCACCATTTTCCACGCACAGCCTTCACCGCCCAAAACCTGTACCAAACCCACATCAGAAACGATTCAATTACTAGATTTGCCTCGCAACTGATCAATAAATTTGAATAATTACAAATTCAGCGATGATTTTTGACTGCAGAATACCCATCCTTCAAACGAAATACTGTAAATCCAAGAAATTTGCAAGCGCATAATTCTGGAATTCTGAAATCTATTCAGCCACGGGGAAAATCCCACGGTTTGAAAATTATGGTACCGGGGTATAAAACTGGACCTTGAGTGCTGCATAATTAAAGCAGAAAAATTCCAGAAATAAATCATGGGATCAGCGTTAAAAATACGAGAGGTAGCTTTTAAATTTCGGCGCGGAGTCTATCATAACTACAGTACAGTATTATAGTTTCAGGATATCCTGTTTTCCTTCTCTCAAAACACAAGCACAAAGTTAAAAATTATAAAATATATAAAAGTGCATACAAAAACGAAAAGCAAATAATATTAGCATTTCAGAATTTCCCTCGCAATAGATGCATGGTTTCAATCCTTTTTTTTCAATCAAAATTATATCACACACTAGGTCAGCCGATGTTCCTGCCTTTTCTTCATTAAAAATAATTGCAGAAACCACGTAGAAACTTGAATTTGGTAAGCATAAACGTTCTGTATGATCTGAAACGAACCTGGGTTGTTCCTTGGGTAACCAGATGGTCTCGCACTCCCCACATTTCCTTGAACTGAACTCGGATTTCATTGAACGTTTCCGTGATCACAGCGATGAAAACGTTCTTCACGAGCCACGCCAAAAAGAAGATCAAGGTAACGAAGTAAATCATCGCCCTCCAAGTCGGCAAACTGTCCAGAGTTCTATACAACAGCTGTGTCCAAGCCTCTTGCGATGCCGCTTGATACACCGTGAACAAGCTCGTCACTGCGAATATCAAATCCGGGAATTATTTTTCATACTAGAAGCATTTTCCGAAGAAATTCATCTTCAACTGCAATCCAAACAAAACTTAAAAGTTTCAATGATTTGAGGAGGTCCCGAGTCAATAACGTGGATGGGAAAGAAAAAACGACGTCTTAAGAAAAAAAAGGTCAGAGGGAAGGAAGGCTCAAAAGGTAAGAGGGAAGGAAAAAAAGGAAGGTTCAAAATTGTATTAACTCATTGAAAACATATTTTTTTGGTAACAGAAGTTAAAATCGAAAACGCTTCACTGCTTTCCCCAGTCGATAAAATAAGTGTAAGCATTTAATCAAGTCCTGACTCGGTAAATTTCACGCTCACCAAATTACGTTTCCAACATTTCAAATCAAAAGGTGGAACTGAGGCCAGGAAATGACGGAATACTGTGTAACCCTTCGAAAATTCTGTTGATCTCCATGCATTCAACAAGACTGTAACACGAGATGCAAAAGACTAACGTAGCTCACGAACCAACCCAGCATTAAATTTAAAAGTGTCCTTTTCTCATGAGATGAAAAAAATACTTGCAAAATTCATCAAATCCATTGAACCCGATCATGTAGCGAGACAACTCCAGTCGCAAGCATTCCGTGCCACTCGGACACTGGTAACCGCTACCATTATCATGAGAACAATAAGTGTCCGGAATGGCGAGATCAGCCACCGTAACATTCGTCGCTGTCGTATTCATCCTCACACAGTGGCTTCTAAGCTCTCCGAAAAATTGCACTCCCAACAAACCGTAAAGGCTCATGAAAAACGTGAAAAATAACGTGACGTTGTAAATCTGCTGGCTGGAGCGCTTGAATATCATGTTAATCCTGGCTTTCGGCATCGAGAACTTGAGGAAAACTCGGATGAAGCGGATCATGATGAGCGGACGCGGAGCACGAAGGATGCGTAGGTACTGGTATCCTTCCAAAAGACCGGTTATTTCCAGCATTTGAAGCAAAACGGAGACCCAGAGGAAGAGGGCCATGATGCCATCGAACTGGCACCAACGGTCTCTCAAGTAGGCATTTTCCCCCTTAAAATCCAAAATCATGATAGAAACATAGCACCTACCGCATTTACTCGAGTACCACGCGCACCCCATTTTCAGTGACTCAATGAATTAAATACAGTATATCAGATAAAAAAAATCCAACTTTGAATTTAGACACAAGTTGAACATAAATTCGACTAAATTTCAATTTTTTATCCAAGAAAGTGTTTCTCTTAAAATTTCCCGTTAAATCAAGTAATGTATAATGCACTCCTAAATTTAAAAAACTTTGGAAATTTTATAATCCCTTAAGAGGCCATCATTGCATCCCTTTTCCCCTCGGAAATTCGAGAAAAAATGTGCGTGTGGTACGCGAATAATTACGAATAAATTCCATAGTTTTCCATACTAAAATATTTAATTTAATCGAGTAAACGCGTACACATATTTTTCATCAAAAGTGAGAGGGGGAAAAGGGATGTGCGTCGTAGTCGTAGATACAATTTGCAAATTACTTTTAGAAGTTTAGGTGCACGACACAGTTGGATTTTTGACAGGCACTTTTCCATAATTATTTCAAAGCAATCGAAAATTAATTGAACCGGGGTTAAATTCATGTTCATAACTGTTTTCTAGCATCCATTTTTTAAACTTTATTGTAGTTTTCAAATCACTAAAAATTGGGTAACCGTAATACACAGGAAGCATACCTTCCACAATCCTCGAACGTGAACTTTAGCCATCATCTCAGCGGTGAAAATAAACGTAACGAGAAGATCGGTGCAGAATGTAGCATACTCCAGGGATGGATACTTGACAAACGTCACCGGAGTGTTGAGGCACACAGATACCAGACTGATGAGCGCAAAAAGTCGCAGCACTCTCTTTACCCATTGCTGCGAAAACCGAGGATTTTATAGTCATGTACAGCGCCGTAATTGAAGTAATCACCAACCTTGTTGACCCAATCAATCTCGATGTTCTCCCCACCGTAATCATCGGGACCGAAGTCAACCATGACTTCGGCCCCGCTTCTCGTTCCCTGCTTCTGACTGAGCATGCTTTTTTCAACCCATCACCAAGTAAAATTAGGAGAGGAAAGAAAGCGCGAGAAAGTCCACCACCAAAGCCTGAGGAACAACAATTCCAAGTCTGACATGAATGAAGCTAACACGAAATCAAAATTTCAAAGAATACCATACAAAATAAATATAGCCTTTAATTCTCAGAATTCAGAGAAAAATGGTAAAAGCGCCGAAAAATAAGAGTTCCGGGAACAACAGCCAACCAGCTGACGATCCATGAAGGGTCTTCCCGCAGTGTCTTCGAAACTGTCAACATTGTAGAGAAAAAAGCCACATAATTTCACGAACACTATGAAAAGCATCGATTTTCTCACCCATTTCTCGACGGGGAAAATAACAACGAACCAAGAAAACACGTCGGCGGAATTCTTGAGGAACAGCCAATCCATCAGCGCTCGAAGATGGTTTCTTATTGCATCTGGATCAGTGGCAGCATTAGAAAAATTCCGCCTTTTCGAAACAGGAAATTGACAAAGAAGAGGATCAAGACTTACACCCCGTTTCTTTGAGTTCTTACGAAATACGAATGGTGGTTCAACACTGATGTCGATACATCGAAATTGAAGGTATCTTTGGTTCGTCAGAATCCACTGAACTATCATGGGATCATGAAGAATACCTTTAACGGGCTTATGGTCTATCTACTCTATCAGGTTCCATTCTCAAAAAAAAAAATCCGCTAAAACAAAACACAAATACAACGTTCGGAATATTCGATCGGAGCGCAGCGGTTGAATACGTCAAATGATCAAGATAACTCCCAAAATTATCTACATTACTTTAAATCTAATTGCACTAGTAACACTCATGTTACATACATCAGCAGTCGGGCATCTCCTCTGGTGATGGAATGCAAGTCCGACTCCGTCGTCTCGCTATTTCGACCCAGGTGTGCAAAAACCGCAACAGTAGACGGAGCATCATACGAAATTGTCTCGTCAAAATGTGTCCAGTCTCGAATCATACATCCAAGACGCCCAACATAGAAATCACCAAAGCGATGAAAAAAATGATCCAGCGATACAAAAAATAATGAAGCCCGCACTGATGAAAAATTATCCGGACAAAAATGAAGAGTAACACGAGGTAACAAAAAGTCACTGTGCTCTGTGTTGTCCTGGCTGGCAACAGGCTGGTTTCAACGAGAAACCAGGCCACATTACAGCAAGAGTGGATAGTCGAAGATGAAAAGACAGAGACAGAAGAAGAAGAATAGCCAAGGAAAAAACACGGTACTTATCTAAATACAACGGACTTTCCTGTCGACGATTCCTCCAGGCAGCAACCAGGTCCACTCCGTCGAGGTCACAGGCGCATCCATGTTCCAGTTTCCCGTCTTCTGGCATGTTTGTAAATTTGTTTTCAGGCACCGAAGATCGTGATGTCACCAATGGTGAGAGACAACGAACTTTGTGTGTTGTGAGGGACAAGGCGTTGGGAGGGATTGACTCACACGGACGCGCCTTAGGCAATGTCTACGTGCTGCCAGATAAAAGGGGTTTCTTGACACCCCACCAGTTCTTGAAAGCCTCCTACAAACAGGAGGCGAAAAGGTTTCTCATGTCCTTATGGATACTCCAAATGTTTTGCGGTTTTATGTTTGTAATTTTCAAGGGGTTTCTCTACAGTCCCCATATATCAGTTCCAGGCATCCATGTGCCACGGAACTAGACTTGCGTCATGACGTGCGTCTGCCCTTTAGGGCTGGCCGGGGCGGACCCGATCGGGTGGCTTCCGCAGTGAGCAATGGGTTTCTGCGAGTTTTAATGCATCGCACCCGTTAGGGCATTTCTTTTTCTTTGTGTGCGTCGGATGCCGTGATCCGGCGTTTCGATTGATGGCGAATCGCCGTTTTCAGGGCACAAGTGACCGAGGAGGTCGGGATCCCGGACAGTCGGGTTACATCGACTCCGCTGCAGGAGTGCCGAAACCCGGCGTGCGTGTGTTTGTATGTGATGCGTGCGTGCGCGAAATCTCGCCTTGGGATGCTTAGATCCCATTTGACAGGCTGGCTGGCTGATGAAGCCCGTCTTGAGAGGGATTACCCTCTTGCGACCTCGTCTCAATTCATAATTGAAACAAGGTACGAAGGTAATGAACCTCTTTTCAGGTTTGGTCTCCAAGTAAGAACCCTCGTGGAAGACGAGGGCCAAAGGTTTAAAAGAGAAGCTCGTTGCTTCAGGTCAGGTCAGTTGTTTTAACAGAATTTTTCCGTAATCGCCACAAAATTAATTATGATACCAGTACGTACAATAATCGAGTAGATCGCTACCAAACCAGCGAAGTGTCCTTTAGGACAGTGGATGTCACTTGACGTACAATAATCGAGTAAATCGCAACCAAACCAGCGAAGTGTCCTTTAGGACAGTGGATGTCACTTGACAAGACCGAGCTTTACGTTGAGACCATCTTCTTCCTGGTGAGCCTGAGGCAGGAATGTGCTCTTCTGGTCGTTAAACACGACTGCTTTTAACAAACTGAATATTTTCGTTCACTTTCACTTGTTCACAGATGCAAAAAAAAAGGCTGAGGATTATTTGGGAAACTCCCAATTGGAGGAATCTGGGATCACACAATGTTGGGGATCCAGCAAAAACTTAGGATTTAATTGATCCCCCACTTGGGACATAGTTATGCACAACTTTGGTTCGGGTATTGACACGATCCGAAGCTTAAATGATCCACAAAATGTCTAGTTCTGCAGGTGAAAACAGGAAAGGAAACTATCAAACAACCGGAACGTTATTTTAAGATTTAGTTACAATCGCGAATGACTGCTGTTGAGTTATACCGAAGTTGGGATTATTGCTCGAGTTTTGCTAAGTGACTGAAAAAAAACTAGGAGACAATAAGAAAATGAAAAATAAATTATGCCAGGGTTAAAAAGACTGCTGACAGAAAAGACGGAAAGAGACAGCGATTTACAACCGTCACTTGGCTGTAATTCAAGATAAAAAGACACACAACTACTTATGGCCATAGAAAATGGCAGAGACAAAAGATGAAATTAAGGTCAAGAGGTTTCTCATAACACCTCGTAGTCAGTCATACTCCAGAGTTGGACAAAATAAACACGGGGTTTCTCGCCACCCCTCAACACCAAACACACCTAGGGTTTCTCAAGTCTCCCCTTTGTTTTCCAAGGACAACAAACAAACAACCCAGCAGTCAGGTTCTCTCCACTGCCCAAAGCTCCACGTTTACACACCACCAGAGCAGCCTTCGACCCCGGGTTTTGTTGCCGGAGGAGAAAACGGATCCCTGAGATGGCAGCAAACGATAGGACTGGTCAGCGTGACCAACTGCGGTTTTTTTTTCAACCGTCCACACCAACGCTGGCAAACAAAGCTGCAGCACTCAAGAGTGACTAAAAAGGAAACGGCGCAACCGCACCACAACAAAACAAAGCTGAAAATCAACAATACAAGCAAAAAATAACAAAACCGTATTCACATGGCCTCCATTGCATCACCGCGCACCAAGCGGGTCTAGCAAGAGGCTTTTCAAATAAACTCGAAAAGTCAATTTTACCGCAAATCTCTCGCCCAGAAAAATTAGCAACCCTTCGAACTCCCATCCAGTACAAAAAAAGGACAAATGAGAACGGGCTTAAAAGCTTGTCAAGTCGCAGCATCACGACGCGCAAACACCAGGGAATCTGTGACGATGCCCACACACAGCAAGTGAGCACTGGAAGACCAATCAACCTCTAAAATCGTGACTAGAAACACGGTCACTTCATTCCTCAAACTAGAACCAGATTCATGTTTAAAAAAAAAAACAGACATGACCAAAAATAAAACTCGGGAACCCTCAGGTTTCTTCAAGGGGAGAAGCTAAAATCATCCAGAGAACGTGAAACGAAGCTCCCAAAATATTCCCATCAGAGGTGAACGGAGTATGAAAATATTCTTCGCAGAGCAACTATTCTAGATTATAGAATGCTAAATCCGCTAAATAAATCCATCTTTCGCAACATAATCAAGTATCAAAAATTAAATCATTTGCGCATTTTTACTTCAACAGTACCTTTGAGCCACATCACACTGGGACTGAATTTCGGTACATTTAATCAATGTACCAATCGCCAAAATCATTACAAAACCTAGACCAAATCCCACGAGTGTTCGAATAACCATGTATAATTGCAGATACAATATTAATACTTTTCAAATCTCCTCCAGAATGTCATCTTCCCCAGGCGATGACTTCTCAGATGCCATGTACATTGGACTTGAATTCTCGCTCATATGTACCAGTTAATCTTCACAACCAAGTTAATTTTGAAGCATAAAAAATTTGTCACAGAGCAACTCCCACACCAAAGCACAACATAATTAGTTCCATCACCTGTATTAGAAGCCCATTTCATTTTCAAATTTCCTAATTTCATTCCTTCGATAATAGTCGACGAAAGAAGTCCAAGATACATGAAATTGCAAGAAGCCTCGTCTGAAAGCTCCAGATTCACCTCCGCTGAAAATATAAAAAAAAAATTCATTGAAGCTTCGAATTGCAATCTTACAATGAATGCTACAGGGCTAGAATTAATTTCGAAAAAGAAATGAAATGTCCGGTGTAGTCTAGCAGGAATTAACGTTTCAGCAGTCATCTACCCAAGCACTTGAGCGAGTCCGCTCCGAATATATCCCACAGAATAAAGATGAAAAATAGTCGAGGGGGAGCGGGTTCATTTTTTTATATATCCCCAACGTCCACGACGACGAACTCCACAGCATGCAAAGTGTGCACGTACAAGCTTGCAGGATGCAGCTACAGCCCACCTCTTCCGCAGGATACAACGGAACAACCCGAGTAAACCGCGGAGCGTGATTAAAACGAGGAGTACGGTTGCTTCACAGCAAGTTGCTTTGGGTTTCTCTACGGCCCAGCGAGCGCTCGGCGGGTGCGAAGGGTTTCTCAAGTCCCAAGCACCCCAGCAAGACAAGACAGAGAAGAGAAAAAGGTGGGGGGAGAGGAAGTTGTTTTCTCAACGCACATCGCAACTCTCGCTCTTTTTTCTTTAGTCTTCTTATTCTTTTCGCTGAGGACAAGACGGGTTTCGTATCACCCGATGTCATTTTCTCGTACGTACTTCGTTCTTTCTTTTCTTTTTTTTTGCGGCAAAGCCGCGTGGCGGGCGACCGCGTTGGTCGTCAGCCAGGCCGGTCGCCCTTTTTCTGAGGTGGTCTCGAGACGTGAGAGCAGACTGTGATTGGTCTCGTGATTAGAGAGACTCGTGTGACTTTTTGGTCTCGCAATGCGAGAGACTCGTAGTGCGATGGTCTCGCAATGCGAGACGCGCAGTGTGATTTTTTCGGTCTTGTGACGCAAGACGCAGGCTGTGGTAGGTGCTTTTTTTTCATGGTTTGAAAAAAATGGTTAAACCACTGTGCCCCGAGGGCTACCGTGCGGATCGAAGCATCATCCCTCTCGCTAAGCAGTTTCGAGACAAAGGCAGTGCTGCAGTAGCGGCAGCGGGCTTAAACGAAGACTCCGGCTTTATGTCTTTCCTCACGAACAAAAGGGATGGTGGTCTCGCCAGCTGGAGGCCACCGTCAGATAAACAGCTTTTCTGTAAAAAAAAAAAAACAAGATTTAATTTAAGATAAAAAGTTTACGACTCAAGTACTGAACAACATTCGACAAGTACTAAAGGTTTACAAAAAAGGACCTCAAAATTGCACTCTTGAACGAGTTCCAAAATGCAGCGTGTCAAAATGTATGACAAATCGTGAAAAATACATCAGAAACATGAAAATTTTCCCGAATACTGACATTTATGGCAACTGAAGTAAGTTGAAGTACTTCCTAAGTTTTCACAAAAATGTTTTCCTCAAAAATGAAAAAGTTGGTTCAAGAAGTTATGCGCACTTTTGAGCGCTACCCAATACATTACAGTACTGCAATTGATAGGTACAGCTGAGCCTTGAAAACTCGAGGTCTCAAACCTCCCGAAGTGGATTTATCTGAAGCCCATGCCTGAATTCCATTAGAAATAATGCCTTAAAATCCGTTTCTCAAAAACTTTCCATCTCAAACTACCAGAAGACGAATTTTCCGGAGGCCACTTAGCATATTTTACTGGCACAGAAAAGAAAAAGCAATAAAAAGTACAGTAGCTTGATGCGTTTTGAGAGAACGTGGACACTTGCCTCCGAAGTTCAGCACCCTGTCAACTCATTCAAGAAGCAAATCAAGGCCCATAAAACCACCATTTTCAATTTCCTGTAATTTTGTTATCTACCAGCAAAAATGCTGGTTTCCCCGGATCGAAATCTCCCCAACTTTACTTCTTCGCTGGTCTCTCGAAGTTTGACCTAATTTACACAGTGTAGTTGGATATAGAAATAGAAAATAAGAATCCCAAAAGAATGAAGAAATGAATTGTACTCACCAACACAACGGCAGACAGCTTCTTCCCCCCATCGGCAGAACAGTATGACCTGTTACATGTACCGCAAACCAGTGGACACCACGTCCCCAGGGCGTAGATCAACCGCAAGAGTAGCAGCAACTAGACTGGTAACCGGACACATCCTCGGTAGACAAGAGAACCCTTCAAGATTCCAACCACGGGTTCGCAATGGAGCGCAATGCCAACGGTGCTAACGAGATTCCAGAACCATATTCTGAATATCTCCCTCCCCGACGGATGGAATCGCAACCCGTAAAAACAAAGAGGCTCGATTATCTCCGCGACAGCGCCTTTCAGAAAATGCACATTCCCCATCGGAAATAGCCGTGTGTACAGCTCAAAATTCGGCACATCTCCACGCAAACTCCAATTCAAGATTACACACGTGTGTTGCGAAGGCTCGTCCGATATCTTCCCATTCGGAAGTTTTCCTCCACGAACATTCAACAGCCTTATGCTTTGCGGCCCAGTGGCGGGAATGATCTGCGCGTGTCATCGTAGGCCAAGTGGCCTGAACCATCATCACCGAACAACCAGATACGGGAGATGAAACGGTCTGCAGCTGGCAGAATCTTAAGCATAAGGATCTCCATACAGGTCCTTCGCAAGAAATTCAAATTGTTGGACACGCAACTCCACACGAGAGCCCCCGAGAGGTGCTGCTGAGTTTTCACCAAGCCTCAACAGCAATGAGGATAATTCCGATTCAGAAAAAACCGTGAGGGTATATCGGCACACGAACGTTTTTTTCCACCGAAGATCAGATCAGGTCACAGCCAAAGGCAACGCGGGAAATCGCGATCACATGGAATACAATCCAATGTATCAGCGTGGGTTCGTCATCCAGGTCCAGCGATGTTGGGTTCGAGATGAACAGGCAGTTGTACCCGAAGTTTCCAGAAAACCCTGCTGCTTTCAGTGATGTCTCATTTGCATCACTAGAAGTGCCCTGTGCTCTTGTGAGACCCTGTTCATAGGCCTTATGATACGATCGTGTTGTATTGAGCAATGTATCGTTTTCATCACAAGGGTTTCGAGGGGTTAAGAAAATCCTGAAGCGAAGGTATTCAAAAAGCCCAGTTCAAACGATCTTAATGAAACCTTGTGGCTTCGAGCGGTGTCGTCTCGTTAACCCGAGTTCCTTGATATACCCATATAACGCAATCAAGCTCTGATAAAATCCTTCAAGCCGGGGAAAAGCATGATGCAAGAAAAACTTCCGAAACGGACGTACATATCCGAATCAAGTCGTCACAAGACTACCCGCATAAAGATCGAGAAGAGGCCCTTTCTTATCCACGCTTAGGGTAGAAGCCAGCAGTTGAGCCAGTTCCGGAAGACCACAAAGTAAGGTATTCCCAACCTTCAGGACACAAAACTCGCTCCAAGTTGGGGGTTTCGGATGTTCCCCCAGTCAAAAAGCGTCGACATGACAGGAACGGCGATGACCTGATGACAGGCAAGAAGGTGACCAAATGTCGAACTGGAGCGAATCGAACCTAACCGTCAGGACGTTCCTGTAAAGACAAACACATATCGCACGTGACAAGAACAATTATTAAACCTAAACTATCGCAGGGTCCAAGGTAAAGCGCCTGCCGATGTGTTTGCCTCTGATCAAAAATCTTGCTCTAGGACAGCTCAGAATTCTTGAACCTCCAGTAGAATGCAGCGAATCTATTCACGCGAGGCGTGTACTTTTCGACGCAGAAAATCAAGAGAAAACCTTCGAACGATACCGTCATTCCAGAGCACACACGGATTTGTCTTACTAGCATCTTCCGAAGTGCTGAAGCCAATCGCTTCCTAAAATGTGTAAGACACATGGTAAAAGCCTCGGGCGTATACCAACCCCTGAAGAATCCACCAGAAGAGGAAAGGGATAAATCCAAAATCCAACCAGGCTTCATCCACGACCAATACGCGACCATGAAGAAACGCGACACTTAGCGGTATTTCTTCGCTTCTTGAGATTTCCTACAGCAATCACATCGGCAGCGACAGAGCTCATACGCTGGCTGAACTAACTATCATGCGTATGCACAGATCAGATTTCCCTTTGCGCGAAATCATCTCCATAAAGGAAAGCTTTGCCACCGTCCGCGAACAGCATTTGGAGCTGAGCATCCGGCTACGAACACACCTGAGCACAGTATTCCACAACTTCGTGCAGATTCGGATCCAAGTGGAGGCACCTCCGCGGATAATGATCTCGGAAGATAATGCGCGAATTCATTCCACCAGTTTGATTCAAATCGTTGGCATAAACGGCAACAGCGATCTTCTCAGATGAAGGTTCTTCCAGTGATTCTCTTCTCTTCCACAGAACAGCAAGTTCGTCCGAGTCTTGTTCTTGGTCATCAACGATACGTTCTCCTCACGTGAAACCCACGTCGAAACGCTTGAGAAAAGAATACATACCCTTTTCGGATGATACTGCACTAATAGTCCACGTGCTCTGAAGTCATCTGAACGGATTCTCAACGAGTCGTAACAAGAGGATTCCAAAAACAAGCAAGTAGTCAATGCTTTCCGTTTTCAGCAATACTGAGACTGTCGCCTTGCTCACATGGAGTGTCGAATGTTACAACAGAGCCTGCTTGGGCAGGCTTTCCAAAGGAATTTTTCCCGTGAACCGAAAAGAATCGAAGGTGACTCCTTCACAGGAAGATACCACGGGATCGTGATTCATCTACCGAAGAACATTCCGCAAGAAACGCAGAGGCCACGTCCGACAATACGAAGGTTGCATTGAGGAGGAATCCTTTGTCATTCAAGCATCAGAACGCTTGAATTGTCACGACCTTCATGTGAAGCGAGGGAACTTCCAGGCAGCCATGACGCCGATCGTCAGTAGAGCATGACGCTCGTTAATCACAGAACACGTGATCCCAGACTTATTTCAGCTCCTCTTTCCCACACGTAACCGCGATGCTTGAAGCATACTTCTGAAGACGACCATCGTAGTCCTTGCCTCTGAACCGGCCAGGAGTTCATCACGAAGTATGAAATCTGGGAGTAACGCCGAGTAATAAACCATCAGCTCACCAGTCATTTTGTCTTCAAGAAAATGAACATCACAATTCACGACATTTTCCTGAAAAATCCACAACGTTGAAGCCATTGAGAGTCACGTCACACAGCCTTCCTTCTAAATGTACATTTCAATTCACGACATTGTTATGAAAACAACCACAACTTTAACGCGAATTAGAGTCACGTCGCACGGTTTCTCTCGAAATTAACGGACGGCTGATTGACAATGCTGAACAGATACTAAGCATAGTGTGGAAAGCACTCATATAGATCACCGCCGTGAATATTGAAAATACCCGCACTCGATCTACACGCTTATCGCTCAACGACTTGAAAGAGAATCAAACGATGCATGAAGATTGATATGTGTTACATGCATGGATCAAGTTCTACAAATCCATGAAAGTACCAAAATCAGTACGTACCCCCTTCATTGAGGCTAGTTGAACAGTGACTTTATTGCCGATTTCCAAACTTCAGTCAGAAGAGTTACAACCCATCCAACACGCCACGCAAAATAATCAAAATTAATGAAAACTCCTACGTCCGCAACCAATGAAATTCCAACACAAAGTGTGGATTCTTCCATGTCAGCTTCCCCACCCCTCCCCATTAAGAGGTCTCTGAAGGACGGCCCTCGTGAAGTTGGATCTAGTTGGTAGAGGTGGACACCTGATTCCCATCTTCTGGAATTTAGTAGATGTCGCTAAATATCGGAGCGTAACAATCTTTCTGCTGTTCCTCAGAAAAATCCACTCAAATGAGCAGAACTATGTTGCACCATCCATCACTTCATAAGGCGCAGCCATGATTCCATGTACTGCCTTGCTAGCTCAATACGGCTTGAACCTCTTACTTTCTTTCAATGCCAATAACATCTATGAATGTCAAATATGAACAAACATCATGCATATATAATCCAAAAAAGGGTCTCGCATATTTTCCATGAAACGCGTGTAATAAATGCAATACTGTACATGGAGTCCCAAATTTCAAAACAGATAATTTATCCGAAGTGAGTGCAACATTGATGATTATCGGGAACATATAATCTACAATTCTACAGTGTAACGTCGTATAGGAAACCATTTTCAGAATATTCATGTTTTATACTTGGGTCTATCATATATATATAGATATATATACTGTATAAAGGAGTAGAAAAAATGCTATGAAATTATTTGTGCAATTTATTATGATGCTCTACTTACTGCAGAAAATAATATGAACCTCAGTGCCACCATCAGTATATTTTCAAACGTACCACAATAAGTTGTGAGGCCTTATTGATATGAGTGCTGCTGATGTCCTCATTTTAATCAATGGACTTCGCGTAAGAATTTTTTTATATGCGCAGCAATAAAACACACACCAAATTCCTCTATCGAATCCTTCAACAGGAAAGTATAGTACAACAATAATGTGGAACAACTTTTATATTTTGCATGTAATAAAAGTGTAAACGATATTTTAGCACATTAATAGTATGATAGAAAAAATGTTCCCCCTTTATTATTGAAATTACATTCTTTTGTTGCACACAAATATGGTTCGCAAATAAAAATCAGGGTGCATAGCGTTGTTCTGATGTGTATATATTTTCACTAAATACGGAATGTGCCTGCTATTATGCCGCATCTATACTGTACATCAGTATGTTTGATGCAACAAATTGAGAGATCTTTCCCTTGAAACCAATTTTAATTGGTGTCTACATTTTGAACACCCACATTGCAGTGTCAAGTTTTTTTTGGGAAAGGCGCGTGCAATAATATATATATACAGTACTGATGCATACATATAGTGAAACAATAGCATTAGTATAAAGTTGGAAGCATGAGAAAGGCGCAGACATGGCGGAAATCCATGCATCAATTGAAAAATGGCAATGATGTTTAGCCCACCCTGTACTTTTTGATAGCAAAAAAAAATGTGTTTCGCGTAGTAATTTCATTAGAATTCATTCATGACCAGAGACTAGCTTTGATGTTGACTCATTATTTGCTTTATATCTGGGCTTGTAGATCAGCTTCATTCTGGGGGGCCTCCATGTCATTCCCAGCTTTCCCACCATGGCTCCCAAGT